CAGGCTATGGATCTGGTGTCTTCCACGGCGACACTAGGGCTCTCTCCATTTGTTTCGGGCCCCACACATAAAGCAGGCCACACGCTGGGCCTGATCTTTGGTGCAGGCATAGATGTGATCACATCCCCCACTATGGAGCTGCCATGGTCTGATCACTATGCTCTGAAAGCCAGGATTGACTTCCTGCTCCTACCTTGCTTAGGTGGTGATCTTATTTGGGCTCGCCTGCGAAGGCTGATGGATCCTGATAGATTCCATCAGGCCCTGCGGGATCCTGCTCCCCCTGGCGACTCATTGACTGAGCTTGTTGAGGTTTGGAATACCCGGCTCTTGGCGGCCATCAATGAGATCGCATCTAGGCGCCCTCTGCGACCCCGCAGAAACTGGCCCCCCTGGTTTACCGAGGAGCTCCGGAAAATAAAGTGGGACCTCAGACGACTAGAGTGAGTATGGCAGGATGCCCGCAACTGACCCTCAAGAACATCTTATAGGGCGTTTATGAAAACCTATGAGATGGCAGTGAAGGCTGCTAAGAAGTCCTACTTCTCAGCCTCCATTGCACCCACTAGCTCTTGCCTGGCGCAACTTTTTAGTATAATTAGGTCTCTAATGTCCCTAGAGGGACAGTCAATTTAAATATGAATCAAGCACATAGCTGTTAGGCATTTGCAAGCTTTTTTGCGGAAAAATTCCTGACTCTCCACCGTGACCTCCCTGCCAATTTTAATACAATAACAGAACTGGCGGCTCCTCGACTGTCCTCGGGTCCACTATTGGACCACTTCAACCGGATACTCCCAGCCGATGTGGACAAACTCCTCTGTGCCAGAAAGCCCACCACCTGTTGACCTGTGTCTGTCCTGGCTGATTAGAGCATGTCCAGACGAGGTGCGGCCCCCCCCCCGGGTGAGATCATCAGTTTGTCCCTTGGTTCTGGGACATTCCCTGGGGAACTGAAGGAGGCAGTAGTGTGTTTGCTCTTAAATAAAACATCATTAGATCCTTTAGATCTATCCAATTACCGCCCAGTTTTGAATCTTCTGTTCCTGGGTAAGGTGATTGAGAGAGCAGTTGCTGAACAGCTTGGCGGATTTCTGGATGAAACATCGGCTTTGGATCCATTCCAGTCCGGTTTTTGCTCTGGTCATTGGACCAAGACGGCTCTGGCCGCCCTAACAGATGACTTCTGTAGGCAGCTGGATTGAGGCGGGTCGGGGCTGTTGATTCTTTAAGATTTGTCAGCAGCCTTTGACACGGTCAACCATGAACTTCTAGACCACCTCCTCGCCGACATGGGGATTTGGGGCACAGTCCTTCAATGGCTGTGCTCATTCCTCTCTGGTTGGGGACAGAGGGTGGCGCTGCGGGGGGGGGGGAGCTGTTGTCGCACTACTTGGTGTGTGTAGTACTGCAGCGTGCATTTCTCTCCCCAATGCTTTTCAACATCTTTATGTGCTCCCTCGCCCAGCTTGTCTGGAATTTTGGTTTGGGTTGCCATTAGTATACTGATGACACCCAACTCTATCTGTTGATGGAAGGCTGTCCTGGCTTGGCCCCAGGCACACTGATTAGATGTTTGGAAGCTGTGGTTGGATGGCTACATGGGAGCCGGTTGAAGTTAAATCCTTCGAAGACAGAGGTCCTTTGGCTGGGTTGGAATGATATGGGGTTGGGGGGACCAACTCCCATTCCTTGCGGGGGCACAATTAGTGCCAGCGCCTTCCGTCAAGAGTTTGGGTGTAATCTTTGACGCCTCCCTTTCTATTGAGGTGCAGGTTACAGCTACAACAAAGGCGACATTTTTTCATCTCTGCTGAGCTAAGCAGTTGGTCCCTTACCTCTTTTGCCCTGACCTTGCCACTGTGATCCATGCGACGGTCACCTCCAGGCTTGATTATTGTAACTCACTTTACATGGGGCTGCCCTTGAAACTGACCCAGAAGTTCCAGCGGGTGCAGAATGCCACGGTGACACTCCTTATGGGGTCTCTGCCATGGGATCACATTCACCCAGTGCTGTAGCAGCTGCTCTGGCTCCCGGTGGAGTACAGGATCAGGTTTAAGGTGCTGGTTTTAAGCTTTAAAGCCCTAAATGGCCTAGGACTCTCGTACCTACGGGACGTCTGGTATGCTCCACGGAGGACCTTACGGTCTGCTAAGAACAACACTTTGAAGATCCTGGGCCCCAGGGAAATTAGACTGGCATCGACCAGAGCCAGGGCCTTTTCGGCCGTTGCCCCAGCCTGGTGGAACGCTCTCCCACACGAGACTAGGGCCCTGCGCAATTCAACATCTTTCTTAAGGGCCTGCAAGACGGAGCTGTTCCCCCATGCCTTTGGGCAGGATTTATTTTGACTTATTTTCCTTTGTATAAAATAAACCCGAAGGAGGCCCCCAACCCGGTCACAGGTCCTTGTATGCTCAGTGGAAACAGTTGGTCCTGGCAAATATTAACCACTCTCAATTCCAACCTGATAATTGCCACCTGCCCAGATTTTAGCTTGTATTTTAATTAATTGATGTATTTTAATTAATTGATGTCTGTTTTTATGCATATTGTGTTGTTCTTATGATGTTAGCCGCTCTGAGCCTGGCGTTGGCCGGGGAGGGCGGGATTCAAACTGTTGTTGTTGTTGTTGGGATTCAAATTGTTGTTGTGATTCAAATTGTTGTTGTTGTTATTTATTGTGCTGATTAGAGTGGTTCTCGTATGTTATATTTTGAGAAAAAATGTTAAGATTGTGTTTCATTCTCAGCTAGATGATTCTTGGAAGAGGAGTTATCTACCAGCTGCACTGACTCCCGGTAGAGTACAGGATCAGGTTCAAGGTGCTGGTTTTAACTTTTAAAGCCCTATACGGCCTAGGACCCTTGTACCTAAGGGACCGCCTCTCCTGGTATGTCCCACGGAGGACCTTATGGTCTTCAAACAAAAACACCTTGGAGGTCTCAGGCCACAGAGAGGTTAGGCTGGCCTCAACCAGAGCCAGGGCTTTTTTGGCTGTGGCTCCAATCTGGTAGAAAGTTCTGTCACAAGAGACTAGGGCCCTGCGGGATTTGACATCTTTCTGCAGGGTCTGCAAGACAGAGTTGTTCCACCAGGCCTTTGGCGAAGGCACAGCCTGACCCCCTCCTTTGGTAATTCTTCACAGAACTCCAGCCCAATGGTTGCCATCAATGTGATATGAATTGATTTTATAATGAATTGATTTTAGAATGCTGTATTATTTTACTGTTGTTAGCCGCTCTGAGCCCGGCTTCGGCTGGGGAGGGAGGGATATAAATAAATTATTATTATTGTTGTTGTTAACATGGGCATGAAAATGTAGCAGAAGCTGTATTTTAAAGCTCTTGATCCATGTGGTGGGCTCTGCACACAGAGAAATTTCACATCCCAGTTATATGCTCGTATTTGCAGACACTGCATGCAAAAGGGGTACATTTGTTAAATTTTGTTGAATACTTTTTGGAGTGTCCATGGATGGAACTGTTCTTTGTTGATTTAACTTGTCAGAATTAGTCCTGACCAGCTTTGGAAATTAACCAGGCACCAGGTGCATTTTAGGACGCAGGTGGCGCTGTGGGTTAAAGCCTCAGCACCTAGGACTTGCCGATCGAAAGGTCGGCGGTTCGAATCCCTGCGGCGGGGTGCGCTCCTGTCGTTCGGTCCCAGCGCCTGCCAACCTAGCAGTTCGAAAGCACCTTCGGGTGCAAGTAGATAAATAGGGACCGCTTACTAGCGGGAAGGTAAACGGTGTTCCGTGTGCTGCGCTGGCCTGCCAGAGCAGCGATGTCACGCTGGCCACGTGACCCGGAAGTGTCTGCGGACAGCACTGGCTCCCGGCCTATAGAGTGAGATGAGCGCACAACCCTAGAGTCTGGCAAGACTGGCCCATACGGGCAGGGGTACCTTTACCTTTTTAGGTGCATTTTGCACATGGCTATCAGCCACTTGTGACCAATTGAAGATGCCTGGGCACCAGGATGGTACCTGATGTCTCCACTATCTGGAGGTCCATGCCTTGGGATCCTTGGATTTTGCTGGTTTTCACAGCCAACACATCCTTTGGAATTCTATCCATGATATTTTATCTGTACAATCAGAATGAATTTCAGGAACCAAAAAGTTGAATGGAAAGATACAACTTTTGAGCCTTCAGGCTCCAAAATGGCAACTAGACATTACGTTTTGGTGAAAGTAACCCTGGCTTAAGGAGCCATTTGGCACCTAGCTCATACATTTGAGTTTCTGACACTGGTCCTGACTAGGGCTGGGCAATGTTAGGTTTTCAACATTGCAATGTATCCTCAGCCAAACATCGTGTTTGGGGTGAAACTGCTTTAGCTCTCATCGCGGGAGCTGAGGCACTTTCACCCAAGCATCTGGCGGGCTGGGGCCAATGCAGTTGACTCCAGCCTGCTGGTCACCTTCTGAGTCAGCTCTAATGTCCCTGCCTCAGGGCTCCTTTCTGAGGTTGCCTTCCCAGATGCAGGGTTGGCAGGCTACCCCGCACCTCTCTGCCTGAAGTTGGACCAAGCTACAGTAGCCAACTGCGGAGGGTCTTAGGAGCAGCGGCAGTTTCGCCAGCGATATATTGCTGAGTGAAGCTTTCATTGTGGTCTGTTCCTCATACTGGTCACTACATCACCCAGGCCTAGTCCTGACCCTGAAATGGTTTGATGAGAATGTCATTAGGCTTCTCAGGCATCGGGGCATAGAACATTCCAAGGAGGGTAGATAGAACATGCATAGCAGTCAAGTGTGTAGACCTTGGAAGACAGGAGAACAGAATGAGTTTGTTTCTCCCCCCATCCTTCACTCCCCCTTTTACTTGAGGCATATATTTGTTTCTTAACCCAAGAGATGTCTCGAAAACTGGACACTGCTATTTTTGAGAGAGTTTGAGATTGCATGTCATAATGGAAATAAAGCTTGTTTCACACTGTGACAATATTTACAAAAAGGCAAACATTCAAATGGTGCATTTTTTTTTAAAACAGTGAAAGCAAGTTGACTACATTGGTGCAGAAGCTTCATGACTTTTTGGCTCACTCATCAGAAGAATCTGAGGATGCAAAGTCTCCTCCAAGATTAACTATAGGTAAAACAGCCTTACTAATTAAAACCTGTTCAGATCTGTGCTCCTTGTATGTTCATTCTGTAATGCCATTCAACAAAGCTATTTAGGTCTGAAATAATAATTACTGCTGTTGTATTCTTGATGACTCTGAGAGGTGAGTTGTACCTTCTTTGATGTATCGTTTAGGCATCTGTAACTTAGGAAGTAACCTTGTGCAGTTTGTATAAGTTAATCTGCACCAGATCCAACCCCCTGCTGTGCCTAAGCGTGGTGGATGGAAAACAAACCTTTAGAATAGTGTTATAGGCTGTATTGCTAGGTCACATGACTGAGCTGAACAGGCTTCAGATCCAGCCTAAGCACCTCCTTTCTAGTATCGCTACACTCCTGGAACACCTTTTGGGGCCTTACACTAAGCTGGGCTGAAGCAGGATGAGCAAATTATGCTGGTGTGTCTTTGGCTGAGCTGGAGTTGAAGACTTAATGCTGGCTTAGCCAGAAATCACCTGCATCCTAAACTGCTCATTCTGGCTGATCTTGCCACCAATATGACTAAATCATTCACTTTATTAATAAATATGTTAATAAATGTCAGATATGTTTACCTTAATATGTTCAGTGTTTCCATAGTTCTTTATATTAGTTCTGCTTACAGTAGTATACGGTATTATCTTTCTGCCCATGCCAACCTTAGTTCTTATGCATTATGTTGAATGTTGCTAGGAGTTTTGTGGCAAATTCAGAAACTGTTGCAAAATAACATAGAAATAACTGCTACATTATCAGATCTGGGGAATTCTAATGATTAATGCTAATTACTGTAAAATAAACCACCTACTAAGATATGAGAGAGTAGGGATCCTTGCATACATGGGCAAGGTCTGTGTGACAAGGTCTGCTCATGTATGAAAACAAAACTGAACATGTTACATGAAGAAAAACCAATCATTTCAAGTAGATGAAAGTGTTTCAGCCTTCCAGCTTTCTTTTTATTCTGTCTTCATTCTTTCAGTTTTCAGGTTACCTGATGTTCAGTATCTCTTAGTTAGTGTCTAGTAGTTTGCACTTGGGATTTTTGAGGCTTAATTTTATAGGTACAGGTATAAGCCCACCACTTTCATGAGGGTTGGGTCCCTGTGCAAAGGCGAAATTGCACAAAGTCAGGAACCCCTGGAACTACCTTCCTGCAGGTGGAGGACTGCTTACTGGAGTCTGGGAAGGTCACAGGAGAACTTTATAACTTTAAATTTTGATAATTTGCAGTTCTGAAAAATTGAATGATTTATCTTATTCTTGTGTTTGTTTTTTGATTTACATTATAAATTGCCCTTGGCTGTAAACAATAACAGTCTGACTGATTTACATTTTTATGCAAATATTGGTGCTAAAAATGATGACCATCTGTTTTTGCATTGGAGAATCACTCTTTTCCAGAAACTGCAGATATGGATTAATTTTTGTCTAAGCAAAAAATGTGGTTGCCATGGAAATGTGGAGGGGTGGGGGCAGTGTTAGAAATTGATATATGAAAGCCAGAAGCTAAATGACACCTTAAACCTAGATTATGGCCGCAAGAACGAAATGTCTAGGCATACTTTTTTATAACAAGAATGGAAAGCTAAAAATGAATGAACTGCAGCTAAAATATTGTGTTCATTTTTCACATGGTCTAGTCTTTCACTTGCCCACCCCTCTAATATTCTCTTCTCTAGTCTTCAGAGAGTAGCTGGAAGGGGGGAGGCAGAAAAAGGTCTTCCTTCCATTCTTCAGGTTTAATATGAAATCTTAGGTGGAATACTGTACCCAGAGCTCAGAAACCGCTCACACTAATGAAATTCCCTGTTGCAAAATGCACCTAGAACAAGGGGAGTTTCAAACACTGATTTTATTTTCTGAAGAGAATCCTTGGTTTTTAGTGTTTCTTTATGATTTGATCTAGTACTAAATAAATACAACCCAGCCAGGATCAGTTTGAGTTGTTTGTGGAAGATAGTACAGTACTTTGCCTACAGTGTAGTTATATGCATTGTTGCTGTTTTGTGTATTTTGAATCATTACTATCCATCTTTACGCGTGAACATATTCCATCCGTTTCTTACAGATAAATTTGCTATGACGGAAAATATTCCAACTCCAGTTCCAACTCCAATGGAAAACTGCAGGGAAGAAGTAAGAACAATTTAGTAGCTTAGTTTATAATAATGAAAAACACTTGTGGAAAGTGGTGATTGATTTCATATGAGTGCAGATTGCTTAGGTTACTTTCTCCATGGTGTGTAAGAGTGAATTTGTATAGAGCATCTATTTAGAAATGATTTTGTTTATATTTTTGGAAATTCCCAGGATGTATAGTGCAGCTTTAATAAGCCAGTGATAACAAATGAACCACAACAATAATAACTTGGTTTTATTTTTTGGTATTTTGAAAACTTGAGGAACTATCTTATATTCAGCATATAAATTCAGTATTTTTTCAGTTCTTTCATTTTTATGAGATCCAGCTATTGGTTTCTGGTTTTTTGTTTCAGAGGCAATTTTCTTCTTACAAATAATTTTTAAAAATTGTTTGTGCTCATTAAGCATCTCAACTGTGACTTTTAATTTTGTGGAGGATGATAATTTTACTGATTTTAGGATTACTTAACCTAGAAAGATTGTATGTTCTGGCCTGTGGTTCATAATATTCATGCAAACTATATTGTTCATATGGACAGTGCTTTCCTGTATGAGATTTACAGATGTGCAAACCTTCTTGCCCTTGCTATACTTTATTAATGTGGCTGAAAGCAGTTGGTAAGATCATCAAGATTTGAAGTCTAGTGTTTACTTTTATACAATTATTTAATTCCATTGCATTTTATAGTTTATATTTAAAGCACAAGCCCAGTTAGTTACATTTACATATATAAAAGTAGGGTAGAGTTGTCCTTAAACTTCATAGTAAGTTATGTATAAATTGATGTGCATGCATAGGGATGTTTAATTGTATATGGCTTGCAATTTTGTGTTTCCTCTCCCTTTCATATTCAGGGTAGCAGCTCTTCTGAAAAGTCCAAATCGTTATGTTCACCACGTTCCAAAAGGTTAGTTTGATATTCTGTTTACCAGTTTGAATTGCTTGCTACAGTGAGTCTGAAGGAACAACTCACTATCTGTTAGAATCCATGGTGGTCATTTTAAGAAATAGTACATGTTACTATGTTACATATTTTTCTGTTTTTCTACTGTAACCTGCCCTGTGATCCTTGGAAGAAGGGTGGTATATAACCCCTCCTTAAATTCTTATTTATTTTTAAAAACTTAAATAAAAAACATAAAAAGTGAGTTTTTTTAATATAAAAAATGAAGAAAGAGAAAGAAGTGTTGTATATTACTAAAACAAATGTTAACAGTTAACAAACACAATTTTATACCTACTGTATTTTGTATAAATGAGTTCCAAATTTCATTATACATATCCATGCAAAGTCTACGTCAATAAGCAATCTGCTCATAGGTGGCAACAGTAGTCAGCTTCAATCCATTGAATAAGTGGAGCCATACATTTATCGTTCCAGTGCAGCAATATCAGTCTTTTGACCATAGTAAGGGCACGGAGAATCCAATTACGTTGTCCAGTTGTCAGATTCCATATAGTAGGTATGTAGTTCAAAAGAACATTATCATCTGAAAATTTTAGCTTTTTTTGCACAGACATATTTATCAATCAATCAATCAATCAATCAATCAATCTTTATTACGGTCCAGAGACTCAACAAATCATTACAAATCAATACACAGTTCATACAGCCTACCTCCATGTTAATCAAGCATTTTGTTTAGAATATAGGACTCATTTGTTCTTGCAACCTCCGATAAAAACTTTGCCGCTGCTAACGTTCTAGCATTTGTCCGGTCTTCCAGTAGGAACCTGACATAGTGAGCCTCTGACTTTCCCGGGAAAGGCACCAGCAAGGGTAGTATTAGTTCAGCCCTGGCCTGCTCATATTTTGCACAATGCAACAAAGTATGTTTTATGGAATCGATGTCTTGAGCACACGAGCAAAGTCTGTCCTGGTAGGGAACGCCTCTCAATCTGCCATCCAACACTGCAGAGGGAAAGACATTTAGTCTGGCTTTGGTGAAAAGCCTTCGGTAGTTTGGTACTGTCATGTTTTTTATGTAAGATGTTAACTTAAAGACATACCCATATTGAACTCCTACTGCCAGCGGACTACAGACTGCGTGTGATCGAGATCGCAAGTCACTGTGTGCATTATCCCATAATCTTTGCTTTAAAATCTTTTGGGCGCCTTCATAACCCAGGTAATACAATTGGGGGGGGGGAGACAGACCAATAGAGGTGGCTTTTTTAGCCATGGTTTTCTGCCATTTGCTGACAAATTCCTCACTGGTCAGGTGTTGGTACAAACCCTTCCCTAGATTAAACACTGAAATCCTGAGCCAATGTTTTAGGGCAGCCCACCACGCTTTAGGTGAAATTGGGCATTCACCAGCTTCTAACAGAAGTACGGAGTTGGGGACGCAGTTAGGTACCTGCAGCAGAGATTGTAGAAATTTTGCCTGAAAGCCATCTAGCTTTGGCAGGTCCCCATTATGCCAGACATTTACTGCATACAGGAGTTGGAAAACAGGCTTTGTGTTGAAAACCCTTAAGGCTGCTGGAACATATTTGCCGCCCTTTGTGAAGAAAAATCTAAGTATGGCTAGCTTTGCAATCTGCCTTTTGAAGGAGGTTTGCCAATGGTGCTTCCAAGATCCTGTATGATGGAATGTGAGCCCTAGATAACTGAATATTGAATATTGCAGCAATATCAGTCTTTTGGCCATAGTAAGGGCACGGAGAATCCAATTACGTTGTCCAGTTGTCAAATTCCATATAGTAGGTATGTAGTTCAAAAGAACATTATCATCTGAAAATTTTAGTTTTTTTTGCACAGACATATTTATATAATTCACTACTTTTTTCCAAAACATAGTAAGTATAGGACATTGTAAAAATGTGTGTTTTATTTTTTTATTTCCCCCCCAGTACATTTTTATTCAAATTACACAAAGAAAATATACAAATAAACATACCGATAAGCATATCAGTATACATATTAGTACATATTTACATAATTTATTATTTCCCTTCCCCAAATTATACAAAAAATCATAAAAAGAAAATAATAATATTTCGGGCTCTACCGAGCCCTGGACTCCCCTCCACCCTTTTGGTAAGTATCAAATAAATTCCACAATCATGTATTTTGTTTTTATTCTTAAAAGTTAATCACTCACTGTTAGATTTATTCCAACCCCGCCAGTTTCCTCTACAAATTGGTTCCGATATAATTCCAATATTTATTCCAATTTTCATGAAATTTCTGTTCATCTTGGTCTCGTATTCTACCTGTTAGTCTAGCAAGCTCGGCATAGTTTACCATTTTGACCTGCCAATCCTTTATACTGGGTATGGTTTCCGTTTTCCAGTTTTGTGCCAACATAATTCTTGCGGCTGTGGTGGCATAAAAAAATATGTTCTTATCTTCTTTTCTAATTTCTTTACCCATCATTCCTAGCAGAAAGGCTTCAGGTCTTTTGGGAAAGGTGTATTTAAGTATTTTTTTAAGCTCGTTATAAATTAATTCCCAAAAGCCTTTCACTTTATTACATGACCACCACATGTGATAAAAGTTGCCTTCTGCTTCACCACATTTCCAACATCTTTTATTCTTTAACCTATACATTTTAGCCAATTTCACCGGCGTGTGATACCACCTATATATCATTTTCCAGATATTTTCCCTCAGTGCCATACACGCCGTAAACTTTATACTACTGTTCCACAGTTCCTCCCACCATTCAAAGTCAAGATTATGGCCGATGTCTATTGCCCATTTAATTTTTTTTTTTTAAATGGGTAAAAATGTGTGTTTTAAAGAAGCATTATTTCCAACATACTGCTGTCTCAAGACAGTCCTTTTCTATACAAACGTAATGGAGACCAATAAATTATAAATATTATTTTCTGTTGTGTAAGTAATGATTTAAGGTTCATTGACACCCTTGCTATAGAAGTTAAAACACTCCCATTGTCAAGGCAATATAGGAACCTCCAATTCTTTATTCCATTCATTTCTTAACATCTCCATATGAAATTGATTTATTTGTAACAAATATCTTTAAAAAGTAATCATGGGTTTTTTAGTTCTAAAGGATTTAACCAGTTTTTTTAGTATCTCAGGTGTCTCAAGCTGAAAATGCTGGTCCAAACATAATTGTTAAAAAATGTTGTAGTTGTAATTGTAAATTGTAGTTGTAAATATTGCCATTGGATTACATCCGATAGCTGATATTTATTTCATAACACAATGTAAAAATTCATTGTCATATTTGAGTTGATCCAAAGTCAATACATCCACGTCCATCCAATTTTCCTTATCACCATATTTTTCTTAATTTTTGATGGCTTTCTCCATAAAGTCAATTTACTGTGGGAAAAGGGGTCAAGTTGTTTTTATTAGGCATCACATTCCATAACTTTCTAACAGACATACAGTCGTACCTTGGTTCTCGAATGCCTTGGTACTTGTACGTTTTGGCTCCCAAATGCTGCAAACCCTGAAGTAAGTTTTCTGGTTTGTGAACGTTTTTCAGAAGCCAAATGTTTGACATGACTTGCGCTTGAGTGCAGGAAGCTCCTGCAGCCAATCGGAAGCCACGCCTTGGTTTTCAAACGGTTTTGGGAGTCAAACATACTGCCGGAACAGATTAAGTTTGAGAACCAAGATACCACTCTAATTATTTCGAGAGATACCAGAGTTCTAATGTATTTTGATCCTCATACTGTTTATCCAAACAAAAGTGCTATATGTATATATTCCAAAGTTGTCCAAATTGGAAAAATACAGTGGTACTTTGGGTTAAGTACCTAATTCGTTTCGGAGGTCTGTACTTAATGTGAAACTGTTCTTAACCTGAAGCACCACTTTAGCTAATGGGGCCTCCCGCTGCCGCCGCGCTGCCGGAGCATGATTTCTGTTCTCAACCTGAAGCAAAGTTCTTAACCTGAAGCACTATTTCTGGGTTAGCAGAGTCTGTAACCTGAAGCGTATGTAACCCGAGGTACCACTGTAACACCAATTGTTGGCTTTCATCATTTAATACTTGACAATAAATATGCATGATAATATAGCTCCAGATTCAGAATTCTGAATCCTTCCCCCTTAATTTGTAATTGCATTTTCTGTAAAGATATTCTCAGAATCGACTCTCTCCCTAGAATTTTTTTTATTTTCTGAAAATACTTTCCAGATAGATGAACTAGGATTAGAATATAAATTAATCTGGGAATAATGTTCATTTTGAGAGCAGTCACCTTCCCCAAAGGTGTAAAGTTTAATGATTCCCATCTATCAATATCTGAAGAAACCTCTCTTTATATTTTATTTAAATTGCATATTACTAATTGAGTTATAAGGGACGCGGGTGGCACTGTGGTCTAAATCACAGAGCCTAAGGCTTGCCGATCAGAAGGTTGGCGTTTCGAATCCCCACGATGGGGTAAGCTCCAGTTGCTCGGTCCTTGCTCCTGCCCACCTAGCAGTTTGAAAGCACATCAAAGTGCAAGTAGATAAATAGGTACTTCTCCGGTGGGAGTGTTTCCGTGCATTGCTCTGGTTCACCAGAAGCGGCTTAGTCATGCTGGCCACATGACCTGGAAGCTGTATACCGGCTCCCTCGGCCAATAAAGCAAGATGAGCACCACAACCCCAGAGTCGGTCACGACTGGACTTAACCAATCAGGGGTCCCTTTACTGTTACCTTTAATTGAATTATATATTTTGGTATAGGCATACCTAAATATTTAATAGATTCACTACAAATACGGAATTAATACTCCAGGTCAGGCATAGGCAAACTCGGCCCTCCAGATGTTTTGGGGAAACTCCCATCATCCCTATTTAACAGGACCAGTGGTCAGGGATGATGGGAATTGTAGTCTCAAAACATCTGTAGGGCCAAGTTTGCCTAAACCTACTCCAGGTGGTATATAAATTGAATGAATGAATGAACTAATAAATGAAGGTATAGATAGCGGTATTTCTTGTTTTCTTTTTCTAATCATGTAATTCAGTCAGCCTTTAAGCTTTCAAAAATGGGTCAAATATGACTTTCTTAGTAATAAGCCACTTTGGCATATAAGCAGTACACGTACTAATAAAAATAGTAATGGGTAATTAATACAGCATTATGTAAATTTGGCATTATATTTTCAGTGTTTGTAATCTGCACATCTTACAGCTCAGTTTCATTGGCCATTATATTGCCTATCTATATAATACTATTCACTAGATTCTGTTGTCTAAAATAATGTTTTGATAAATAGTGGAGATAATTTGGCTTCACATGTACTGGTTGTAGTATAAATATATGTGTCTGCTGCTCATGCAGGAAACCTACAGTTGTAACAAAGTATGTTGGCTCAGATGATGAACAGACCTTAGATGAAACCACAAATCAAGATGTTTCAAATGAAAACTCCGAAAATGAAGTTGATATGAAAAGCTTGCCTAAAGGTAACTTATTCCATAAATTATGAAATATTCTAACAGCATACTGTGTATATTAAAATTTAGCTAGGATACTGCCTGTACATGCTACCTAGAAGCATTGAAACTTGTAATTTCAGTGAAACTGGGATAAAACTGGAAATTATTTTTGTTCCTTTTGTCAAGAACTCATCCCTGGGAATTTTCTTAAAGCTTCAGAGCAACAAAATATCGAATCCCTCATTATGTAAAACATGTTTTCCCTCTCTGCTTTACTTTGTTACTTCAAGTTAGGGGTGGCTAGTGTGTAGCCACCAGACATTGTTGGATGCCAGTCTCTGTCAGCCCCAGGTAGCATGGCCCATAGTCAGGGATGGTGAGAATATGAATCCTGGAGCCCAGCAACATCTGTAGGATGTTTTTCTATGATAACTGTGTTGGAAGTGGGGCAAATTATTTGCAAAATCCTAGACTAATGGTTCCCAATTGGTGGTTCATGGCACATACACATCAACTGTCCGGGACAGCCTGCTTTTTTGACGGGGGGTGGCATCTTGCGTGGGTCATGTGACACCATGATTTCCAAAAGTAGGGGGTTGGCTTTTGAAAAAGAAGGGGAGGGGTCTGCTATACTTAGCTAATTGGGAACCACCACCATTGGACTAGGAATGGATGTTGCAATATTGCTGAGTGCTGCTGCTTAAAAGAGCAGCCTCATGTTTATTTCTCATGTCTCATAGGATGTGGTGGATTCTCCTTCATTGGAGGTTTCTAAGCAGAGGTTGGATGGTTATCAGTCAGTGATGCTTTAGTTGAGATTCCTGCATTGGAGGGAATTCAGCTAGATAACCCACAGGGTCCCTTAACTTGACAGTTCTATGATTCACAGGGAATCCATTCCATTGTTGAACAGATCTTACTATCAGAAAGTTCTCCTCAGGATGTTTACTCAGAATCTCTTTTCTTATAACTTGAAGGTGTTGGGGTTGAGTCCTACCCCGCCCCCCAGGGCAGGAGAAGTCTCCCATTCTTTCTACCGTTTATCTCACTTTTTTGAATGTTTTGCAATCTGCTGTAGGAAGGCAAATAGGTCACTCTTGTTTCACTCTTGTACATTTTTTACCCATATATCAGTCTGCCTTCCATGCTCCAGGTAATGGTATATACTTGTGAATAGATCATCTTTTACATATATTGCTTCTCCTCCCTTTTTGTTTAGTTTGGGGGTAGTCAACTTTTTTATTCCCAGCGCCCACTAATGCATCTTTCTTGATGGTAAAATTTCCTTACCGCCCACCAGTGCTCTAGGGAAGAAGGATTCAGCTTGTGCCATAGAACCCCCTACCACCCACCTAGAATTCTGAAATGCCCACTTGTGGGCAGTAAGGACCAGGTTGACAACCCCTGGTTTAGTCTGTTTCTTTTGAATCAGTTATACCCCTCAGTTTCTACATTCCAGTCATGAGTCTCATCCCACCAAGTTTCAGTAATGCCTATTAGGTCATATTTGACATCCTGCATAAAGAGCTCAAATTTTTCTTGCCTGTTTCCCATACTCTGTGCATTGGTATAGAGATAACTTAAAACCATGAGTTAATTCCTCCACCTGCTTCCTTCTTGTAGTTTTCTACCCTTTAGCAGCTTTCTGTAGCACTGCCTCAGTTTCCTATGCATCAATGAAGCTATTATCCCCAGTACCATTTGTTCCCTAGTCATCTCTAATATTGTCTCCCTCTCCTTCAGGATTTAATTTAAAGTTCTGTTAGTCAGGTTTTTGAGACTGTCAGCCAACACATTTCCAACTACTTTGAGGTGCAACTCCTCTCTTGCCAGAAGTCCTTCCTCAAGGAAATGGAGAACATGGTCTTAAGATGCCTATGCCTAACCTTTCCTGATGACACCACCAGCACAGTCAGCGGTCTACCTCAGTATTTTCCTCTCCCTGGGCCATAACCTTCCAACAGGAAGAAATGATGAAAAAAACACCTGTGCCCCAAGGCCCTTCAATTTCCCAGCCATAGTCCTTTGCTATACATTGAAAGCTGTGACTGACAGAATTGTTTGTACTTGCATGACTCATAAGGAAGGGGCTGTGGTCAGTGGACTTTATAAGACCTGGCAACTTTGTGAATCTTTGCACCTGAAAAACAGCACACCTCCCAGGACATCTTGTTGCTTTCTGTCTCTATCCTCAGTAGAGAGTCATGTATCACCACCATTAACATCCTCTGGTAAAACACATGCCATTCTGTTTTGATTTTCCCCATTGTCTCGAGTGGCAGCCGGTAAAACAGCCCAGAAAGGGCATAGTCCATGCTTTGTATTACTGAATGTATTTTGAGAGAGGGAAGACCACTTGTAGTTGCTGTGATTGGTTTCTGCAGTGCACGTATGACAAATAGTTGCAACCTTAATTTCAAATAGTCTAATATTATGACAGCTATTAATGTTCCTGGCCATTTCATGGGAGTGAGGGTAAGGGGAACATGGCAATTTAGTCTACTTTCAGCATAAGATATGGGGTGAAAGGAATGAGGACTAATAGAATCATCGCCGCCTGTTTATAAGAGTAGGGATAGACGGCTAGCGGCCTGAGGCTTAATATAACCCATAACTATTTTTTCTCCTGGTCCTCTGATGGTCTTGCCAGAACTATGTTAAAGTTCTGTGTGGTAGATATGGAACATGAATGAATGCAATTTCTCTTTTAGGCTTTGTATATAGTATGTTAATCTCCATATTTGTATGCCCAGCACTATGTGAGCCACATGTACTGTATAACTTTGATGCCTTTTGTGTTAGATGAGTTGGTCATCCTTTCAGTAAGAGTATAGGAAAACCCTGCTAGACTTTTATATTACAATTCTGCATTTAATAATTTGGTGTAATTTTTAAATTGTCATCTTAGGAACAATTGTTGTACAGCCAGAGCCAGTACGTAATGAAGACAAAGATGACTTTAAAGGACCTGAATTTAGGAACAGAAATACTGCTAGAACGAAACCTGAAGCTCAAAAGAAGCGTGGAGGTAAATGCACTTGAATTAAGTTCAATGATGCATTTAAATCATTCTATTATCATTATTAAAAAGTCTGAATTACCTCTGCATTCTTGATGCTTGTGAGCTTTCTAGAGACACTGGATTGACCACTGTAGTAAACAGACTGCTTGATAATGAGATGGGACCCTTGGTCTGACCTAGTGCAGCAATTCTTGTGTTCCTAGGCATCAATGAATTCTAGAATAGTTTCACCAGAAGTGCAAGGGCAGCTGTGCCCTTAAAGGAATTTGGGAGCAAGGAGTAAGGTTGAGTTGTTGATGGGAAGAAAGATCAAGGGACCATTGATAGCCCCACCAGGTTTGGGGGCTCTTGCATTAGCTCAGCATTACATTAGCAATTTATTTCAAATTATAAATTTATTATAGTGAGAGAAGAACAGAGTGTGGGACACATTTAGATGAGGTTCTTTGCAGAATTTGCCTCCTGTAATGTGCAACTTTATTTTTGGATGCGAAAACTGATGATTGCAACGTAGTGGATTTTTTTAAAGCTGCAATCAATGCTTAAAAGATTTTTCAGTATCTTTAAGAATAATATAGTAATATGTTATTAATATTACATCATAATAGGATTGCAGAAGAATTATAACTAAAATTAGTTTTTGAAAAGCAGCAAACAGAAAAGAGGAGCCACTTTTGTGAATTACAGAAAATCCTAATATCAGCAGGATGATTAGGGAGATAGTGAAGCAGAAAGAAGATAAATGGGAGGTGGGATGAAGGGTATGTTATTGTGCGTTGGATGGAAAGGAGTCAGCTTAGCAGGTTACAGCAATTGTTCAGGGGCAATATTTCTCTTTTGGTGTTTTTGTTTAGTTTTTAAAAATAATTTTAATACAACATTTCCCCCTCTGTTTTCTTCTTTAGTCTTTCCTCATTCGAAATGTGAATAATGTTAAAAGCTTTCATAAATTTGTGCTCTTGGGTGAATTAAATGTTATTTTTATGCTCACAACGTAGACTGCAATTCTGCACCCTGTTGAACAATCAAATTCCCAATGCAGTTGTTAAATCTCTAGCAAAACTGAATGCAGGATTGCAATCTGTGAAGTCAATCTTTAAGATTTTTTACTGATTATTTAGGTTGCGCCATTCCATAAGAAGCTAATTTAATATTTATGTGTGAATCCAATGCTTCAGGGGGAAGAAAATAATTCTTAACTGGTTACAACAGTTTTCTTTAGCCTTTTAAAGATACCTCTGCAATTGGTGATATTGCAGAAGTAGTGACACTTAGAGTCCTTCTAACAATGACATGCAAGCTAAGTTGTGTTGGAAAAAGGAGGTTTTTGTAGAAGAAAAATTGATATGGTCCTTCTGACTTTTTTTGTAGAGGAAGGGCTACATGGTATTGTGAGCTGTACAGCTTGTGGTCAGCAGGTGAATCATTTTCAAAAGGATTCAATCTATAGACACCCCACATTAAAAGTACTTATATGTAAGGTATGTAAATGTTGGATGTGTGTGTATACCCTCTTATGTGTATATAGAATTCAATTTTTTCACTCAGGCTTAGAACAAAACCTGCTACCCACAAGAGACAGGGTTCATTGAGGCAGATGACAGGTGGTTCCATTCCCACAGTGTGTGTAGATAGATACATCCATTTACTTTCTCTCACATAAGGGAACGACAGTCTTTTATTTCAGTGATAAGTTTTAAGTTACTGCACTTGGTGACACTGCGTCCAAGGAGGGCAGCTTATGTATCTTTCCCATTCAAAATATTGGTATCCTAGCCTTCACTGAGGCAGATTTCTCTAGGGAAGATGCATTGGTTAGTATGATGAGGATGAACTGCAATGAGCCTTGGACATGTGCGCCTGCCCCTCCCACTTCACTGCAAGGAGGTATTCAGAAGCTTCCCTTTCCTTAATCTCAGTCTGCTATGTTATATGGTTTGAAAACTTTGTAAATGTTTTGTAAAAGCCAATTTCATCACCTATGGTTTGATTCAAATTACTCGTAACAGTAACCGCAGTTTAGGATCCAGATGACCTAGCAAGGTTTTTGCTTAACCAGAAGTGAGCGGTTCCGAATTCCCCCTTGCGGTTATGTCAGGGGCTTGCTATGGCTCACTCTTGTCATGCTAAACTATGTTTTAGCGTGACATCTGGACACAATCTGGATGCATTAGTGAAAGAAAAAAGGAATGCATTTCTGTGCATAGGACATATATATATAATATATCATTTCTTGCTTCCACCAGATACTTGTGATATGCAGGTCCTGTCTCTGTGTCCCACTCTCCAATCCATTGTCATATTGTTCTATTGTGGATTTCATTTTTAGTCACTTCAGACATTTTTAAAATCAGAAGGCAGGGTATAAATGAAGTGTTAGAGATATTTTGATAGCCCCGCAGAAAAGCTAGCTATCTTTTTTCCATGTTCTATAGTACTTTAGAGAGATGGCTTAATTAGGGGGGGGGAGAGGCTATTTTTGCATTCATTTAACAATAAACCATGCTTTGGCGCTCCATGGGCAAGCAGGAACAAATTTTATAATACGTTTACAGACAAATGAAAACACTAAAATCATACAATTTGTAACATACAAAGAGTTAAAATACATGTTATATAAACTAAGTATAAAAGCAAACTAAGATGCAATAAAATTAATATCTTTATAGAACTTTGCAGCAGAAAAGAGAAATTTAGCAAGTGTTTCTATTATTTTGTTCATGTCAGCCAGTAAGTTGCCCAGATGCCATTCGAAAGTTATTCCTTGGTGTTTTAGTAGGATGAAAGTAAATCTATTTTGCACCTCTCTACAAAAAGGACATGTATTAATGTTTACATTGCTCCTTTCCTGTAGTGGTGGAGCTCTTTGTAAAACCCAGCCATCCAGTTGAGGAGAAGGAGAGCAATTAAATGTAGCCCTAGGGGAAAAAAATCAGCCAATATTTCAGAACATTCAGGCTTGGTCCTTCAAAAAGGCGAATGACAGAATAACCCCCCCCCCCCGGTACAGTTTACATGGAGTACAGTGAGCAGTATCCTTAATCTGCACATCAAGAATAAGTTTTGCCTGGCAGTGCCTTGAGTATGAAGAAGTTTCTTTCTATTGTGCAAAGTTTATTCACTTTAACAGCAGTATGAGGCAATAATAATGTTTAGTGTATATTATTACATAGTCTGCAAAATTGTTAAGGTTTCTGAAAGAAGAAATTTATTTTCTTCATAGACTTGCTTCAAATATTATATGAGTGATGACATCAGCCGTGATGCAGATGGAATTGATGAACAGTGTAGGTAGGTGTATAAAAATTCCTCAATATCCTAAAATTTTATAGAGTGAACAGGGGCATATTTGAGCCTACATTGATCAGTATTAGCGAGTACATTTCTTGAAGTGCTTGTCAGTATTTATAGTCCGGATATAAAGAACCATGCAGCTTGTTACTTGCACTGCAAGTGATTTCTGGACTTTAGTTTCTTCAACAGCACTTTGCCCTCATAACTCATGGCAAGCTGTTTTGAAACTGAATGAAATATCAGAGTAGTTATACTGGGGTTTCTTTGTTGAAAGAAAAAAGTCAAAAGCCCAAGTCTCAAGTGCTCTTTTGGCTTCTGACCTAAATTATGAATGTTATGTTAAAGTAACATCGTATATAGCATTGTATAAAGTTGATTAAAACATTTCTGTGGTTATGATATAACATTTTGTATATCATTTTTTTCTTGCTAGTACAAGTATATTCCAGCCAATTGGTTAAGTCAGCTTTTCCCAACCAAGAACCTCCCCTCTGTGTGTTTTGGACTAGAACTCCCATCAGCCCCAGCCAGTGATTGTGCTGTCTTGGGTGAATGGGAGTTATAATCTAAGGCAACTGGATGGCACCTAGACTGTGGGGGATAGCTGAATTCTAAAGTGCAGAAAGAAATGGAAAGTTAGTATGGAGTAAAAAATTATATTCAAGTTTCTCCATGCTCCTGTGTACTTTGAGCCCCTTTTGGATGAAAGATTCCTGCACTGCAGGGGGTTGGACTGGATGATCTTCGTGGTCCCTTCCAACTCTGATTCTATGATCTATGATTTTTCTTATTTAACTTGCATGCTGTCTTGCCACTGTGCATGTACAACACAGGTGCAATAAAATTGAGGGGGGAGGATGTGGATTTAGCGGTGCAGGACATTATGTGTGTTGAGGCAAATGTGTTACTAGCTCTGCCGGAAAGCAGTATTTGTGAAAATAGCACTAAATTTCTCTTGTTTTCTCTGGATACTTGTATCTTTCTGATACCAGCATAGCTATTTGTATTTCTGAGAAATATTTTTGATGATCAATAACTGACTTTAGATACTTATGTAACAGAGTTTTCCTAATTTATGCCAACATATTTAAAAAAATATATATTCAAACTTTATTAATTTCAGATGGTGTGCTGAAGGTGGAAACTTAATTTGCTGTGACTTTTGCCATAACGCCTTCTGCAAAAAATGTGTATTACGAAACTTAGGACGAAAAGAACTGTCAACCATACTGGATGAAAACAGTCAATGGCATTGCTATATCTGCCAACCAGAACCTTTGCTGGACTTGGTTACTGCCTGTGATAGTGTGTTTGAAAATTTAGAACAATTATTACAGCAAAATAGAAAGAGAATCAGAGTTGACAATGACAAAGGTAAAATATATGATAATACGCTTAAATATTCTGCGAAGAAAAATAGTTCAAGTTGTAATGGAGAAGAAAAGAAACAAAACCATCCACATTCTGGTGCTCTAACCTATTCCTACAAAGCACTGATGGTGCCAAAAGTCCTGCTTAAAAAAACTAAAAAACTAGTTGAAACGACAACAAATATGAATGCTAGTTTTGTTAACTTTTTGAAGCAGGCAATTGAAAATTCTGAAATAAACCCGACGGTGCAATTACGTCAGCTGAAGGCTTTTAAATCTGTGTTGAGTGACATAAAAAAGGCTCATATGGCATTGGACGAAGATCTGAATTTTGAGATTCGGTCTCTAGATTTTAAAACCAAGCAAAAAAACACCAAGGATAGTGAAACTGCAATTAATTTGGATACCGGTGAAGAGAAGAAAACGGAAGGGAAAGAAATAAAAGAGCATAAAGTTGGATTAGAAGTCAGTGAACATACAGATCCAAATGTACCAATAATTGATCAATCAGGAAGCAAAAAACCCAACTGCAAAGATAAAAAAGCTGTGAAAATTGATCTTCAGTATGAACCCAATAGAGCTGAGGCAACAGATATGGATATTGTATCAATTCCCTCATCAGTTCCTGAAGATATTTTTGAATCTTGTATGGAAGCACAAAAAGCTGCCGGAGAACAGGGCAGTGGAAGTAGAGCAACAGAGCAAGGGGCAGTAAATGCAGATATAAGATCTAAAGACAGCAGGAAAGGAATGAAATTGATACCAACAACAAAAGTAACAAAAACATTGGTTGTGAAACTGACTCCAGTTTCCCTCTCTAGTTCTTCTGTAAAAGCTGAAGATCCAGATGGAAAGCCAGAAAAGGGAGATGAGCTCGAAGACGGGAAAGAAAATCATGGCACTGAATGTCCACCTGAAAGTAAAATTACTCCTTTGGTAGAAGATCATGATCTCAGAAGGTCTCCACGTGTTAAAACTACACCTCTGAGACGCCCAACAGACATAAACACCTTACTATGTAATTCAGAAGAGGACAGCAATGATGCATACAGTGAAAAACAAAGGAGAAAATCCACACCATCTAAAAGGAAAAAAGATAAGCCAGACTCTCCTGTTACTACAGTTCACAGTCCTCAGTCTAACACATTTTCTGAGACAAACAAACCAGACACAATGGACCAAAGCTCTGATTCTGATGAGGTGCCTGCAGTCCTGCAAGCAGCAACCACAAGCAGCCACAGTACTTCAGATACTGACAGCAACAGTGAAACACCCAAGGATGTGTTAAATGCTTTAAAGAGGCGGCCAGTGAAGATGGACAATGGAAAGCGTAAAAGAAAAAGTTCCAGTTCTGGATCAGATTCCGATGCTAAAGAGGAAAAAGCAAAGCAGGATTTGGTTGCAGCTGCGAAAAAACAACGCCAGAACTGTTCAGATTCTTCCAATAATGATTCTGAGTTGGAGAGAGAGAATTTTAGTAAAACAGAGTCTGCAAGAAAAGCTGCAAAAAAAGAACCAAAGAAAGATAATGATTCTTCAGAAGAGGAACCAATTAAAGAAGGAAAAAGAAATTCCAAGCAGAAGGGTGAAGTGTGCAATGAAGTTGATGATGTTGAAGTCTCTGCTCCAGGAAAAGAAAAGCTAGACAATTCTTTGGAAGATGCACCTTGTAAAGAGCTAGGTTTTAAGGGGAGACGAACAAGGGATTTCAAAGGGAGAGCCTCCAAAGGTAAACAGAATATGTCTCCAGAAAAAGAGAGTAGCATTTCAGGCAAGATAAGCGAACCACTGGCAAAGGAAGGACGTGATGTTTCTTCTGATGATATAGGACTGTCACTAAAGCCGGAACAAGCTGGTGAATCATCAGATGATGCTAGAAATAAAGCTAAAAAAGGCACAGAAGGAAAGGAAAGTGGAAATCGGAGAAAAATTCCTACAAGGGGACAAGGTGATTCCTCTTCTGAAATGGAGAAGTTTTCTCCTGAAAAAGAGAGTTGTTGTTCTGGAAGTAAAGGCAAGAAACAAAGTACTGCTGAAAATAAAAAGAACGCAAGAGAAAGGGTTTCTAAGAAGTTACAGGGTAATGCTTCAGACACTGCAAAGTCTCCCAAAAATGAACAGGTCTGTGATACTTCAGAAGATAATTTAAATGTAAAAAGAAAAAATGCTAAAGTAAGCCCCAAAAGAAGAAATTCCAAACAAGTTAGAGGTGACTTGCTTTCCTCTTCTGAGGAAGACTTGTATGAGGAGAAAAAGAAAAAAAAAAGAGGGGCAGTCACTAAGGGAAATTCCAAGAGTAATCGTAAAGAGAGAGGGAATATTAATGTTAAAAAGGCAAAGAATGAAACCCTCAATTCCTCTACCACATCACCATCATCATCCAATGAAGCTGAAAACGAGGACCTGAATTCAGCAGGCGAGGCAAGCAGTGATGAACAGAAAATTAAGCCCGTGACAGAAACTTTATTGGCATCAGCAACAATTGGATTTTGTCAGTCTTCAGGTGTGCAAAAGTTTTAAATCTATTTTTTTCTTATTAATACAAAAAAAGTGTTTGCATCCTTTTAGCATAATTTAGAAATTCTAGCACTTCTCTGATAAAACAAAACAAGTTCTTTAAAGTTTGAATGTAGTTGGAAATCCTTACTAGTATGGTGTGTGTATGGGTTTTGCAGTTTAAGATGTGAATTTCCATTTTTTAGTTGATACTTAATCATGTATCAAAACCCCATTTTAGTTTTTAAATGATGTTCAAAAAATGCTGAAATGTTGATGATTTCTATAGCACTCAAATTGATTTCTATAGCACTGTCCTGTTTCCTATAGTGCCCAAGTCCTGGGGAGCTGACAAACAGGACATGCGTAAGAGCCCTCTCCTGCTGTTCCCCAGAAACTGAAATCCATTCTCCTCCATGAATTTGTCTAATTCTCTCCTGTGGTCTTCTAAGGTAGAGATATCCAGACATCTTGTGGAGGTGAATTCCAAAGGTTAATTATGTGCAATGTAAAGAAGTACTTGACCTATGGAGTTGTGAATTTGTCTTACTGCTAAAGTCACCTAGAATTGCATCCCTAGGTTCATGGTGTAACAATAATAATTCAACATGCACTTCCATTATAACTTCAGTTGTGAAATTCAGTCCAGCAGTTTTAAGTATAAACAGTAGGAACCAGGACCAAGTAGGTTACAGATGGGGAACCTGTGGCTCTTGCCTTATTGTTATCTCCAGATCACATCATTCCTGGCCATTGGCCATACTACATGGGGCAGATAGGAGCTAGAGTACAACAACACTGGAAACTACAGGTTTCCTGTCTCTGGAATAAGGTGAATACCAAGGTTTCAATCCTATACACATTTAGGAATAAACTGCATGGAAGAAAATGGGACTGACTTCTGACTAGGCTTGTGTCTAGTTGTGCTGTGAGTCCAGTTGCATTTACTATATTGAATGTCACCTCAGAAGGTCTCACAGAGGAGCATAAAGAACTGTGATAGCTGAGATCTGAATGTTCACCAGTTCATTGATTCGATATACCATGAGTATCCCCTTTGGATCCCCCCTCCCTTTATTCTCTCTAAAACTGAGTAAACTAAAGTTTTCTCATACCATCCTGTTGTCCACACTTTATAATTTTCAAATACTCAAGAAGATAGTCACAGTTAAGCTGAATTTTGCTATAGTATGAAAGATGAGCACTTATATGATGCTGTTCAGATTTATAAACATTCCTGCTAGTTTCTGGGTAATTGATTCCTGGGTGATTGAATTTATCAGGGCTAGAAAGCAGATGTGGTATAGCCCAGTGTGGTTTGTTTAGAGTTTGATCAGTCTTTAGGAGGATTGGCCCCCTGGTATACACCAGAGCTTAGAGCAAGGAAAAAAGCTGGGAGACAGCTTGAATGCAAGTGGAGGAAAGATCTGAATGAATGCAACTGAACACTGGTAAGGGCTCATTATCAAGCCTACCTAGTGGCAGTGAAGACAGCGAAGGAGGCATCCTTTGCTGCCTCCATTGCATCCTCATCATGTCATCTGGCAGAGCTTTTCTGGGTTGTACGGGGCCCTTTACAGGCTGGCCCAAAGGAGGTGATAGAACCAACTGTAGCTTGCTGTGATTTGTTTGCAAAGCATTTTGAGGATAAAATTGCTTGTATCCACCAAGACCTTGACTGTTGTTGTAGCAGATGGATCTCATGGGGTTTTTCGAGCATAGGCAAGCTCGGCCCTCTAGATGTTTGGGGCATAGGCAAGCTCGACCCTCTAGATGTTTGGGGACTACAACTCCCATCATCCCTAGCTAACAGGACCAGTGGTCAGGGATGATGGGAGTTGTAGTCCCAAAACATTTGGAGGGCCAAGTTTGCCTATGCCTGGTCTAGTCCTGTTGTGTTGAATGAGTCTCAGTAAGGCTCGAGGATTGGACAAGGTGCTTGGATCAGTCAGGGCGACCACTTGCGCTCTAGACCCTTGCCCCTCTTGGCTGATAAAATTCAGCAGGGAGGGGACAGCTGCCTGGGCCAGGGAGGTGATCAGTGCCTCTTTACGAGAAGTGGTGGTCCCTGCCTGTTTGGAGGAGGCAGTGGCAAAACCACTCGTTAAGAAACCTTCCCTGGATTCGGAAAACCTAACTAACTACCGGCCAGTTGCTAATCTCCCTTTCCTGGGCAAGGTCCTGGAGCGAGCAGTCACAAAGCAGATCCAGGTGCTTTTGGAAGAAACTGATTTTCTGGATCCATTTCAATTGGGGTTTAGGCCTGGTTTTGGCACAGAAACTGCCTTGGTTGCCCTGTATGATGACCTCTGTCTAGAGAGAGACAAGGGAAACAGGCCCCTTTTAATGGTTCTTGACTTCTCAGCAGCTTTCGATACCATCAACCATGGTATCCTTCTGGAGCAACTCTCTGAACAAGGGGGTGGGTGACACCGCTTTGCGGTGGTTCCAGTCCTACTTGAATAGTCGCTCCCAGAGGGTGTTACTTTCCAGCCCCTTGGAACATTCAATGTGGAGTTCCTTAGGGCTCAGTCCTATCCCCCATGTTGTTTAACATCTACATGAAACCACTGGTTGGGGTTATCTGGAGGTTTGGAGTACGTTGTCAGCAGTATGCTGATGACACTCAGCTCTATTTCCCCTTTACATCTGCAGGTGAGGCAGTGGAAGTGCTGGACCAGTGCCTTGCCTCGGTAATGTACTGGATGAGAGCCAACAGACTGAAGCTCAATCCAGATAAGACTGAGGCACTGTTAGTGGGTGGTTCCCTAGACCGGATGGGTGGGAGGTTGCCTGCTCTTGACGGGGTTACACTTCCTCTGAAGGAGCAGGTTCATAGCTTGGGGGTACTCCTGGATTTATTAGGTATTTTGTGATTTTATATCTTGATTTTATTCTGTGAATCACCCTGAGACCCCCGGGTAGGGCGGTACATAAATTCAGTTGATGATGATGATAATAGTTCCTTATGTAACTGAAATACTTGAGAGAGGAGCACTGTTAGATTTAAATGTTGAAGGATAATAGCTTTAGATAGAACATGTGAAAAGAAATCTAGTAGATACTGGTACTGCAAAATGTTGATGTTTGAAGTTTTGGGGTTTTTTAAAGCAATTGGATTCTGGTCAGAGCGGCCTAGGATTAGAGTGCTGTTATAGGAAGGAAAATATGTAAATGAGGAATGGACAGCAGTGCAACACACATGGAAGGTAGGAAACTTAAATGTGTCCTAGTTAACTGCAGTGCAGCTTCTGATGATGGTGCACCGTCTCTTTTCTAAAACTGAAAGTTTATTTTGTCATTATTGGAACAGCTATTTGCATTGTGTGTTGACAGTTTCTTGGTAATTTGGAAGAGGGAAGTACTAACTAATTCCACCTTAGGCACAGAATAGCCATGCATAGAAAGTTGCAATATCGCTTCACTCCATAACAAGTGTTCCCAATCACAGCTCTGGCCAAGCACCCTTTCCTCTCAAATGGGTGACTTACAGCTCCTCTCAGGGCTGTAGGCAGTAGAAGCAGGACAAATTGCTTTCCTTTCACCCTCCTCTTACAAACTGACAACATTCTGTAGCGCATGGTGATGACTGAGCATGCTTCATCTTCATTTGGTTATTTTCTTTCGAGAGAGGGGTGGCACTATGCTGATACTTCCTCCTTGCTTCTCAGTAGCTTGTTATAGCTCAATTTCTATTGGCATGGGGCACTGAATTCACTTGGAGTTACCATAGACGTTTAAATAATATTTGCTATTCCTAGAGCATATGAATTTTAGTTTAAAAGATTGTGAATGGGGAGATCAGAATGAAAACATTGGGATGAGGTGGGCAGAAAGAGAAGACACACCTATAAGAGTAAGAGAGTGGGAGGTCTTGCCTACCCTTCTAACTGTTTCTTTTCCTTCCTCCCACCGCCAAGTCTGCAGGGAGCTAAGCTGAGAATGGTGGACCCTCTTTATGTTCTTCCTGTTTCTTGCACCGCTGTGCTTTGTAATTGGAGGGGCTGGTTCTTCTGGATGAGTGCGAATTGACCCAAATCTGTAGAGTACCAGTATATTACACACAGTGAATCTGGTTAATCTACAATTGGCAGCTATTTTTTTGTGCATGTAAACTGCAGTGATCATTACAAAGGATGTTACAAAAATGGTATTAGTTTTCTTTTCCTCTGTTTATTATTACTTTTATTATTCTGTTCTTAATTTTATATAGCAGTCCTTAGAAAAGGATGAGTTGCATTTAGTAATTGTAAGAAACGTTGATGATCACTATTCAGGTGATTGATGATATAGCATTTGATGTGACAAAAGTTTATTCTGCTTGTGCCAAATATATTCCCTTTACCCCTCCCCCTTCCCAAGGAGACGAAGGAGACAATAAATCGCAGACTGTACCAATGGAAGAGGAGGAAGATGATGACAACGATCCTGAGAATAGGTATGATTCCATCCGTAAGGACTTTAAAAAGATTATAACACACCCTAGGCGTGGGCGCAAACAAGAGCAACGGAACAGCAAGCAGGTTGTAAAAACCAGAAGTGCCTGCCTTGTAAAGACTCGCTCACAGGCTTCCCGCAAGTTTGAACGAGGGGCCAGAAAACAAACCCCCAAATCCAGAAATGAAAAGAAACTAAGAAAATAGTGATAATTCACACACCTTGCATAGGGTGTGTTATAAATGCATTGCAGCACTGTCTGTTTTAAGTTTCCATGTAAAATGCAGATTTTGTGTAACTTTAAAACAATTTGATAATTATGGCTACCTGTAGGAATAAGAAATACCGTTTAGCTGGTATTGTGACACAAATCTTTGTTTTGGGTATTGAATATTTTTGAATTGGTTTGCTCATTCATTCTTAAGAAAACCTGATTAGAAAGTAGAGCCATGCTTTTGAAGAAATCCGTTCTGTTGTATCCAGAAAGATTCACTTTTAAATTTAAAAGTGAATATCTGGTGGCATTAATATAATGAATGACTGGGTTTTTTAAAAACACACACACACCCATTCCTGTCATTGAGGTTTTATTGGCATTGTTTGGGGGTGTTCAGTCACATGTTAAATTAAACGTGCATATATGCATATATGATATTGAAGTTCAATGTTAAAGTATTGCTGTAGTCAAAAGCTTTTAGTTTCGTAGGCCATACGATAGGGCTGGGCGATATATCAAAAGATCGTGCAAAACAGGTTTGAAGTCCATATCGTAATAATGGTTTCATAATTTTTGACCTGGCAATATATTGTGAATCATGATGTGTGCATGCGTGTGCACTATACAAAAATCACAATGTGCGAAAAACCGTAAAACCCGCCACTGCTTCTCTTCATTCCTGCTGCCTCTCTTAACTCTGCTGGCTTGGCTTTCTGCTGTCTCCTGCAGGAGGAAGCGAATCACAAGAGCAGCTGCTGGAAAAATCACAATGTGGGAAAAATCATGAAGCCAGCCATTGTCTCTACATAGCTCCATCCTTATTTCAGACATTGTGATATATCAGTATATTGCCGTGTTTAGCTAATGATAGATCACAGTGTTGAAAACCAGATATCGCCTAGCCCTACCATATGGTTTCCTAATACCTAAATTCTGCAATGGAAGAAATTGCCAAATAGTAGACTGGAGGGTGGGGGGGAAGAGAAGAAGTAGAAACAGTTGAGTAAAGTGAATTTTTTATTGGGAGATTTGTTGGAATACCAAGAGTACTTACTACCAAGGCATCTAAATTCTAATGTTGGTTACCAGGAAGTTTCTTTTCTGGGCACTGTTTCTACAAAACTCAATAACTATGTTTTGGAATGAGGTGTCTTTGATAATGATATGTGCAAACAGCTTTGTGGGGTTAAGAATTGTTTGTTACCAAATTATCTGGCTTTTACATACAGAGGAGAGCTTTTCGCTTCTCCCTAAAGTGAATATTAATACTTGTTCTGCTGTATGCACCTGGCTATAGATTAAAATGCTGCTAATCTAGCTGTTACTTGCTTTTCACACACAGCATTAAAACAAATGTATAAAGGAATGTTTAAAATAATTGTTTAAAGATTGGCAGTATAAAACGATGAGCATACTTTTGAACAAAATGGGACTTTTAAAAAAGATGCAAACTTGAGTCCCTTTTTAATTACTAGATTTTAATTTTTTAGTAGGTATTTTTAGTTAGAAAGTTGTTAGGTGCTTGCTTGGAGTATTATACTTTATTTCTTAATACATAGCATGGAGTATTATACTTTATTTCTTAATACATAGCAGATGTATCTTGAAATCGTGAAGAATAATTATATCTAATACATCAGTTCCTGAAATTTTATTTAAAGGGGGGGGGGAGATAATGAATACAAGCAGGTCCCGCTATCGGAACAAAATGCGTTCCCAGCAAATTGTTTGTCAGGTGAGCATTTCATAACAAGCTGATGATTTCCATTTTTTCTTATGGAAACATTTCTAACCTATGTTTTTTGCCTGAAACTGCTGCAGACAATTAACAAAGGCCAAACAAAAGAAAATTTGATTTGTTCAATCACTCCTGCTCCCTAATATGTCCAATCTTTTTAATAGAATCATAGAATTTGAGTTGGAAGGTATCTAAGTGTCCTCTAGTCCAACCCCTTGTGATGCAGGAATCTCAGCTAAAGCATCCATGACAGATGACCATCCAACCTCCGCTTATAAACCTCCAAGGAAGGAGAATCCACCACCTTTCGTGGGAGTCTGTTCCACTGCTGAACAGCTCTTACTGTCGGAAAGCTTTTCGAATGTTTAGTCAAAATCTCATTTCTTCTAACTTGAAGCTATTGGTTCAAGTCCTCCCCTCTAGAGCAGGAGAAAACAAGCACGCTCCCTCTTCCATGTGTTATTCCTTAAAATATTTGAAGATGGCTATCATATCTCCTCTCAGTCTCCTCTTTCCAGGCTAAACATACCCTGCTCCTTCAAGTTCTCCTCATAATGTTTAGTTTCCAGACCCTTGATCATCTTGGTTGTCCTCCTCTACACACGTTCCAGCTTGTCAACATCTTTCTTAAATTTTGGTGCCTAGAATTGGACACAGTATTCCAGGTGTGGTCTGACCAAGGCAGAATAGAGTGGTACTATTACTTCCCTTGATTTCGACAGTATACTTCTGTTGATGCAGCCTAGAATAGTGTTAGCTTTTTTTTTTTTTTTTGGCGCATCTAATTTATGGATCTAAGCCCCCTAGATCCTTAAATCAGATATCTGAGCAGCCAGTTTTGCTGTTTGGCAGCAAACATTTTGGTCAGAAACCATGGATGAAGCAATGCTTTTTTCCGTTCCAGTGCTTTTTTCTGGGGGTACTCAAGGATGTGCAGCACTAGCACTTTTTTCTAGAAGAAAAATACTGGTTTAAATTGCGGCACTTACTGTAACAACGTCATGCAGAGTACAGGCACTTTTTTTCCTAGAAGAAAAAGCACTTCTCCATGGTTTCTGCCCCAAATGGCTTCTGCCAAACAGCAAAACTGGCTGCTAAGATACCTGAATTAGACATTCTTGTAGTGAGGTTTGGGTATGTTAAGATAACTGAGATTTTGGATAACGAGCTTTCCAATAGTGGACCTGCTTGTACTGTTTAATCCAGGAAAGAATAAATCTACCTCTCTTAGATAGAGTTGGTGTTCATCAAATAGTCTTCACCAGTATGCAAGGTGAATTTTGGCTGACTTGTATTATATCTTTTTGCAATGCTTTATGTTGTACCAGAATTAAGAAAATCATGTTGTACCAGAATTAAGAAAATGCAATTTAATGAGTCTATTCACTGACTATGTATGTTAGATAGATCCAAAGAGCTGCTAAGGACTTCCATAAGACATAAGCACTTCTGGTCTTCCTTCCAACCCTTCATCCCCAAGCAGTGACTGCTGTGGAATAAAGGGATGCAGCTTGGGGTATTTCCCCATCCCATTTGCACACCAAAATGCTTTCTTCCAGCATATGGGGCTGTTCGGATCTCAGCCATAGTGATTACTGTTAAGGGTTTGGTGACTTGTTCCCTGATATACCAATCCCAGACTTTCAAATAAATGCACTTAGGTTTGCAATTTAATGGTTGTTTGTTTTTTGGTCAAAAGACCCATTTCCACCAGGCCAAAGAGGGATGCTAGATATTTGTTGTAATGTTACAGCTTAGGCTGTACCTACAGCTTCCTTTTTCTGACAAAACTATTATTTTAACATGTTTCTTCCTAAAGTGTAGAAGTAATCTTTTGCCAAAGTGCAATATTTTAGTGGGTCATAATATAACACAGAGTGTCATATTTCATTGTGGTGTGTATTTGTTTCTTCTTGGTTTGTCTGAAATTTGAAATAGTACTGTTTTAAAATGTTTGGAGTTATTTTTGTTCATTAAGAGATTCATAGTGTATTCATGCACAATGACTTTGAAGTATTTGATGGATGCAATAAATTTTTGTAAAACATGTTTCTTGTCCAAGCATTTAATTTAAGAAATGTAGACTGCCAGTTTTTCTACTAAGATGGTAGGGCACAATTTATTGAGGTATTTTCTTTCATATTAAAAAAAGTGTCCACATATTAGTCATTTTTGTGGTCTGCTAGGTTAAAGCTGTGTTAAAGCATGAAACATCATTAATAAACGAAACGTGTATAGTTTGCACACTGTTGAACCTTATTTATAAGTTACTTTCAAGCAATTTAGGAGCATGTAAAATAAATAATTGTGAATTTGTGTCTCGTTGGAGTTGCCAACATATCTCAGAAGACTTGTGCATGCATTAAGGATTTATCATTTCTTTCAGATGCAATAGCCTGCATGATGCAAGCGCATGTGCTGGCAAATTGCATAACACTTTCCTTCCCACAATATCAATAGTATTGCATTGATTTGTTGGTTGTGTGAGTGAGTCAGCTTAGGAGCTGCCATTGATGTCTATGGAAAAGGCAGCAGGCACATGCGTGGTATTAATCTTGCATTGTAGTTATAACCGCAAATGACTGCATAGTATTTGAAATGGGGCAAAAGGTAGTCTCTCTTCAGTGCTGTAAATGCAATGATAAAGCATCAATGTGCTAATCAGCTATGCTTATTGGGGGCGGAGATGGGAGGCCCTAAACTCTGATAAAACTGCAAAGGAGTGCCAGTTCATTAATCAAATTCTGTATGAAAGCAGGAATTCATCCCTCAAATACTTTACAAATGATTGTTTTATTACAGTACAGTGGTTGACCAAAACCATGATTTAAAACAGTTGCTTTGTTCACATGTTAGGGTAAACAAAGTTAATGATTTACCAGGAATGCACAGATGGCTCCTGTCCTAGAATGGGCAAGAGCAGCAAGTCATGAGGTGAAACCAAGTTTTCTTCCTAGCTTACCAGTCATGGTTTGAGCAAACAAACCATGATATCCAATTTGGATACAACACTTAAACCAGAAATAATGGATTTGTTACTTCTGCAAAGTGGGTTCTCTGTGTCTATGTTAAAGCAATAATTATTATTTACCATGACATGCAAACTGTGCTAATACATATAATAAAGTTCAAGCAAGAGAAAGAAGTGAACTAAAGTCCCATTAATAAATAATTGGAACTGTTGGGACTAAAACAGTGGTTCCCATAGTGAATGGTACTGCCCCCAGGAGGGTGATGCGATTTCCTAGGGGGGCACTATGTTGATCACTAGAGCCTTGTGTTATTTTTAAAGTTTTACTGCTCTTTTCACTTTCAAAGCTATTTCCTTTGGTAATGTTTGTTTGTATTTATGATTTTGAGTTGTCATGAGTCACAAGATAGCCAATCATTGGTAATAGCTTTTGATTTTCTTATAAATTAGTTACAGTACATCTGTGATAGGTGAAGGTTTGTGCATGTTTGGTAAGTAGTTATATATAAACACTTTATGCTATAAATTTCCTTCACCTTACGATTTTTTAAATAATAATGCGTAAAATATTTTTCATGCAATATCTGGTATCAATGGATCAAATTCTTGAATTAATTAAACTAAATAGTTTTAATTGTATTTTGAATAAATGTGCAGTTTTTACCATTTTGAATTTTATTGTGTTAATATCTTCCTTAGTGGGTTTTTCAAGACCCTTATTCTGAATTCTGCTTTTTATAGGGTAGGGGGCACTGGAAACGAGTTTATGGAACCATGGGGGTGGTGGCCTGAAAAGAATTGGGATCTAGTGGACTAATTTGGCTGGCTTCAGACTTGTTGCTTTCAGAATTGTGCCCTACATCCACCAAAGCCATCCTACTGTGAGGGAGATGGTTTGTCTCTTCTTGTAAACAAACAAACAAACAAACAAACAAACAAACAAACAAACAAGTAGGCAAGTAAATAAGTTAACTAAGTTAATAATTATATATATAAATAAATGAATAATAGGAAGTAAATGTTAGCTTAATAGTAAGCTAATAGCAAATAAGTGAATAAATAGGTGAGTAAATAAGTACATAATAAATAAATAAGTAAATAAATAAATAAATTAAAGTCATTCCATAAGTATGCAAGCAAACAAACAAACAAACAAACGAATAAATGAATAAGTAAATGAGTGAATAAAGCTCACTTGATTGGTCAAGGGATGTGGGATAGTTATTTTTTAAAGGTGATTCACAAATTGAGTCCTTATCAAGAACTCAGTAACTAAATTCTGTTTGAATGCACTTTATTTTTTATAACTCATGCGACTCACTTTTTCATTTGGTGGCCATAGAAATACAGTCTTTTTTTATAAACTGCTAAATCTGTAAGGAGATTGTTGGATAGGCCAGTGCTATAATAAAAAAATGCTTTCTTGGGATGTGGTTTTCTGCCCTTCAGAGATACGGATTTCTTGTGATATTTTGGAGGCTACCAAGATTGATGCGGGAATCTAATATTCAGTTAGATATTGCTGTGCAGCTGTGATTATGACTCACAAGAGGGTGACACTGAAAGGAAGCATATAAATGTGTAACCATGTCATGGTACCAAGTCAGCAAAATAAATACTTCTGAAATTGCAAGGCTGTTTGACATTATTAGGGGGAAAATCAGCCTTTTCTTCCACAAGCAGGTTAATCCACCAAATTACTCTTCCATTTCCAGCTTTACTCTTGCTCAGTTCTTAAAATTCTCTGTTCAGGTTTGTTTTCAACCATTAATCTTGCTCGGTTATTATGCATTTACTTTGGCATTTACTGATTTTTATTGCTGAACCAATGGAATCCACCTTTTTTGTTTTACTTCAAAGAATTGCCAAGAAAATGCTTTTAGAAGAAATCAAAGCCAATCTTTCCTCAGAGGATGAAACTTCTTCTGATGAAGAATCTGATGAAGAGAAAAAGAGGAAAGGAAAGCATTATGAAAAAAGAGGTGACAATGGTGAGCACCACATAGTAGTACAATAAGAGTACTAAAATGTGATTTGTGACCTGGGTGGGCATTCTACCATATAGAGGGACTGTTATTTTCAAATTCATTGTCATTTCAAAATATTTAGTAAGAGACTAATCAGCAAAGCACCTTTTAAACAAAATATGTAAATTTACCAAACATAGAACTTAGAACTGTATTTCTCACAGTACTTAACGGTAAGTACTGACACTCCCTTTTTTCCTGAACATGTGGCAGCCATTTTGTGCTGGTACCCACAGCACTTTCATCAATATATGAGTACCAGCACCTCATTTTAGACCAGAAGAAGCTCTAATTGAACTCATATGGCAGCTAGTTGTGAGCAGATAGCTATTATAGCCATCTGCTCACGGTGTAAGGTTGTGCTGAAGCGTTCATATAATGCCTTCAATCCTATGACACTCTTAAATATAACTTGAATACTTAATTATTTGCACAATATCATTCACATATTAAAAAGAACTGAAATGTGTTCTTCTTAGTGAATAGATTTAATAAATAATAATAAAATAATAACTGCTAAACTCAAATCCTTCATAATGTAGATGGTATGTATTGTCATTACCTCCCTTTGATACTGATACGAGCTGGAAAAATAAATTGTATGGGAGAAGCTTTATGTTGGTTCCCCCCCTTTTTGTGACAGGAGAGAATGAACAGGAAGATGAGTCTGACTCTGATTCAGATGCTGATGGGGCTAAGAAACCCAGATACAGACACCGCTTGTTAAGACATAAGTTGACCACGACTGATGGAGAGTCTGAGGAAGAGAAAAAGGAAAAAGCTAAAGAGGCAAAAGAAGTTAAACGCAGGAACAGAAGGAAAGGTACAAAATCTAAAATGTGTGGTGTGTGTCTACATATCAGGGGCTGTATAGGCAGCCATTATTTTGCTAACATATTGGTCCTTGAAGATAGTGGTACAATTCTTATTGCTACTTTATTGGAATGCATCTGTCAAATAGCTGATAATCCATACTCTGGCAGTTCTTGAAGCAAGAATTAAAAATGCTTATTTATTCACATGAAAGGCTTATTTACCACTTTTCAGGAAATGGTCTTTCAAAGTTGTTTACAGTCTCATTGAAGTATATCAATAAAGTACAACAATAGAATACCAGTACTATTGGACAAATGAGCATGGAGTAGTGGGGTAGATGCAGCAGAAACCTCTAAGATGTGTGTGCCAATCCCTCACTGATACTGGCATATCTCCAAGGGGTCTCACATTGATTAGAGTAGATGAAATCAGGTAGGATGATGCAGAAGGTCAAACAATTCAGGAAAGGGATAATTTAGTTGTGTATTGGGTTTGGAGAGAAAGGCCAGTATTTTTAGAGCATTTTTGTTTGCCCAAGGTTTTGGGAATGCCCAGTGAGAATTGTTTACTTTGAACAGCAGATCTAATGATTCACAAACTTCTTTTCCTTAGTTCCAAAATTGTTTAGCCATGACATTGAGACAAATTATTATTGCTTGAGGCCGATGACCATTACAGTATAAAACATAAAAACAAAAATGGCAGTCCATATCACTTACCCAAACTACAACCATATCACCCTGAATATGGCCAGTTTTATCTGATCTCACAAGTACCATGTGAAACAGATTGTTGTTGTTGAACATGCAGAAGCTTAAAACCCCTTGACCTTGTGGAATTACTTCTGCATCCTGGTCATTATAAAAAAATAATTGAGCAGCGAGTTTAGAATTCTGTTGAATCAGCTGCTACTTGATAGTTGAAATCATGATGATTCAGCATGCGAACTTAAGAACATTGTATGTCTTGAAATGATAAATACATAGATTTAGGGAGTTCTCACCTTTTCCCAAATGTTTATTCTAATCTTAATTTAGAACTTTAAATTATCTTCCTGTTTTAGAACTAGCTTGCGCATCCCCAGGAGGCTCTTGACTTGTGTTCTTTGTTTGGGATGGGAGATTACTGTGGAAGAGGAAATCCCACTGGATACGTGCCAGGCAACAGACACACATACCGTGCAATCCTATGTATATCTACTTGGAAGTATGTCTCGTTATCAATAGAGCGTACTCCCAGGTAGGTGTGTATGGTGTTGCAGCCTTGTTGGGCCTAACATCTGAGTAGACATTTCTAGGATTTCACTGTTAAGTAAGCTCTTTGGATTCTGGCCTTAATAAGTATTTAGAGGGCATGAATGCAAGCAGATTGAGACTGCACTGGTGTTTTGCATCCGGTGTCACTTTCTCTGTTTATTTTCTTCCATTTCTTCACAATTAAAAAAGAAGTTTACCAAAGTCAGGTATTGTCTGCTACTGTTTGTTTTATTTTTATACAAATAAGATAATTACATTTCATTGTTCTGCCTAATTCTGCTGAACTGTTTTAGCATAAGTTTTATTTTGGATAGCACTGAAAATAATATACCCGTTGAAACAGCTTTATATCTTTACTCAGGAAGCACTAGGATGCCACCATCCTTCACTTGCTTGAAGGTAGGAAAAAATGAACTGCCTTCAGGCAAGTGGAGGATCATAATACCCACTTGGTAGTGTCCTAGTACCTCTGAAATACCTTACAGGTAAATACCAGCAGTATCTTCTGTACTTTTCTTAGCCCCTTTCCCCTGTTTTTTGTTAGAAACTCAGAAGTCCTAAACCCTCATTATTCTTCACCCACATTTGAATAATGAAATAAGTGTTTCTTCTGAAACATGCCAGTGTGTGATCAGCAGGTGGCACAGGTTCTACTTTTCTCTTTTTGTTATTTTTTGTAATATTGGACATATTTCTACAGTTGACTCGCAACTTGTGTGTGGGGGTGGGTACATTCTGGGGACGTAGTCAAAATTACATATAGTTAAAAAGATCCCCATTGAACATACCCACACGGCCACCCTTACCTTCTGGAGCCGGCACACTGAATGAGTCCTACCCCCTGAAGCAAGGCCCAGGCTCTGGAAGGTTCCTGCAAAATTTCTCAGGGCCATTTGAGTTCTTAGAAGAGCCTCCCAGAGCCTAGTAAGCAAATCTGAAAGCTTAAAAGCTCTTTGTGGCTGGAGAAGCCTGTGCAAAAAGAGCTTTTCAGCTCTCCACCTTCCATGCATTTGATTTGTGTGATTTCAACTGGCCAGACATCACCTACCTAAAGGTTTTGTATTAATTTTTAAAGCCCTGAAGAGTTTAGGTCCAAGGTGCCTCAGGGGTTCCCTGAGTCCTTATGTCCCAGCTCAGTCACTGTGATCATCTGCAGTACCGTTGTTTGTCATTCCCTGAGTTGGTGAGGCTTATTTGGCAAAAATGAGAAACTGACCATTTTGTGTCATCAGCTCAGTTCTGTGGAATACTCCTTTCGTGCAGGTGGCACACAAAGAAAGGTCTTAAATTATGATCTAAGGGTTCATATGGGGAGAGGCAGTCCTTGAGGTATAATGGTCCTGAGCTTCTGAAGCCTGTATAGGTTGAAACCAGTACTTTCCAGGCAATATATGCTCAAACCATCTTGCTTTGGTGAGCAATCTGGTCACTGAATTCTGCGCTAGCTGAAATTTCCAAACCACCTTCAGAGGCAGCTCTACATATAACTAATTTAATCTAACCTAGAGGTTACCAGAGCCTAGGCAACAGAAGTTAGGCTACTCCTGTTTAGAGAGGGGCACAGCTGGGCCACCAGCTGAAACTGTTGGAAGGCATGCTGCCCCACTGAGGCAACCTGTGCCACAAGTGACAACAGTGGATCCATAAGTATTCCCAAGCTGCAGTACTAGCTGCATCAGAGGGTGTGTAACCTCATCAAGAGCAGGCAACACCCCATCCATCTAGTCTAGGGAACCACCCACCAACAAGTTGCTCAGTCTTAACTGGACAAACCCCACATGAATTGAAGACAGCTAAAACAATTAAAAAACACTAATACATTCAAAATGTAGCAGTGGTCCAGTCTCTGCTTTTAACTGGTTCCACACTCCAGAGATGTACATTTCAGGTGCAGAGGTTACAAGATTACTCCTGCTCTCAGCTGTGGGCTGGCTTGCGTGAAGCTGAGTATTTCAGCAGTTGCAATGTTAGTAGCAGGGAGTGGGTAACTGTGGTTGGTGAAAGGATTGAAATCCCTCTTATTACCCTCTCTCCTGTTTGCCCTTTGCCACAAACTGAATTCTCTTGGTTCCTGGACCAAAATAAAAAAAGTTGAAAATTTGCAAATTAATTGCATTCAAGATGTGAGTCAACTGTACTTCTAGTGGCTTTCTATTAAAATGTTGATAAATGCTGGTCAAGTACTTAACTACAAGTGTTTTGATACTGATGCAGCAATTATGATACCAATTTTTGTTTAACCTTGAAGTAAGCAGTGAGGATTCGGATAATTCGGAAGCAAATGAATCTGGAGTCAGTGAAGAAGTCAGTGAATCTGAAGATGATCAGCGTCCTAGAACAAGGTACTTCACTCTAAAAATATGCTCTTGAGAGTTTGATTTTCAGCCAGGAAACTGTATTGCATATCTTTCTTTCTGGGGTGGGGGAAGATGTGAAAACTGAAGGATAACTCATTCAGTCCATGTTTTAAAGTAAACCAACCTGGTTTGCACTTCCCAAACCAGCATGCCGTTTTTCTGTTTTTAAACATCTACAGATTTTTGATGTAGGCCAGGGGTCTGCATCTTTAAGACAAAAAGAGCCACTTGGACCCGTTTCCGAAGAAAAAAAACCTGGGAGCCGCAAAACTCGTCATTATAAAAATAACTTTTTTGTCACTTTTTTATTATTTCTTTGTTTGACCCCTCAGAACTCCTCCTCCTCATAGAAATAAACGTTAAATTAACAAGTTACCTTTTTTTGTGTGTGTGTCTTCGCTCCCCTTTAAAACAGTGACCAGCGTACATGCCCCCTTTCAATGCAGTGACCAGCGTACATGCCCCTTACAATGTAGCGGGCGGTCGGGTGGGCGGGAAGGTGACGTCGGGACGGTGCGTGACTAATGCACGCACCGCCCCCATGCGACGTCACAGCCAGTACAGCGCCCGCCACAGTGGTGAGTGTCGGGGCGCACAATGCGCCTCCTCCCCTCTCTAGTATCCGCCCCGGAGCCACGGCAAAGGTGTTCCAGAGCCACATGCGGCTCTGGAGCCGTGGGTTGCTGACTGCTGATGTAGGCCTTCGCTCAGAAAGGTTCCAAAATGCATATAAAATAACATGCCTTTCTGGACAAAATGCAAACAAATATAATGTGTCTTATTGGACTAAATGCAGATTGATATAGGAAAGCTGGATAAAACAGATTAATGAGTGATGAACACGTGTGAAACTGACACAGGAAATCCCCCACCCCACCCCAAAATAGAACAGAACTGGTCCATAGCCCAGGCAATGGTCGATAGGAAATCCCGAAGCCAGTGCATCAAACTTCATGTGAGGCTTAGCTAGTAAACCATCAGAAATGGATCAGACATTGTTTTTATTTGCCTTTATACTACTATTTTACTGTATACTGCAGTTCTACTGTTTTTACTGTCCATATTGCTTATAATGATCCTGCATAATGTTTTTATGTTGTAGATTTTAAAGAGTTTTAAGCAGTTTATCAATTCTAAAAATTTAATATATCTTCAGCTTAAGTTGTAAAACAGACAACCCTTAAATCTCTTCAGACCAATGTTCCTCTACTGCAATACATAATATTAGGTCAACAATTAGTCAACAAGGAGTTCATTAATATGAATACTTTACCACAAGTTTAGCATAGTATGTTCTACCTCTACTGCTGGAGGCAGCATGGATTTGAATACCAAGTGCTGGGTATCACAGGTACTGGCAATTGCAGGTGAATATAAAGTGCTGGTGTTGCAGTTCTGTAGTGCTCGTGTTTTGCCTGCTGGCTTTCCATTGGAAAAGGGTAAAGGTAAAGGACCCCTGGATGGTTAAGTCCAGTCAAAGGCAACTATGGGGTTACGGCACTCATCTTGCTTTCAGGCCGAGGGAGCTGGTATTTGTCCACAGACATCTTTCTGGGTCATGTGGCCAGCAGGACTAAACCACTTCTGGTGCAGCGGGACACTGATGGAAGCCAGAGCACACAGAAACACTGTTTACCTTCCTGCCACAGTGGTACCTATTTATCTACTTGCACTGCTGTGCTTTTGAACAGCTAGGTTGGCAGGAGCTGGGACAGAGCAACAGGAGCTCCCCCTATTTCGCGAATTCAAACTGCTGATCTTCCGATTGACAAGTCCAAGAGGCTCAGCGGTTTAGACCACAGTGTCACCCACATCCCTGCGGCTTCCCATTGGTACATCTGGTTAGTCACTGTGAGAACAGAGTGCTAAACTAGATGGGGCTTTGACCTGATCCAGCAGGGCTGTTCTTATATTCTTATACCAAAACAGTTCATTGTGTTATAAACATTATTAAGGGGTCATTAATTTCAAGTTTGTTGCAACTACCAGTTTCTTAATTCCTTAAGCAGGAGTGCATTCCTGGTTATCTGAGTCATTAGTTTTTGAGTAGAGCATAGGAAAAGAGGCCATCATCATAGTGCTTCATTATGAAACATTGGTGCAGGTGAAACTAGAGGCGTTAATTAGTTAATAACAAGTAGCAGAAACAACCGCTACAGTTTGTGTTCAAATTGATGCATGATATATTTAATCTTCTGGCAGAGGATGTGAAAATGACATTTCCACTGTTAAGTTCAGTTTTGGATCTGTTGGTTTAGTAGTAATTGAGCAGAAAATCCATGAACAGAAGATCTGTGAATCCTCTTCAATGTTTCAGATCTGCCAAGAAAGCTGAATTAGAAGAAAATCAGCGAAGTTACAAGCAGAAGAAGAAAAGAAGACGCATAAAAGTCCAGGAGGATTCATCCAGTGAGAACAAGGTATTGCACAGAAATAAGTTCTGTGGCCTTGAGGATTTAGAGTTCACATGTCAAATAGCGCCTCTCCCCACAGTAAAAGGCAAACTCTATTTAAACCTGAAGAGAGTTTCTAAAAAAGTTTAGTATGGCAGAGGGATGGGTCAGCTCTTCAAGGTGAGTGAGGGAGTCAGAACTGTCATTCTGTAGGATGCTGTTAAGTCCTTTGCATGATCCTAAGAATCTCTTTGGATCCTGGCCTCTCTTTATTATTCTTGTGAAATAAATTACCATGACTTTATTTATATGCTGCTTTTCCACACACAAAAATAAAAAAAGAGTTGCTCAAAGCAGCTTACACCAAGGAGAACAGCAATACATCACAAAATCTAAAACCTCAGGAACACTTTCATATTAACAGGAAGACTAAAATAACAAAATAATGACAGAAGTAGCAGCATAAAAAAGTACTATTTCTTTGCTGTATATGTAACAACATTGAATTTAACCATGTATTTCCTGGCAGTGGCAAAAATGACTGAGCTTCACCCTCAATGTAACAACACCATTCCTCACATTCCCCCTACTGTTTCAGCTTCTTACAAGGCTTTCTTATAATTTTGGTGTTTTCCATGGGTGACAGGCCATCACATGGGTGTTGCTTCGCCACCTATTATCCAAGGAAATAAATGATTATAGAGTTGAGTTCAAGGCTGCTTCCTGCCCTCATTCAGTCCATTCCCTGCCTTCATCTTGGGGTGGACCCATTGTGAGTTTTTCTAAATTGTGTGAGTGTGTTACTGTTTTTAAGCTTTCCTCCACCACTGTGTCTTAGCTTTTTATTCCTTTGAACATATGTTTTTTTAAAGTTCACCTTTATTCTGTGGTTTTTCTCCCTCCCCCTGGCTGAATTTCTCACTATTTTTCTCTCACTTTGTTTGAAGCAGCCTAGCTGCTAGCTCAAGGCCTCTTTCTGTCAACCATCCCGGTCATGTCTTGGGCTCTTCACCACACTTGGTAAAACCAATGGTCATACCAGCTCTACGCTGCCAACTCTCAGCACAAGCTCCTTTACGTTCCTCCATCAGTTTGCCTCTCACTATTGGTAGACCTCCATTCAACATCTCAACAAAGGGTCTCATTTCGGGATGCCAGATGCTAGTCTCTTAAGGTTGGGGGGTGTCCATTGCCAGGGTGAGTTTTTAGAACAACTGCATCTGCTTGCCACACCTCAGAAGCCTCAGCTGCCAAACTTCAGTGCAAGGTAGCAAGCAGAAGGGGCTCTGGGCATCAGTGCCCTGTCTACCTAGCCCCCACCCCCTGATTATTGTTTGCCTTTCCTCCTCTTCCACTTCTGGCCCAGACTCTCAGGTAGCTGTGATTGGAATGGCCTCAGTACTGCTGGTGCTATTTTGACCTGACAGCCTAGCATTTGAGTGGCGCCATCTAAAGCATTCCGGACTGCATAGGTGGTGACTTCTATTCTAGCATCCCATTGACCAATAGAAGATACCAGAGCATGTGGTAAACCAGAGCATGAGTGGTGCTGGTTTGAAGGTATAATTCATTTAGTGCCCATCCATTGTTGAAATTCTTCTTGAAAGATGCCTCCCTGTTTTTGCCTCCTGTAGTACACTGCTTTCCATCTTAGGAGTCTTCACAAAGTGCTGCAAGTGGCTTTCTTTGAGCTTCACACTGTTCCTCTAGGAATTCTTTCCTTTAAGGTGCTCTTCCTCATCACCATCACATCAGCTCTTTGTCTGTTTCCAACCTGGGACCCCTGTCTACTGACTGGCGCCTCTGTGTCTTCAAAGACTCTGTGGTTCTCTGAACCAATCCAGCCTTCATTTGCAAGGGGAATTACTGCTTTACATCACAACCCAGGGCAGTTTTTTGCCTTCTTTCTGTTCAAATCTAAGTCATCCCCTTGATCTTTAGAAGGCATGGCACTCCCTCACTGTCCAGTGGACCTTCAGTTGAGGTGTATATTAACTGCATAAAATATTGTCTCCTTTCATCCACAATCCTTGGGCAAGAAGGTCTCTCGAACTGCAATAACTTGTTGGCTAAAAGCCTGTATTTCTTTTGGCTACAAGTCTTCTAATTTACCTGTGCTTTCAAATATCATAGCCCATTCTACTAGATCAGCTTTGGTTGTGGTGGCCTTTGTGACCAATGCCTTGCTTAAGGACATATGCAAGGCCACGGCATGGGTTACTTCAAAATCTTTTGCCCAGCATTACAAAATGGATAAATTTGCATATGCAGATGCTTCTCTTGGGTGGCGAGTTTTTACAACAGGTATTTCTGCAGATCTAATTCATACATCCGCTGCTGCCCCCCCCCCCCAACTATTGAGAATATCTCTTTTGGTACATTCCATGTGATGGCTTGCCACCCATAGAAAGTGGACTATTGGTCTCACCTGAATAGTCAATTTCATGGATGTCACACCACCACAACCCCCCACCCCCTTCTATGGGTGGGCTGCAAATCTATGTAGGCTCTTTCCTTTGCCAAGGTCCATTTCTCTTGTCTATTGGTTCAAGTTTGTTTGTGCATGAGTTGACTTCTCTTCTTCCAGTATTCATTTTGTTAATCATCTGCTCTGGCTCTGTGTCATTCTCGTCAGAAAATGGATTGAATGAGGGCAGGAAGCAGCCTTGAACCCTGTTTTCTGCCTTGGACAATAGGTAGTGAGCTACACCCATTCAGGTAAGACAAATGGTTGGATTCAATTGGTAGTATCTAATAGAATATGCTTTGATACGACTGCCATATGGTAGTATTTTTTTGGTGGAGCTTCTGAAAGAATTAAATATGCCCCATGAAGAGTTTATTACTGCAACACGTTGCAATTGCTGTACTCAGAATAAATTGTAGTTTGCCACTGTTGCACGTCTTACTTTCGATTCCCTCCTTTTTGTCCTACACTGCATGGCAAGCCACTTTTGAAACAGGAGGACCTTCAAAAACAGTTTGTGTTGCAACTTTGTGGTATTTAGGGTGCTTCTGAAATACACTAAGGGCATCCTTGTTTGGTAAGTGCTCACACGAATAAGTAAATACAATTGTGACAAACTAGCCATTCAGTTTTGAAAACTTCTTTTCTCATGCACTTTATTCAGCTACGGTTGCCGTGTATTGTATACTACTAATATTTGGCACCATTTAAAATAATAGTAAGTAGCTAGATCCATATTAGTGTCTTTATTTACAAGACTATTCATTGTTTCCTTTTTATTACAACACTCATCAACGTGCATGAAAATATGGTAGACTTTCAACCAGTATTTTCTTCTGATTTTGACAGAGTAATTCTGATGATGATGATAACGATGATTCAAAATCTCCTGGGAAAGGCAGGAAAAAAATACGGAAGATACTTAAAGATGATAAGCTCAGAAGAGAAACTCAAAATGCTCTGAAAGAAGAGGAAGAGAGAAGACGGCGCATTGCGGAAAGGGAACGTGAGAGGGAGAAGCTAAGAGAAGTAAGTTTGCTAATTATATACAAAGGGCATCAGGGATTAGTCTGTTTGTTGTTAGCTTTGAACACTTTGGTGCTGGGGAATCTTAATAATCCTACCAGGTGCTGGTAGTACCTTGAAAGCACTAAGAGGGAATTATAATAGAAAACTTCAGTGTGCAGTAGCATTTCCTGGGAAACGTAAAATGTTACAAACATTTTAAACGTATTCATTTATTATTATTACTCTTACCAACAATCTACTCTTTCAGACACATGCTTACGATATTTTTATTTACCCAAGCCCATTCTAGTTGATATTTTAAACAATAGGTATACCTCCAGGTAGGGCTAGGAAAACCTGTCTGAAACTCTGAACAGCCAGTGCTAGTTAGTGTTAACTATACTGAACTAGATGGCCCAAAAGCAATTGATCTCAAGTAGCTTCCTGTGTTCCTTTGGAGGACAGTTTTCAGCTGTCCTCCAGACCAGATGAATGCTCCCAAATAGCCTCCTTCCCTGTTTTGCTCATGGATGCCTTCTGTCAATGGGGCAACACAAGCTGGATAGTACCCATGTGTGAAAAGTACAATAATGTTCAGAAAACACTTGTTGAATGTATTTAACAACTTTAAGAAAAATTACTCTTGATTATCCAATCCTTTGTAAAAACATGGAACTGTTAAGGTTGTTGGTGTATCTAACTCAGTGTTTTCTACACTGATTGGTAGCAGCTCATTAAGGTTTCAGACAGAAATCTCACCCAGCCCTACGTGGAGTACTGGGGTTGAACACAGCAACATAGACATGCACATCATGTGTTATTCCACTGAACTATAGCCCTTGCCCTCAACAATGAACCCTTCTAAATTATTGCAGTTCTTTTTAATGAATTTTTGTAGAGGTATATTATAAATTTTTACACAAAATGTATACATACAAAATCACAAAACTTTGTATGAAGATAACAACTTTTCTGCTGAATGAAATGTAAATAACCATAAAAAGTACTACTGTCGTCATTCTCATTATTAGAGGTAATGTCATGTTGTTTGGGACACTGGTGGCCCAGGGAGACTATGAGCTTTATTGATATACCTAATGAAGAGAAACCATGTAACATCAAAATTGGCCCATATCACTTAATTTTTATTTATTTCATAAAATTTACACTCTGCTTGATTGTAAAGCACCTTAACGACTTGCCTGTGTTGGGACAAGAGTTCATATTATATTGTTCCCCCTCCCCACCTTTTGGTACCTTTCTTTCTCTGTGGGCATAGAAAGCCCCTTCCAATGACTAGCTAGTTCCAGCTGGGAAGCAGCCGGTAACATCGCTAGTAATTCTCTATATTGAACTCCATTATTACCACTTCCAATCGAGAAGAGTGCTAAGACTGGATGTAAATCGAGGATTTGGTTGATAATTTTGTCTAGTCCAAAATGCCTTCCAAAGTTTTGGGGCAGTCTCGCAATGTGGAACTTTTGAGGTTCGTTATCTCGCAGAGACCAATAACTAGGCAACAGGTAAGGAAGCAAAGAAGGATTTGTTCTTGTGCAAGAATTGTGTCACATTCACTTCAGGGTGAATACAAGAGACCCCAATTACAGGTTACTCACCCACAGTTCCTGTGTCACCCATTTGCAAGCGTCCCCACCCTAATTTGTCCCACCTTAATGCAGTAGTTATAAGCCACCTTTACTATATATTTTGAGGGGACTTTCCACTACACCTCTCTGACCCCTCTAAGCCTTCCCTGTCTTCCTTTGTTTTTCTAACTTGCAGTTAGCATAATCTACTTTTGTGCTGATACTTGTTTCTCAAGCTTTAAATCTATGTAAAGTCAAGCACAGCCACAAGAATCTGCTAGCAACCTCGTAGCAACCTCTGCTTCAGAGTATTTAAGGTAGCAACCTCTGCTTCAGAGTATCTGAAGGAGTGTGTATACACACGAAAGCTCATACCTAGAAAGCTTATACTTAGTTGGTCTTTAAGGTGCTACTGGAATTGTTTTTTAAAGATTCTTTTAAAGACTGTCTTAAGACAAAAATACTAGATTTTCTTAAGAGAGTTCTTTTTGGATTATCTTTTAATAATTTTTCTTTATCTTTCATCTTGTTATTTATTACGTCTCCTAGCTTGTGATTAAGAGAATCTCCTGTTGTTGCATGGAACAAATTATTCAAAGATCCAACTGTTTCAGGTTAGAAGCAAGCATTACTGCATTCCCCAGAAACAGGATATAGATTTAACCCAGGGCACTTTCATTTCTAGCTTAACTATTATTTATGCTTTAGCTCATTTCTTTTGACCAGAGTGCCTCCATTTTCCAACACTGTCCCCACACACATATGAAGCACCAATTTGCAGTTTTCCAATGAAGTCTGTGACTATGATGCAAGCCTCATTTGTTGACTTGGCATGGTATGCTCCCTGTCAAATACAGAGTAATTGTTTCATATCTTGGGATAAATCCATTTTCTTGCAACTGAAAAAGTAAGGCTTCACAATATTTATTCTGGTGTTAGCTCTGAGTAGTTTTGTTGTTTCTGTAACAGCTTGAAATAATTGCACACAAAAATCTTTCCAGGTGATAGAACTAGAAGATACACCAATGAAATGTCCAATTACAACTAAGCTGGTTTTAGATGAAGATGAAGAAACCAAAGAACCTATAGTACAAGTTCATCGTGACATAGTTACAAAGCTGAAGCCACATCAAGTTGATGGTAAGAAACTTTGGCAGGAGCTTTGCCCCCAAAACTCTGGATTTCCATGAGTTTACCTTTTTAACTGGTAGGGTTAGAGAGATGTTGCCGTGTTCTGTGATTGCCATTATAAGCCAAAACAAGAAAAAGTGCTTATTTATTGCTGATTTTTTAAAAAAATAAGTAGTGCAGAGTATTTAAAATTTCTATAAGGATCTTTTGAAAATATTACTTCTAGGTGTACAGTTTATGTGGGATTGCTGTTGTGAATCTGTGAAAAAAACAAGGAAATCTGCAGGCTCTGGATGCATTCTTGCCCACTGTATGGGTCTGGGAAAGACCTTGCAGGTATGTTTCAAGGATTTGTTGGCAGGGATAGAACTTGCTCATTCTAGCTTTGGTTAAAGCTGCAGCATCATGTAAATGTAAAAGTAAAAGCCTTCTCCCGACTATTTGTGTGTGTATTCCCATTGCCTTTTTTAGCCTTATTGTTATAGTTTCCATCTTAAGGCAATAATACAATATCCAGTTTATTTGTAGTCGTTGTAGGGAGAATAGCTTGGTGCAGGGAGGAGAGATTTTATTACATCTTGATACCACTCTTCCTCCAAGGGGCTCAAACACTTTCCCTGAAGGGTGGGTATCCAATTTTATCCTCTGAACAATTGTGTGAGGTAGGTAAGACTGAGAAGACAGCTTGTCCCCAAATCATCCAGTGAGCTTGATAGTTGATCTGGGAATTTGAACTTTAGCTTCCCCTGTGCTGATCCAACATTTTGTTTATACAGTCACATATTGCATCTGTGTTGCAGTTCATTCCATAGCTGTCAACTTTTCCCTTTTCTTGCGAAGAATCCTATTCGGAATAAGGGAATTTCCCTTAAAAAAAGGGAAATGTTGGCAGCTGTGGTTCATTCCCTCTTCAGTATGGGAATGTATACATACCATGACTTTAAACACACACACACACACACACACACACACTGTTTGAAATTAGCCAGGTTCATTTTGCACCTGGCTATTGACCACTTGTGATCAAGTGAAGATGCCTGGGCACCATGATGGCACCTGATATCTCCACCATTAGGAGGTGCATGCCTTGGGATTATTGCATCCTGACTGTTTGCACGCACTAATACCACATCCTGTAGAATTCTATATTTTATCTGCACAATCAGAATGAATTTCAAGAACCAGAACACTTTTTCTGTGCAGCCTGAGCAGGGGCAGTCATCATTAAGAAAAGAGGTAGGAATAGGCCAACATATAAGTGGACTGTCCCTGGATCAAGCGACTTTTCTTTAAGTTTTCAAAGTTCTTAACCTAGCTCAAGGTGGTCATCTGAACTAGCCAGATGTTTAACTGAGAATCAATCACAGTCAGTCCATCATTTGAAAAGTAAGACCTTATAGCTGTCTTACCCAAAAATGGCAATTAAACATTCCATTTTGGGACTGTAACCTTAATTTGGCACCTAGCTCATATATCTGAGTTTCTAACACTGTGTGTGCGTGCACACATGATGTTACTTCTTTCAAAAAAGAACAGTGGCAGAAGCATAGTGTAGCTGTGTTGATTACTGGAAGAATGTTCCTTTGTTGTAGTGTTACAGTCATTGAATACCTAGCCCCTAAAACAATAATAAAAAACTAAAAAAGAAAATTGAGAAATAGCTCACAAAATATCATGGGCATGCACATGCCCAAGACAGCTTATAGCATGAGCGATGGTTGGCTCCCTGTGATGCTTGTGAAATTTTGTTCCTTAAAGTCTCAAAGCAGTAGATGTGCTATGTTAGGGAAATACTGCATTTTTTCAGGTATAACAATGCATTCTGTACTGGGAAAATGCTGTAACCTTGCAGGGGAGAAAACATAATAGGAAAATATCAGGACTGCACCTAATAAATGAGTAAAAGGCTATACATGTGTTGTTCTACAGTCAGAAGTTTGGAAGGCTGCGTGTTTGAGGGGGTATCTTTTGCCTCTCTGGGTAGCATTTCCCCCCCAACCTGAATACAAACAAAGTATACCTTTAAGTGCCAGAGTTTCCTTGGGTTTTCCTACACTAAAGTTGTACATCTTGAAATGGATTAACATGCTACACACAAGCCCCTTTTCACACACAAACATCTGGCAGCTAATTTAACTACCTAGAGAGAGATGATCCACTAAACAGCTATATTGGAAGAAATCAAATTAGTTGGTTGCATAGCAAATACACGCAGGAAGCTTAATACAAGGAGAAAGGCTTTGATTCACACACAAACCCCTAATAAATAATTAATTATGAAAATCAACTAGTTTTGCCCCATGTTAGTCACCACATTTTAAAAAAGCATATTTGTAGCTGCTTTTTTCTTTATAAAAATGTGAAGACATATATTAAAGGTGATTTGTTTGACTTTCTCTTGAAGGTAGTTAGTTTTCTTCATACTATTCTGTTGTGCGACAAGATGGATTTCAGGACAGCTCTTGTTGTTTGTCCGCTGAACACAGCCCTGAATTGGTTGAATGAATTTGAGAAATGGCAAGAAGGCTTAGAAGACGATGAGAAACTTGAGGTATGTATAATTCACAATGGACTTCAGGGTACATTCAGTTTCAATCATGAAAAATTACATAATTAAGAAATGCAAACAATAACATTTGTGTTGAATGTGTGAGAAGTTTATCCATTGAGTATGAGCATTTTCAGTATTTAACATTCTGCAAGTACATTAATGGCATGTTTGGTTGGGGGTGGAAATTCAGGTTTTTTGTCTGTTTTCACAAGGTCTGTGAACTAGCCACAGTGAAACGCCCTCAAGAGAGAAGCTATCTGCTCCAAAGATGGCAGGATGAAGGGGGTGTAATGATCATAGGCTATGAGATGTACCGTAACCTTGCACAAGGGAGAAATGTGAAGAGCAGGAAACTCAAGGAAATATTTAACAAAGCACTGGTTGATCCAGGTAAGCCAGAATATTATGCAAATCGTTTTATGTGAACTGGTCATAGTGATCAGATCGCTTTGATGCTTCCTCTGTTGCAGGGGACATTGATGGATAGGTAGTTTCGTCCATTACATATGTGGAAGCAGTTATGTGTAAAGTGGGTCCCTCTAGCAGCTGGAGTTCCACACACAAACACAACTCTGCAGTGTTCTCCAGCTTCCCCAGAGGAATTTCAACCATGCCAGAACAGAAGCATTGAAACCTGCTTCAGACTACACATGAAATGAAATCTCAGAAAAGAGGAGAGGAGGTGGTCTCCCTTCTCCTCTTTTCTACACTCCCGCCCCTTCTGCAATAAAATGCTGGTATTTGGGGGTTCTGGAGAGTGGGGAAAGATGTTTTTTCTTTCTGTCCTCTTAAAACATTCCTGTATAGTTCAGGAAGGGAAGTTTTTTGTACCTCATGGCATGCAACTCCCCAACTCCAGCCTCATCATCCAGGATCATTTACTTTAAGTTGATAGGAGTTGGAAGAGGCCACATATTCCCAGCTTCCTCCCATTCTCCTCCCCTCTTTCTTCTCAATGGATACCTCAATATGTCATATGTCTTGGAAGCACACAATCTTCTTGTCAGATTGTTTTGGGGTTTCGTATTAATTCCTGGAGCAATGGTGATGTGTGAAATGCTGCAGCAATACATTTGGGGTTTCCTATTTTGTCAATCGTTTATATATGATTCGTTGTTTATTTCTGTATTATGATGATGTTTCTGCATAGTATCTTAGATTGAGGATTGAAATCTTTCTCTGTAGTCTATTGTATTCAATCCTTACTTTTTCTGTGACTACAGTATTTTTTGCTCTATAAGACTCACTTTTTCCCTCCTAAAAAGTAAGGGGAAATGTGTGTGCGTCTTATGGAGCGAATGCAGGCTGCGCAGCTATCCCAGAAGCCAGAACAGTAAGAGGGATTGCCGCTTTCACTGTGCAGCGATCCCTCTTGCTGTTCTGGCTTCTGAGATTCAGAATATTTTTTTTTCTTGTTTTCCTCCTCCAAAAACTAGGTGCATCTTGCGGTCTGGTGCGTCTTATAGAGCGAAAAATATGGTATATTGTTGTTTTTAAAAATTCAAAATTAGAACAAAACATATTATCCAGAAACATATCATCCTTATCCCCCCCATTTTTCCTCCCTCCCACCACCATCCGACACAACCCCCCCCCCGCTTCCCTCAGTTCCAGTCTTTGATTTCTTTAAGAATGCTGTTTTCTGCATGTTACACAGTTGTATAGATCCTCAAACTATTTAGCTGATTATCATCAATAGAAAGGTTTGTGAATGTTTATTCAAAGCCAGCCAAGGAGTCCAGTTCGCTTTATTGTGTCTTCAAATACTTTGTAAAGGGTTCCCATTCATCTTTAAAGTCACAGTTATCCTTGTCCCGTAGCTTATATGTCAATTTTGCCAGTTCTGCATAGTCCATCAATTTTTCTTGCCATGATTCTTTAGTTGTGGTTTCTTCAGTTTTCCATCCTTGTGCTATTAGAACTCTTGCTGCCGTTGTCGCATAAATGAAGATGTTTTCCAGATTTTTTGGCAGATCTTTCTCTACAGTCCTAGCAAAAATGCTTCAGGTTTTTTTAACAAATGTTAAATGGAATATTTTCTTCAATTCGTTGTATATCATTTCCCAAATTTTTAAAATTACATTAGAATCCCACCACATATGATAAAATGTCCCTTCCTTTTCCTTACACTTTCAACATATATTTGAACTAGTTTTGTACATTTTCCCTAACTGCACTGGTGTCGTGTACCATCTGTACATCATCTTCATGTAATTCTCCTTCAGTAGGGAACAATCTGTAAATTTTAAATCAGTTTTCCATAATTTTCTGCAATCTTCCATCATAATGTTGTGACCTACATCTTGTGCCCATTTAATCATAACTGATTTTACCTCTTCATCTTTTGTCTCCCATTCTAATAATATGCTGTATGCGGCCTTCAGTAATTTCACTTTCCCTTCGGTCACTTCCGTTTGAAACCAAGATCTTGTGTAACTGAATCCTTTCTTGCTGTCTTTTTTATGTGTTTCATATAGTTGTCATTAATGTGACCAACTCTGAAAGTGGTCTTTGATCTCATCGTAATCTCTTAATTTGCATTTTCCATCATGGTCTGTGACTACATTGTATCTATATGCATTCCTGTGTACCAAGGGAGTCCCCTGAGTACAGTGGTGCCTCCCAAGACGAAAAGAATCCGTTCCGCGAGTCTCTTCGTCTTGCGGTTTTTTTCGTCTTGCGAAGCAAGCCCATTAGCGGATTAGCGCTATTAGCGGCTTAGCGGACCAGCTGTTAAGTGGCTTAGCGGATCCGCTGACAAGCGGCTTAGCGATCAGCTGTTAAGCGCTTAGCGGATCAGCTGCTAAGCAGCTTAGCGGATCAGCTGATAAGCGGCTTAGCGATCAGCTGTTAAACGGCTTAGCGGATCAGCTGTTAAGCGGCTTAGCGGCTTGGGAAAAAGGGGGGGGGAGGAAAAAAACCCTGCAGGAACTCGCAAGACATTTTCGTCTTGCGAAGCAAGCCCATAGGAAATTCGTTTTGCGAAGCACCTCCAAAACGGAAAACCCTTTCGTCTAGCGGGTTTTCCGTCTTGCGAGGCATTCGTCTTGCGGGGCACCACTGTATGTAGGAATTGTTGCCTTGTTTTCATTTTTGCTTCAATTTCCCCTGTATATTTGTCTACCCTCCCTCCAATACTTGAAAGGCTGCCTTGTTACCTAATGACTGTCCATCTACTAACATGTACCTGTAGGGTAAGGGTAATGTACTGAATAGATCTGCCAGGTGGCATTTTCTTTCAGCTTGGAGAAATGGTTAATTGCAAGACATAGTTTTGTAGAATGTGTTGCCCATCTTGCTAACTTAACTCGGATATTGCTGAAAATTAATTATGGAGAACGATCATTTTTACAGGATTATATTCAAGATTGACTTTATTTCTAGGTTCCAGTAGATGGTGGTGTAGCCTGGAATTATAAATGCATATTGAGAAATACTGCTAGAGAGAATCTGCATGGTTAATTTCTTGGGACATTTTTCAAGGGAATTGCTACAGAACGCTGTGTTTTGTAATCCGTGGACCAACACATAATGTTCAATAAGCTGTTGGATCAAGTGATGTTGTTTCTTGCATATATCTATTAAAGTTGTGATTATCATGTTTATCTTGCCTTTCTGGCCTATAGGCATTAAAAACTACCAAAGGTAATCCTCTAGTTTTCTATTTGAGAAAATGCCAAGGAAAATCATAGCTAGTATGAAATACCCAGTAATCTTCTACCACGTTCAGGAGGGTCACATTATGCACATTGAAAAGCTGTTGCACATGAGCAATTCATTGCAAGATCTTACTTTGAGCACAGAGGTGCCATGGCAGTACAGGGCAGATAGAGAACTTCCCTCTTCCATCTGGACTGTCATGAGTGAATGTTTTGCCACATCAAAAGACTGCACATATGCTTCCCTTTTGTAGGTGTAGTTACCTCTGGATCAAAGTAGAAGTGGCAGTTAAGCTGCATGTTTGTAAGAAGCCTGTCAAGTATTTCTTCTTGGTATCAGCAAGATTCAAAGTAGGCTCTCCCCCCGCCCTTTTTTAAACCAGGCCCTGACTTTGTCATATGTGATGAAGGACACATACTGAAAAATGAAGCATCTGCTGTTTCTAAAGCTATGAATTCTATAAGATCCAGGAGGAGGATCATTCTTACAGGAACTCCATTGCAAAACAACCTCATAGAATGTAAGTACAATTTGAGTTGGTTGCTGATGACATGAATGGGTTGGATATCATCCCTCAACACATGATGGAGGCAGGGGAGCAAAGAACTCTGGGAGCCAGGTGCAGTCCCCTCAGTTTTTTCTTTCCTGCCTGAACATCTATTTTATATATGTGATTTCAGTAAAATAAAATTTAAAAGCCTTGTTAATATGAGGAAATGAGTATTCCTGAAGCCTTGATTTTCTTCTTGACTTGTAATCCTCAGGTGTATTCAGTTATTTCCTTTGTCAGTCACACTCAGAGTAGATCCATTGAAATTATTAAACTTTACTAATTTAGGTCCAGTAAACTTACTGGGTCTACTTTCGGCAAAACTTGGTTGGATACAGTGCATGGTGTTTTTTTTAAACATGTGCCTGTGCTTCAGCTGTTATTACCTGCACAGTGTTAGCACATTTATCAAATTATCAAATATGCCTGAGAGAACTTTTCTTACGTTTATTCCCTGTCTTTGTTTAGCAATAGACTTCACATGTGATTTAATAAGTGTATGCAAGCATTGTATACTTACCAGGGTTGAAGTAGTCTGCAAAGCAGGCAAGGCTACAATCCTGTGCCATGGAAGGGCAGGATTCAAATGATCTTCTGTTGGGTCCCAGTATGCATGCTCACGCACATTTACTCTATTTGTCCCTTGTATACACAACTCCTGCTTCTGCAATATGCAGACTAGAGGTCTTGAAAGGAAGGGACTGGACTGTGTCACCTCATAAATGGTGTGACTGAACTGGATGCCTGGAAGAGCTTTGCAGTAGGCAGAGAGTAGAGTCCTAGCTGGACCCTCCAGGGCTTCCAGAAGTATTAATGTATGCAGAGTACAAGATTGTGGTGCCCCTTTAAACAGTTTTCTTTTGAACTTGCTTGCCAAATAGGAAATGACATAGTGCATTTAAAAAATATTTCATGGGAGCTATTTTGGCATAGAAACCTATATCTAAAGTTTAATTTGTGGTTCCTTAGATCACTGCATGGTTAACTTTATCAAGGAGAATTTGCTTGGGTCAATTAAGGAGTTCCGAAATCGATTTATAAATCCCATCCAGAATGGTCAGTGTGCGGACTCTACCCTGGCTGATGTCAGGGTGATGAAAAAACGTGCCCACATCTTGTATGAAATGTTAAATGGATGCGTTCAGGTACGTGAATCTTTGTTTTTTATTGCCTTGCAATCTTGAGAGTTAAGGATTACTTAACTTTTAACAGCTTTTGAATTCTGTTTATTTGTATTGACCAAAGATACACTTCTTTCAGTTCTTTAATGACAATAGGAATTTGTAGAAAAAAGAAGAAAAATCACTATAAGTTGTTACAGTTGCTTATAAAGGAGTATAGGATACAGCTTTATGATTTACAGAGTCAATAGTAAAACATTCTGAGAGGAAAGGGATGTGTTACAATCTGAGAGGAAATTGATGCAATTACAATGTGTTCCATTGCCTAAAACAAAATAATTACAATTTTTTACTATTTCATAAAATTTATACACTGATTGATTGTAGAAAACCTCAAAGAGTTTACAAAAAGAAAAAAGAAAATTGAGTAAAAATAACAATATTTTAAATACTGTACATACAAAAGTTAAAATACCAAAACAGATTAAAATTACCTCAATGCAACTGGGTAGGCTTGTCTAAACAGGAAAGCTTTTAGCAGGCACCGAAAATGGTTCAATGGGCAGGGAGTTCCAAAGTGCAGGTGTTGCTACACTATATGATTGGTGAGTTCTTAAAATTGTGGAACAGGTATTATGTGGCAGCTGTAGTAGTGCCAGTTCTGCCAATCAAAGTGGGCACATGTGGGGTGGGATAATTTCATACTTAAACTGCCCCCAGTTGTTAGGGGGTTTTATATCCTAATAATAGCAGCTTGAACTTGCTCTGGTAGCAAAGCTACATTCAGTGCTGATCTCTGACCACAGATGTTCTATCCTGACAAGGCCTCACTCCTGTCATCAGTCATGCTGCAGCATTCTGCACTAACTGTAGTTTCCAGATCAAGTGCGAGAGAAGTCCAACATAGAGCACTTCAGTAATCTAGTCTTGGAAGTAACCAATGCCTTAACTACTGTAGCCAGGTCCAGGAATGACTGTAGTTGTTGAACCAACTGCAGTTGGTAAAAGGAACTTACAGCCACTGAAGTTATCTGAACCTCCAGTGTCAGAAGCACTTCAAAACTGAACTTCAGGGAGAGTGTAACTTCATCCAGGGTAGGCAACTGATCAATTTCTCAGATAGAGGAGCTGCTTGCCCATAGTTCCTCCATATTGCCAGGATTCAAGTTCAGCTTGTTTTCCCTCATCCATTTCATTACTCTACCCAGGGACCGCACTGCCTCTCCTGATCCAGATGTTATGGAGCAGACATCATTCATCAGGGCAAACAAGGGTGACATAGTCTCATGGCCAGGCCTGAACCCAGATTGGAATGGAGCTAAATAATCTGTGTTCTCCAAGAATGCCTCCAGCTGCCCCACCACAGCACTATCCACCACGTTCTCTAAAATGGGGGTGGGGGTATTGGAAACTGGCCAATAGCTGTTCCAATCCAAATGGTCCAGGGCTGATATGTTTAGGAGCAGTTGCACCACTGCCTCTTTCAGTGCAGCAGGGACCACCCCTTCACTAGCAAAGTGTTCACCGCACTCTGCACCCAACAAGTCAGCCCACCTCTGCTGGATTTAGTAAGCCAGGAGGGACAGGGGTCACGGGGGCCACAAGGTCGGACACATGGCTGCCAGCAAAAAAAATTATGTGATAAACATTTGAATTCTGGATTGTGGATTCCTACATTATAAATGTCTTTCACCAAGTTTTGTTTTCTGTAGTTTAGATTTTGGAGCTGTCCAATGTTTAGTTGGTTTGCTAATTGTACTATTGTATAACAATATTCTATGGCACATTAAAAAAAAATACTTACAATTTACAGAGGAAAGATTATACAGCATTAACAAAGTTCCTGCCACCAAAATATGAATATGTTCTGGCTGTTAGAATGACTCCTCTTCAGTGTAAACTGTATCAGTTCTACTTGGATAATCTAACAGGTAAGTGAGCATCCATTATCACTTTGGGCTTTATTTTATTTGATTCCATTGCATCCTTGAGCTCTATGTGTGGATGCAGGTCTAACTGTCCAGAGGCTTTTTGCTGTGACAGTTTTGTTAAATTTCTACACTAGCCTCAAAGTTTAGACCCTGCATGTGAAATGCTGCAGTTTGTGTGTTCAGCCGGCATTCAGGGGAAAGGCTGCTTTGAAAGTTTAAGTCAGTTATTGTCGTCAGATTTTAATGCCAACAAGTAGCTGATCCATGGGATTTTGTTGACGGTGTGTGGTGTGGAAGTGGATTTGCACTTATTCGCTGGACCCATAGGTAGCCCATGTGGGCAGCGCATTTTGATAATGCCTATTAGACAGGAGTGCCTGGCATGCTCTGGTCCATGGGGTCACGAAGAGTCGGACACGACTAAATGACTAAACAACAAATTAGCGAAAAATTGAGTGTGTGTAATCCAGGATTGCATGATCAAATCCCACAAGGCAGTGAAAGGTGGTCAAGGTATGAAAAACAACTGGGTATGTTTAGCCTGGAGAAGAGAAGACTGAGGGCTTTCACACAGCAGAACTTTGATCTTCTGCCCCAGAGGACAGGACTAGGTCTAATTGGCTTAGGTTATAGGAGAAAAGATTTTAGTTGAACATGAGAATATACCGTATTTTTCGCACCATAGGACGCACTTTTTCCCTCCTAAAAAGCAAGGGAAAATGTGTGTGCGTCCTATGGAGCGAATGCAGGGGGGAGGCAGGCCGGAAAAGCCCTCAAGAGCCGCACACAAGCTTCGTGCGCTCTTGCGGGCTTTTCTCCAGGAGGGAGAAGGGACTGACTGGCTGTAGCAGTCCCTTCTCCCTCCTGGGGGAAAAGCCCCCAAGAGCGGCGCCCTCTTTAAAGGCTGTGCGGCTCCTGCAGGCTTTTCTACGAGGTGGGGGAATCCGCCCACCTCCCAGAAAACCCAGGAGAAGCCGCACCGCCCCTTTAAAGAGCGTGCGGCTTCTGCGGGAGGTGGGGGAAGCTGCAGCAGATTCCCTCCTCCCGGGTTCCCTTTGAGGCGGCAATGTGGGAGGGGAGCAGCTTACACTCGTGTAAGCAGCTCCTCTCCCACTTTCCTCCTTCAAAGCAACTACGGAGGAGGGAAGGAAGAGGACCATGGATCCTCCGCTGCTGGAGGCTTCAGCAGATTCCCCCCTCCGTGATTGCTTTGAAGCAGGAAAGTGGGAGGGGGGCAGCTTACACTCGTGTAAGCAGCTCCTCTCCCACTTTCCTCCTTCAAAGCAACTACGGAGGAGGGAAGGAAGAGGACCATGGATCCTCCGCTGCTGGAGGCTTCAGCAGATTCCCCCCTCTGTGATTGCTTTGAAGCAGGAAAGTGGGAGGGGGGCAGCTTACACTCGTGTAAGCAGCTCCTCTCCCACTTTCCTCCTTCAAAGCAACTACGGAGGAGGGAAGGAAGAGGACCATGGATCCTCCGCTGCTGGAGGCTTCAGCAGATTCCCCCCTCCGTGATTGCTTTGAAGCAGGAAAGTGGGAGGGGGCAGCTTACACTCGTGTAAGCAGCTCCTCTCCCACTTTCCTCCTTCAAAGCAACTACGGAGGAGGGAAGGAAGAGGACCATGGATCCTCCGCTGCTGGAGGCTTCAGCAGATTCCCCCTCCGTGATTGCTTTGAAGCAGGAAAGTGGGAGGGAGGCAGCTTACACTCGTGTAAGCAGCTCCTCTCCCACTTTCCTCCTTCAAAGCAACTACGGAGGAGGGAAGGAAGAGGACCATGGATCCTCCGCTGCTGGAGGCTTCAGCAGATTCCCCCCTCCGTGATTGCTTTGAAGCAGGAAAGTGGGAGGGGGCAGCTTACACTCGTGTAAGCAGCTCCTCTCCCACTTTCCTCCTTCAAAGCAACTACGGAGGAGGGAAGGAAGGGGACCATGGATCCTCCGCTGCTGGAGGCTTCAGCGGATTCCCCCCCAGCTTAAGTGGGGTGGGGGAAGTGTGGCAGGTAGGGGGTACCTACCTAGACAGTGAAGCCACATGTCTCTCCAATGAAAATTGGGAGTGGGCATTGTGTGAAGTGGCTGTGGATCTCCTGCCGCAGAACTGTAGGACTGTATAGAGTTGGGAGGTCCACCCGAGGGTCATCTAGCCCAGCCCCCTCACAATGTAGGAATCACAGCTAAAGAACGCCAGGCAGATGGTCCCCCAACCGCTGCTTAAAAGCCTCCAGTGGTGGAGACCCCAAACACCTTCCGAGGTCATAGAATTGCAGGGTTGGAAGGGAACCCCAGGAGTCATCTAGTCCAGCCCCGGTGGACAGCATGTGCAATCCATCCCGTTGCGCAAGACTAAAGATGCTGCGCAAGGCTAAAGAAGAAGCCAAGGCAGCGAGCGGGATGGATCGCGCTTGCTGCCTTGTCTTCTTCTTTAGCTGCACTGGAGAGGTTTAGCTCCTGGCTGGAGAGGTTGTGCGGCTATGGACCCCGCGCGCTGTCTTGGCTTCTTTGCTCTTTGGGGCTGGGGGGGGGGACCCGGGCTTCCCCCGCAGCCCCGAGAAGGTCTGGGAGAAGCGGACAGGCTGCGTGCAGCCTGTCCGTTGCTCTTTGGGGCTGGGGGGGAATAATATTTTTTTCCTTGATTTCCCCCTCTAAAAACTAGGTGCGTCCTGTGGTCCGGTGCGTCCAATAGAGCGAAAAATACGGTATGTCTTGTCAGTAAGAGTAGCTTGGCAATGGAACCAATGAGCTAGAGAAATTGTGGGATTTCCCTGGCTAGAGGTCTTCAAGCAGAGGCTGGACAGTCATCTGTTAGGAATACTCTAGGTCAGGATTAACTATATTGGGAAGAGCATTGAACTAGATTGTCTCCAAGGTCCTCTTCAGTTTATTGGGCTTGGAGAATTCTCTGTTTAAGGGCTGCCTTAGATCATACTCAACTTCCATTCATATGGGTTTCTATACCCCTTGTAGAGTATATCTCTATATTATATTTGGACTCCTTTATTGTTGTGCTGATGATTGCGTATGAATGTATCCAAGACTGGTAGTCTTCCTGTACTGTTGCTGCCACTGATGGGAGAGAGCGGAATGAAGGAGAGGAAATCTTTCTCCATTCCCCCTCTCCCTCTGCCAGCAAGGTTGCGGGGCCGGGGGGCAGGAATGGGACAAGCTCTAAAGTGATGCAGGGTTGGGGTTGAGTCAACTTTTAAGGGCATGAGAGGAGGGGGATTGGAAAAGCTATGGGGGAAGGTGGGCTGAGCAAAGTGTGAGAAGAAGACGTTTTTTGGGACATGCTCTGAGGGAATGGGGGGAAGGATATTGTGGGAATGAGCTGTGAAAGGGAGCTTGAATTTTTGGACAAGCTGTGAAGGGAATGTTTTTGTAGGGCAAGGTGTAAAGGGAGGAGTTGAGATGTTAAGTGAGGGAGGATTGGATGAGGTGTAGTGGGAGCAGGGTTGGCCAGCAGTGTTAGAAACTGTGATAGAAAAGCTAGGAACCAAATGGCTTCTGGGACCTGAGTTGTGGGTGCCAAAACAGAATGTCTAGTTGCCACTGGGGGGACAGCAACACTTTATGTTTATTATTGTGATAAGCGTGAATTGATAAGCAATTCACATAAGTGACACATTGTTAATATCACATTTTTAGTCGAAATTGTTAATACATGTTTAATTTGGTGCTGACAATAAAAAATTGGTACCATACTCCAGTTTTCCAAGTGCTCTACTCTTTTTTTGTTAAACTCCTTAACATATTGTCTATCCTTAACATATACTTTGAGGCTTCAAAGCACATACATGTCAGTAATCCTTGAGCATCAGCCAGGTGCAAAAAAATGGCACCCAGTCTTTTGGAGGTGCTCACAAATGGAGAATCTTTAGACGCAAAATGCTCCTGGCACCCTGCTAATTTCAAACCCTCTTGGCCAGATGTAAATGTAGGGGGCTGGCAATAAGGATGTGTTGGCTGGCAGGGCTGGTGAGCAGTGTGAGGAGGAGTGGCAAGCCCAAGTACACCAATATGCACAATTCAGAAGGAATTGTTACATTTTTAAGATGTTGGGGAAAAATACCACCAATATACTGAATGTTGCACAAGCTAAAGTCTTTTTATAGCATTTACATACACAGAAATTCTGGAAATTTTTGAGGCACTGTAGATAAGCTAAGTCATTATTTCTTTGGGTTTATTTCCATAATCTCTGCCACTTAGGGAATTGTTAAATAGACATTTTATGTTGTTGTCTGAATTAGATTTATATCTCACCAGTGTTGCTGCTTAATATCCAGAAAAGCTATACTTCTTTGATCATTATTGAATAACAATTATAGACCACAGCTTAAAATGTTAAGGTCCAATAATTTAACATTTCTGATATTTAAAAACACCATGTTTATAGACTTTCTCAGAATTTGCAGCCCAGACGAACATCAGTCAGGGATACAGTATTCAGTTTTATATTTTTAAACCAGGTTTAAGTCCATAGAAATCAAGTTGGCATTTAGTTAAGATCGTAAGAAGAGCTTTCTGGATCAAGGCAATAGGCCTTCTAGTCCTACTAATGAGCCCTGCTCTCACAGTGGCCAACCAGATATCTGTGAGAATCTTGCAAGCAAGACCGAAGCGCAAGACCCACCCACCCTGCATGGTTTCCAGAAACTGGAATTCAGAAACATATAAGCTCCAAAACTTACTGCCAAGAAATTAAACAGCATGTGTGTAGATATGTTGTTACAGATTATCAAATATGAGGAACAGCAGGAATTACAAAATTTTAATAATTTAAGCAGAAGAAAATGTTGATTCAGTCATTTAAATAACTTCCTCTGTTATAAGAGATGTTGTATCTGTGGAAGAAGCTTGTGTGAGAGAGAGGTGGGCAGGAGAGATGTATTTTTAAGAAGCAAATGCTAATTTGGCTAACTTCAAGTATGAATATTTTAGTTTAACTTCTGAACTCTATTGTCAGGTGTCGGCAACAGCAGTGAAGGTGGAAGAGGCAAAGCTGGAGCTAAGCTCTTCCAGGATTTCCAGATGTTAAGCAGAATTTGGACTCATCCTTGGTGCTTGCAGCTGGATTATATTAGCAAAGAAAATAAGGTAAATCACATCTGTCTGTCTCTAATGAAAGTTTCAGTGAGACATGCCAAGTCCTAGACAGTTTCACTGAAATAATTGAAATTTATTTTCGGTATGACAGCTAGTTATTTTTTTAATATATTTTAGTTGTAACTGTTAACCACTTTTCCTATGTGTTTTGTCATTACTAAAATAGTCCCTTACTCACCCTGGCATTGTTCAGATGAGTGAACAGATGTTCTAAACGCTTAAGCAAGGACAGCTAAACTTCTCTTCTAAAAATATGCAATTTGGTGTTTTGTTCAGGGCTATTTTGATGAAGATAGTCTTGATGAATTCATAGCTTCTGATTCTGATGAAACATCAGTGAGCTTAAGCTCTGAGGAAGAGATCAAGTAAGTTGAACCGTTCCACATAAACTGTAAATGTATTTACTCTGAGTTGGTGAAATTTGTGTTTGTTGTAGAATTACATTTTTTAACAACAACAACAACAACATACAACCCCCCCAAAAAAACTCACCCTAACTTTGCAAGTTTTTTTTTAATAATAATGAGCATCAAATGTTATGCTTATAGGAAGAAAAAATCGAAGGGTAAGAAAAAGGAGAGTAGCAGCAGTGAAAGTGGAAGTGATAATGATGTTGAAGTGATTAAAGTCTGGAATTCAAGATCTCGTGGAGGTGGAGAAGGAAACATAGAAGAACCAATAAACAATCCTCCAGCCATTGCAAAGTCAGATGAAGGTAATGAGGGATTTCAGCTAAATTTCAAAATTTAGACACCATTGCAGAGGAAATTCACCATACAGGACTGGAGTAGAAACGATAATGTTGGGTGTCCTACTCTGAAGCTCACTCAAAATATCAGCTTATTATACAGTGGTATCTCTGGTTATGTAATTAATTCATTCCGGAGATCCATTCTTAACCTGAAACTGTTCTTAACCTGAGGTACCACTTTAGCTAATGGGGCCTCCCGCTGCTGCTGTGCTGCCGTCACGTGATTTCTGTTCTCATCCTGAAGTAAAGTTCTTAACCTGAGGTACTACTTCTGGATTAGCGGAGCCTATAACCTGAGGTGTTTGTAACCTGAAGTGTTTAAAAAATGTTTTAAACAAAGTAAATCAGTAAATCAAAAAGTACTTATACTTTTCTGGGTAAAGCCCTCCCTCAGTAAAAAATATTATTAGTTTGATGTAAGTTATGCTTCCAAGTAATTTACAAAACTTGAAACACTTCCAGTGCAGGCCCATAATGATCTTCCTTTCATCCATACACCTGTGATTCATCCTGCTTTTTAAACACTGCCTTTCAGCTCTCAGAAGGGCCCACAAAGCTTAGATTAAATCAACACAATCAAAATAAATTGTAAATCATACAAAATCAGAGAGGGTTAAAACAAGCCAGTAGTCGCATAAAGGTAGTAGTTTCTGTTTCTGGGGGTGAATGGTTTTTGAAAGGCAGCTTATGAATCTGTTAAAGTAAAATAAACCAAAGGTGGAAGAGATATGTTTTTACTACCTTCCTGAAAGCAATTAATGGGGAAATCATGCTGATTTCTCTTGGGAGGTTTTGGTGCGATGACTGAAAACATTGCACCCCATATTCTCAGTGGCAAAACACATAGCAAAGCTTCTAAGGGTGAATGCAGTTTGTAGACTTGTTCATGCAGGAACAAAAGGTCCTTCAAATATCTGGGTTCCATCCATCTAAGAATTTTATTGGTATTAAGCAGCATTTTGAAATGGGCCTGGAAATAAACTGGAAACCAGTAAAATTAAACAGGAATGTAGTGTCATAAGGTCCAAAAAGCTGACACCAGAGATTAGTTGGGTCACCTGATTTTTCACCAGCTGTAACTTTTGAATATTTTTAAAAGGCAACCTGAAGTAGAATGTGTTAAAATGGCATTAAAGCAATTTTTTAAACTTCCAAAAGGACTGCTTGAGAAAGGATTGCAGAACTGTCCCTTGCAGCTCCTCTCCCAGCTGAACTAACATTTGATAATTGCAGCTTCTCTAAGGAGAAAAATGTCTAAAGGTGACAGATTGTATGGGAAGGGCTGGTGGGTAGGGAAAAGTTGCATACATCCCCCCTCCTTTGCACCCCTTTCCTCATTAGAGATACTATTTACTATGTGCTTGGGACAGATATATGTTTAATTTTTCAGATCAGCCAGAATCCCTTCTAGTTTGGCTTTGAGACTGGAAGTGCATTAAAATTGAAGATGTAATCAAAGCATCCAAATGACAAAAAGCAGTCCGTAGCAGGTACCAATGATTGCAGGTACCAGGGAGCCAAGCAGATTATGAGGATAGATAGGGACAGTTCAGTGAAAAGCAAGTCTGGGAAGGTATTTTTTTTTGGGGGGGGGCGTTATGGCCCATGCATATGCTTTTAGGATTGTGATCAAGGACTGCAATCTAAGGCCTACTTTCTAGGAAGTGCATTCTGTTGAACTCAGTCTGCCAGTCAGGCTGGAGAGATGTATTAGGTTGGGAGCATTACAAACAATTCTGTCTTAAAAGTAGCTGGAAGGTCTAGAGCTCTCACTTATATGAACTCTGTTTCCTCTCCCCACACTATCCAGGGCCTTAAGATGTTACTTGATTGCTGTATTCCATATGCCCTTTGCATTCCATACAAGGGAGGTATGGAGCATAGCAACATGAGAACTGGCCTTTTCAGTGGTGACTCTTTACATGTGGAATGCTTTCCCCAAGGGTGCCATCCTTATCAGTTTTCAGACATCAGGCAAAAAAAAAATTCATCCAGGCTTCTTACCTTTAATTTGGAGAGCATTAGGTATATTTGTGCCTTATTTCTTGATCATCTTATTGTGTATATCTTATTTTTAACAAGTCAGTGTTTTGGACTACCAATAAGATAATACAAGGAAAGAATTCTGTGGAAGAGCATGCTGCAATTAGTAACCATATCAAAGTTTTCAAGACTCCCCCCCCCAAAACAAACAAACAATAAGTAACACACGACTGAAGTAAAATTAAAGCCACATATTTATAGTACTGCCTAAAGAATGTAGGTAACATAAATAAAGTCAACCCTGGAATCTTGTATCAAGTTATAAATTTGTAGATGTATTTGGGTATGTGTTGGAAGTCATCACAGTGAAAGGAATGCAGATAGCTAATGGACCTCCAGTATTTTCCAATTTTAATTCAATTCAGATCTAAAGTTTCACATCAAAATAGTTCCACAGTCCAAAAGGCATCACAGCTAACTCTGAGTGCAACAGTTAAACCTTTCCCTCACTAAATTTTAAATAGCAGACCTCCTCCCGAGCTAGGAAATAGCTGGTAAGGAAACAGCTAGCTACTTTAAATGAATTCAGATCTCCAGGGTCTGATGAGCTGACCCAATGGTACTAAAGGAGCTTGTAGATTAACTCTTGTAGAGCTTGTAGAGCCTGTCTATTTATGGCCAGACTGGGGATGAGCAAATGTCCTAAAAGGGGAAGAAAGGACCCAAGTTTCTATTGATGAGCTTGACGTTGAAACCAGAAAAGGTTATAGAACAGATAATTAAATGCTCGCTCTGTGAGCACTTAGAAAAGGATGCTGTGGTTACTAAGACCCAGCATGTGTTTCTCAAAAAACAAGTCATGCTTAACATGAGTCAACAGTATGATGCAGCATCCAATTTGCAGACAACATCAAACTGTGAGGGGCACAGAAGACAGAATCGGGATTCAATATGATCTTAACAGATTGGAGACTAGGTCCAAACTAACAAAATAATTTTCAACAGGGGCAAATGCAAGGTTCTATACTTAGGTAGGAAAAACCAGCTTTAAAATTATAAAATGGGGGACATTTGGCTTGCCAGTAGTGGCATGTGGAAATGTTCTACGGGTCTCAGTAGGTAACGAGCTGAACATGAGTCAGTGTGATGCAGCAGCAAAAAAAGCTAATGCTGTTTTGGCTGCATCAACAGAAGTACAGCATCCAGATCAAGGGAAGAAATAGTACTATTCTCTTCTGCCTTGGTCAGACTACACCTGGGGTACTGTGTCCAATTCTGGACACCACAATTTTGAAAGGCTAGAATGTATGCTGAGGAGTGGGAGACCAAGATGATCAAGGGTCTGGAAACCAAGCCTTAAGAGAAACAGTTGAGGGAGTTGGGTATGTTTCACCTGGAAAAGAAGAGGCTAAGAGGAGATATGATAGCTATCTTCAAACATCTAAAGGGCTGTCACATGGAAGATGGACCAAGCTTGTTTTCTCCTGCTCTAGAGGGTAGGACCCAAAGCAATGCTTCAAGCTGCAAGAAAGGAGATTCCGACTAAACCATCAGGAAGAACTTTGTGAGAGTAAGAGCTTTTAGACAGTGGAATGGACTCCCTTGTCTCCCTCAATGGAGGTTTTTAAGCAGAGGTTGGATGGCCATCTATCTTGAATGCTTTAGTTGAGATTCCTTCATTGTGGGGCATTGACTAGATGACCCTCAGGACCCTTCCAATTCTACAATTCTGTGATTCTATGAATTTGGCATAGGGATATCTTAGCCTTTGAGTTCCTTAAAAAGAGCCCTCTGGGGGTTTAGGATGGGTAGTGCACCACCCCCACTTAGTGAGAAGCCTCCACTGATATGCAGAAATCAGAACAGAAAATCATGTCATTCTTGGAGCTAACATCAGTTGTGAACAGTGGGAGAGTGGTGGAAAAAGTGTGGTGGAGAGAAGTGTGCAAGCCAGCACAAGCTGGCAGGGCTCGGGGAATATTGCCTTCTCCTGAAGAGTTTTAAGCCCTTGCTGTAATTTGAGTTTCAAATGTTGTAAATGGTTCATGTTTCAGAGGAAATGACAGCTGTGTAAGCTATCCAGATATTGTATTAACTATATTAGAAAACATAGTTGGTAAGCAATTTTGAGTTAAAACCAACATTGAAGACGCTTCCCTTTTGCTTTTTTGAAATGCATTTCTTGCAGTCAAGGCTGAAAAAGTATTGCTTACTGATTTATTCCTTATGGAAAATATGTCAATAAAGCAGACATAAATACATGATGCAAAACATACAGCATTACTGCTACAGGCATTTAAAACAGGATAAAAGCAGCATAAAATCTACCACAGTAAAAAAAACAAAACCCTGAAAAATGTCTTAAGATACATATATTAAGGTGTTTGTTTTTTGTATTTTCCCGTAGGTAAAACTGCTTCTAACCCAGGCAGCCCAGCTCCAGATTGGTACAAGGATTTTGTCACTGATGCGGATGCTGAAGTGTTGGAGCATTCTGGAAAGATGATGCTTCTTTTTGAAATTCTTCGCATGGCTGAGGAGCTCGGGGATAAAGTGTAAGAGTCATTCTGGAAAGATTCCAAAGCATTTGTGCTTTAAGCAGACTTGGCTTTTTAGAATTGGCAGATTTAGATTAACATTCTGCTTTATATCCATAAAGTGTGTCAATGATACTGAGAGTGGTGAGGCAAATTGGTGTGCTAGTTAAATTGAAAACTAGTAACTATTCCTCTTTTTCTCAACTTTCAGCTTAGTGTTCAGCCAGTCTCTGATATCACTGGATTTGATAGAAGATTTTCTGGAGTTGGCAAACCGGGACAAAGAAGAAGACAAACCTATTATATATAAAGGCAAGTGCAGAAATGCAAGATTTGCAGAACTAGAAGAATTGTGAGACAAGTCATTTTTTAACTACAGTGGTACCTCAGTTTACAGTTGTACCTCGGTTTACGAACTTAATCCCTTCCGGAAGTCCATTCTTAAACCGAATCTATTCTTATACTGAGGCGCGCTTTCCCTAATGAGGCCTCCCGCTGCCCTGCCTTTCTACCATTTGGCTTCCATTTTTAGACCGAGGTAAACTTCACAAACCAGGACACTACTTCCGGTTTTGTGGAGTTTGTAAACGGAATAGTTCGAAAACAGGGCTGTTCTTAAACCGAGGTACCACTGTACTGTTTAATTTTTGGGTTTTAAACAAAAAACTCTGGTACTTTGAGACTTAAGGAAGTTCAACAGGAGAAAGGTTTTGATTTTACAGAACAAAATTGGTAAAACAAAAGATGTATTAGGAGATAGGATTCTTTCAAGAAACTGTGTGTGTTATAGGCTTCTAAACAAGGTGGTAAACACACAGCTTCTTTTGATTTCCGCTTATTAAGATAACTGTTTGAGTGTTATAGCTTAGGTCTTAATACTTGGGCTCCAAGGTGGTACTTTCTGTCACTTTCCCAGTCTTCTATAAATCACAACCCAGAGGCTCCTCTAGCAGTATAACAGATCAAGCAATCACCATACCTCTCCTAACTGGTTTGGGATTCTTCTCTTTCTCTAAATGTTCTCTTCCCTTCTTACTGTATTGAAATATAGAGTGTTCTGTAACAACTCTCCCTTTTCCTGTCCCCAATTGAGCTTCCCAGTTATTCTTCTTTGGCTGCAGATATTTTCCTCAGAGTGGATGTTCAGGAGGTATACTCCTATCAAGCTGAATGCCAAGAACTGCAGCTCTCGCCTCGAACTGCTTTTCTTTTCCCAAAGTGCTAGCTTAACCCCTCCCCTCTGTGGCTAGCTGTACCCACAGCCAATCAGAGAGAGGCTCCAGCTAAGCACCATGGTGAAATTCTGCTGCACTGCACCACTAAACTCTGGTCTAGCTAAGCTTTCCATCACAACTTTGTTTGAAGCATGCATATCATGCAAGCAGCTTGCATTTGAATTTGTAAACCATATCATTATTTACTAAGTTCATTCATAATAAATGTTTTCCTAATCCTGCTTATCTTCCAGTAGGTTTCATCTAACTCCTATTCTCCAAAATAGGGTCAGTCAAATTTGAACAGTTTGCCTTTCTATCCCCTCCATAAATGTGAATTCCTTAGATTGTGAAAATATATCTTACTGGACTTTGTAAACACATCTTCCAGGGATACAGTGTGGGCAAAAGATTTGGATTATGCTGCTCAGCAGGGAAGCTAAAGAGGAAGAACTATGGGGGTCGGTAAGCATAAGACTTGCCCCTATGTCTTATTCAATTGATATATAATAATTTGTTTTTTTTTAATTCCCAGGTGAAGGGAAATGGTTCAGAAATATAGATTATTATCGTTTAGATGGCTCTACAACAGCACAATCAAGAAAGAAGTGGGCTGAAGAATTTAATGATGTAACGAATGTCAGGTAAAAGAAACCCACACCCTTTTCTGCTTGTAAATTTATATAAGTGATAAAAGTATATCTTTTCCAACCATTGTAATGCATCTAGGAAATGAGCCCTGCGAAGCAGTCGTTGGTGCTGGGGCACTTTGTTCCCCCAAGCTAGTTTATAAATGCCACAGACTGCAGTCCTATATTCACTCGCCCAGGAAAAAGCCTGTGTTGCATTGTCAGGAAATAAAAATAGTGGGAATTAACTTATATGTAAGTAGGTTTAATATTGAATTACAAATCTTTAACCGCAGCAAGTCATACTTGCTTTATTTATTTCATAACATTTATATAGCGCTCTCAAAGTGCTTTACAAAAAGAACAATTTACCTGTAAAAAAATTATAACCTTCAAACAATAATTAAAATCGACAATAAGCTAAAAACTAGATCAAAGCACATTTTAAAAACAGTTAATTTCTATAAAATATTTTGAAGAGTTAATACATATTCTGACTTTGGCAAGAATCTCCTTTGGGACCAGACCACACAGAAGGCAGGAGAGCAAGAAGACCCAGTTGGGCTAGGCCATCCTACTACACCCAGAGTCCAAGTGACTGTTCTGAGCCAGCCTGTCATTGGCTAGTGGTGCGTGGTTGGTTTGGAGTAGACCTAAGACATAATTCCCTGCCCACCCCTCTTATTAACTCCTGGGTCTTTTATTGGGGATCCATCCTAGGCATTGTTCAGTGCCTTTTGACTTCCTCTCCCTCTTTTGGGGGCCTTGGGGTAAGGGCCAGTTCAATTTGGGGGCTGATATTCCTGCCACACACTCTAGTTGACAACAGTGGTTGGAGCAGCATACACTGTCGACTTTCTTAGTAACTGTCCTTCCCCAATAGCCATCTTAGCAACAGCAGCAGTCCAGCACTCTGAGACTTGGGTTTGCTGTTCCTGCTGTTCCATCTGCCATCAATAAAGTTGTGGCCTGTTTTAACCCACTCAGTTCCTGTCCTTGTTTTTCTGGCCTTGCTTTGGTCCCTGCTGCTGGCATAATTAGTTACTTCCTCTCTTAATGAGAAGAAATGCATTTGATGTTTGGATTTCATTTAAGAAAGGGCTTCTGTCGCTACGTTAAAGGCTTCCTGTTGAGTTAGTTGATTATAGGTTTGTGCTGACACATGTCCCGCCCTTTGATGTGACAAACTTGCTGTTCACAACACATGTGTGGATTTAGACAATTTTTGACCATAGTAAGGTAAATTTCTCTAGTATTCCTCTGCATGTGAATGCTGAACTAAAAAATAAATAAATCCTTATGTAATCCTTATTGTAACTTGCAGTTTCGCAGGGAGACTGGGAGTGTTCAACCCCCATGCTTTGCTCAGTTTTGATCAGGCTTACCTATGCGGCACTAACACCACCCCCAATGTTTGTTTCTTATTGCATTTGTTAGGTGTTTTATACAAAAAAGAATTGCCTTAAAGTGACATAACATCAAAATAAAATACAGATAAAAGAAAAGGAAAAAAAACCCCAGATAAACAAGTTTAGTATTGTGTGCACATAGTCTGTTTCACTAAATATAGTTTTCCAAGATTTCAAGTGTTCCACTCAAACTTTTTGATGTATATTTATAACTGTCTTCCACAGAATGTAGATTGCTTCAGCAGTATAACCAACAATCACCCCAGCCTGTTAAAATTTTGTTTGCTTTTTAGTTTGACAAACTGTTCAGATACCTTGGGACACGGCTTGGTGATTCGGAGCTCCTTATGGGCACATCTACTCCGTCTTGCTCTCATGGTTTACTATGACTTCAAAGTGGCATTTACTACAGTAACTGCCAAGTGTTGTTTTCACTTAAGCAACAAATTTAACTTATGGGCCAATGTGAAATAAGGTACAAGGTTGTGTATGGGCATGAGAATCTCCCAGTAGATGAAAAATACTACACACTATAAATATTGCAAAAATAAAACACAATATCACATTTTTAAACAACTTGTTTTGTCACTCAGACTAATGAATATTCCTTTGATTTGGGGAGGGAAGTATCTTTTTAAATTAATTAGGAAAGATTGTGAGAGGGATTAAAATTTACTTTCCTTTTTGCAGAGGCCGTTTGTTTATTATCTCTACTAAAGCAGGATCCCTTGGAATAAACCTGGTGGCTGCAAATAGAGTAATTATTTTTGATGCTTCTTGGAATCCATCATATGATATCCAGAGTATTTTCAGGGTTTATCGCTTTGGGCAAAATAAACCAGTGTTTGTGTACCGCTTCTTGGCTCAGGTAGGTTTGAATTAAATGCTTTCCATGTGATGTGTGATAAGTTCAACAATAAATTCTAGAAAATAGTGTACTATGACTAGATTCATCCTTATTTTTTGTCTTCTCATATTTGTTAGCTTCAGTGTAGTTTTAGGCTTAAGAAATTGAAGCAAGTTTCCAGAAGAAAACATGAAGCTCTAAAAATCAACCATACCAACCATGTACAGTGGTACCTCAGTTTAAGAACAGCCCTGTTTACGAACTATTCGGTTTATAAACTCCACAAAACCGGAAATAGTGTCTTGGTTTGAAAACTTTACCTCGGTCTAAGAACGGAATCTAAAAGGTAGAAGGGCACTGGCGGTGGGAGGCCTCATTAGGGAAAGCACCCCCCGGTTTAAGAACAGACCTCCAGAACAGATAAAGTTCGTAAACCGAAGTACCACTGTATATTCTTTCAAACTGTGTGACTTGACATTCTAAGAAATTTTAGCACACACACACACAAAAGTTGCCCTTCAGCAACTCAGTGGTGCAGTACCTCTGAAGACAGAGGTTCCATCCAATTATCCATGCATTTGTCATATTCCCCCTTTAAAGACATCTGAACCAGCAGCCGCCGCCACGTTTCGTTGCAATGAATTCCGAATTTTTTTTTATTTACTTACTTGCTACCTACCTTGCATTCAATAAGCTTTGAAAGAGTGGCATATTTTTGCATCAGGTGAGTTAAAGTGTTTTCTTTCACCTTGAAACTACTGCCAACCAGCTTCATTGGGTATCCCTTTCATCAGCAGTAGGGTATGTGTGTGTGTGTGTTGCAAAACAGTGGCAGAGAGCTTGAGGGAACTCTGGGTTGGTGGTTGGGGTCTCTCAAATGTGCGTGTGGACATAAATTGTAATGTATTTTTGTTTTGAAGGGAACAATGGAAGACAAGATCTACGATCGTCAAGTAACTAAACAGTCACTGTCTTTCCGGGTGGTTGATCAGCAACAGGTTGAACGCCACTTTACCATGAATGAACTCACTGAGCTGTATACTTTTGAGCCAGACTTGTTGGATGATCCTAATTCAGAAAAGAAGAAAAAAAGGGATACACCTATGTTACCAAAAGTAAGTCAATATGTACAGTTAGCACCTACAGTACCAAAATATATAGGTATGTGCCTTTTTGTGGGGGGGAGCAGGGAGTAAATATGAATTGTCATGCAGAATGAAACCAAGGATCTTTTTAGCCCTTCTGTCTGTCTTGAGCAGTGCATGCAGGTCCTGATCCACTTGCTCGCTATGTGAAAAGAATTATGCCTAATCCTCACTATAAACTCAGAACACCAGGAGTTTGCTCACTTCATTATTTTCTTGCTTGTTTGATAGTAGATAGCAGCCATTTTCTGGCATAAACCAAGCAGGGAGGAAGGGGGCAAGATTGGATGAACCAGAGAGTAGGAGAGATCGGACAAATCAGGGCCTCTTTCTACATTGCATTTCCTAAGTCCAGGCATTTCACTTGCAAATTTGGCACTGTGAAATTGAAGTAGGAAACGGGGGATGGGTTAGCATTACAAAATCTCCACCAGAATAAAAGGCGTGACCTGAGAAAAATAATGAAATGGAGTCATCATTCTGCTGCTAATCCCTGGACTGCTTTCCACATAACAGTTTAATTCGCAGAAGTGGTTTTTGCAAGTCACTCCCATGACAAGTGCCTCAAAGTGTGAAGGGTTGCGCTCTTGCCTTATTCATGGGATTGCAGAGCATCCATTTCATAATGGCTTAATAATGTTCTCAGATGTGTATGAGGATTCATTTCCTGGAGGATTTATTTAGCTGGCTTGGCTTTCTCTGCCAAGTTTCCTTTTTTAACACCTGAGTCCTCAGTTGTACATTAGGAACTCTTAAATACTTCATTTCATTCACTTTGATTTATTGCTGCCTGACCAAGAGAGCTACCTAACAATGTCCCAGTGCCAGTCCATATTGTACATTCCTTGGAACTCTTGTTGGCTTTTATTGCCTGCTAATTTTTGAGTCCTGGGAGATTGCTCCTTGAATAGAATGCCCTGACGAATTCTGACTCACGACTCCCATAATATCTAGTGATGGTTCACTTTGTTGCACTTAATACTACATTACCAAGCAGTCCTAATGATTAGAACAATGCAGCCACACCTGAAGCTCTGCCAGCAGTTTGTTGTGTTTTTACCTTATTTTACAAATTTCCTATGCTGCTTAACTTCTGGTGAAGCTTCCAGAATTGCAGGTTAGGGTTCCAATTTTTTTTAAAATAATAATAATCAGTGCATACATTTTTTTCTATCTATACAAGAACAAAAAGTTCAGCCTTTTAGATTCACTATTTTAGATTCACTATTTTGGCCCTTAATTGGTCACTTTGGTAAAAGTAAATTGAATATAAAAGGTCACAACTCCTAGTCCCCACCCCCTTCAGCTCTCCTTAGTTTGTTTCCATGCTTAGTTCCATAAGTACTGATGTTACACCACAGTGTGTGATAAAGAAACCAGATATTGCTGAATGTGGTATAGTACTGAACAGTATAGATGTTGATGAATTGCAAAAATTCCAAAAAGAGCGAAAATTGCCAAAGTTCATTTATTTGTACCATGTCTGGAATGGAAATCAATCCAGCAAATGAGGGGGTATTTGCGGTTGATGCTTTCACTCTGCAGATGATATGTAAGGTTGTGGGAATTTTTTTAACAAAACAATTTGCATTGTGTTTTCTTTGCTTTGAAAAGAAGGGAGACTTGTTGAGTGCAATTCACATCAGAAAACAATATTCCTATCAATATTGAAGTGTTTATTGATGAGTTCATTGAAACAATGTTTCAAGAATCATGCAAACGTTAAGAAATGTTTTACTGGGGCATGTTGGTGGGTGGTTGTTGAGGTTTTTTTTTAAAGTACTGTTGAGTAGAGATGTTGAGAAGGCATAACTTTCCATTCTAAACGGTATTTGTTGCCAAAATGCATTATTCATCTTGTTATCTGCTGTGGTGAAATTACATAACTTACATAATTAATGTTACATTCTCTGATAGTATTGCACCCAACAAGTTTCTCTCACTCATCAATTTGAAGATTGAATATTTGGCAGGTTGGTTTCGTTGCGTAACCCTGTGTTAAATAGAAAGAGATGTTGCAGTGTGCTTCTTAAGATTATGAGCTTGAAATTATTGGACAACTTTCAGATTGGTTCATGAACTCACTAGTTGAGAAGTATCTAAAATGATATCTCAACTGAAAACATTACTGAAAAAGTAAACATTTTTATCCTGTGCTTAAAGGAAAATTGAAAGAACACAAATTGAAAACTTTCTTGGGATATCATCTTTATGAAAAAATTCAAAGTTTTATTTTGGGAGGAAATAAGTTGGAAAATAGAGATGATTTGGGGGGGGGGGCAACTTTTTAGAAATTGGCTTTAAAAGATGGACATACATTGTGTCCCAAAGCTGAACTTGTTAGTGAGATACTTTCGTGGTTCTTACTTTTCTACGCATGTTGTTGCTTTTGCTCAAGCTGTCTTTTTTTTAATGTACAGATTTGAAAAGCAGCTGGGGAGATTTTGTATGATACTGTATAAAAGCCATTTGTAACATCAATATAGAGAGCTGTATCTTCTAGCAAAGATATTTTACATTTTTGAAATCAATCTTCACACAAATTCCTTCATTAAACATGCACTTTGAATTGTGGGAGACCATCAATAAATAGTTTATAAAGTTTTTACCTTTCAAGCCTTGACCTTTATTGAATACAAGTTGCATTTCAGACAAAAAATGCGGATCTACCCAGTTGCGTATAATTTAAACCACATTTTGATGACTCTGTTGGCATGGTATATATGGATTAAATTGCACTGTATTCAACAGTATTGTTACCATAGGAACGAAGGCAAATGCATGTCTGAGAATTCTCCAGCCATTTTAAGTCCTCTTACGTAGCATGGAAGAGAGCTCCTTTGTGCTAATTTAATTTTTGAATCTGGCCTTTTTTCAACTTCCATCTACATAGTTTTACTACTCTACTTTTTTGTTCTTCCCAGTTACTGATACACTTTGTGATCAGTTTTATTCTATGGATGTGTTTGGGGCTTTGTAACTTAAAAGTGGAGGTTATGTCTCACCTGAGGACGAGGTGCCTATCTGTCCTGTTAGCCCTGTAACACCTCCCCCCTGAAACAGGTTCACAGTTTGGGTGTGCTCCTGGAATCAGCTTTTGAGGCTGGATGCCCAGGTCTTTGCGGTGGGCAGGAGTGCATTTGCACGGTTAAAAACTGAATTCCCCGCCCGGGGAGAACCAAATTGGACTTCAAAAGTTATATTTCACCAAAAGCTTGATTAGGCCATAGAAATGAGACTGCTGAGGAAACAAACTTTCCTCCTTCCGCTGCTTTAATATCCCCTGATGAGAAGCATGCATCATCAGGACCCGCCACTTGCCATTAAAGAATTTTTATATGTGCTTACTGAATGTTCTGGCATTTTTATTTACCAGGATACAATTCTAGCTGAACTCCTCCAGATCTGCAAAGAACATATAGTGGGCTATCATGAACATGATTCCCTCTTGGACCACAAAGAGGAAGAAGAATTGACTGAAGAGGAGAGGAAGGCAGCTTGGGATGAATATGAAGCTGAAAAGAAGGTAGGATGCCTTAAGCCATTTAGAGCAATTTTGTTCTGTGACTCAGACAATTGTTCTGCATCTTCAGTATGTTTGGTCAAGGAGTATACCTCAGAAAACAGGAGCCTTGAGTTTCCAGTATAGACAGACTTTAGTAGATGGATTTGGCCTGTGATCAAAAAATGCATTTGCTAGAGGAATCCTTGTAGAGTTTGGTTGTTAAATGTGAAGAGCTCTTATTGTTTTCACTGCCCTACCCCAGTACTACTAATTTGTTATTGACTGGATTGGCAGTGAAGCACTGCTTCATATAAACCACACAAGAAGGAAGACAGAGTTAAAATAAAGATAAGCAAAAATCAGGAATTCTTCATGCCTCAGTTTTGAATATATCATTTCATTGCCTTGTTAAGGCATTTACTATGATTTCACACATTTGGTTTGGGGCTTAAACAAAACTGCACACTGTATTTCCAGAAAAATAAGTGTTATCCATTGCTATCTGTAAAAGACCAAACATCTCCTTGCCCCTCCAATTTAGTAAGCCCTCCCAAAATTTTGGTTTGGTTTATTGAAATAAGCATATTGTGATGACTGATGTCTACTTGTGCTTGGTGAGTCTGCAGAACTGAGGAAGGTAGCAGCCTATTTCCTAAACTACACTCCTACATTCTTCAAGGGGATGGCGCCAGAGCCCAACCTAGTAGTAATCTTATAATTCAAAAGCATCAATTCTTCGGCAATCCGCCTTCTTTATGGTCCAGCTCTCACTTCCATACATCACTACTGGGAAAACCATAGCTTTAACTATACGGACCTTTGTTGGCAAGGTGATGTCTCTGCTTTTTAAGATGCTGTCTAGGTTTGTCATTGCTTTTCTCCCAAGAAGCAGGTGTCTTTTAATTTCGTGACTGCTGTCACCATCTGCAGTGATCATTCAGGTGAGTACCAGTCATATATTCTCAAACCTTCAGCTTTGAATACTCAGAAGAGCTACCTCTGTTTTTCAGGGCCTGACGATGCGTTTCAACATGCCAACGGGGGCAAACATGTTCCCCACCAACTTTAATGCTCAGGCTCCATATATTCCTTTCAATTTGGCAGCATTGTCCGCTATGAGCAACCAGCAGCTTGAGGTAGGTGGGAAAGTTTCAAATACCATTAACATGATAGTTGCTTCATGCTGAGGATGCCTTACATAGTCATATTATTGTGCCCGACCATGAACCTAGTTCTTTTGCTTCACAATGAAAGTGCTGTGTGCATTGACTTGTAAGATGCTCGTTTCTAGGCTGTTTTGTGAAAGTTACTCCTTAATGTAGTTAAATAAAAACCAGAGGAGCAGAGTTGCCTCTCACAATTAAATTGTTTACGTGAGAAACACAGTAGTGTTTGAAATTATTTTCCATTCAGTAGCCCAACATGTGATTGGACATGTATGTGATTGGACATGGTAGTTGTATCATATGGAAGCATTATAAAGAAGCTAGGTAGGAATGGAATTTCACTATATTTGTAGATATCTTAATCTATAGTTATTCAGCAACTCTTAATCATACTTTTCTTTCAGGACCTCATTAATCAAGGCAGAGAAAAAGTTTTGGAAGCTACCAACAATGTTACTGGAGCAAGAATTCAACCCCTTGAAGACATCATTTCCAGTATAGTAAGTAAACTCACTGCTGATAAGAGCCATTTTTGCTCTGAGGTTGCATACATTTCAGAGAACTGCATTAAATGCTGATTATAGCTTGCAGTATGTCCCCCCCCCTTCAGTAATACTGAGATTGCAGATTAATCAATTGGCTGCAGTGCTGTGAGAAAGAAATCTGTTTCAGGCATTTAAAAAGCCTAGTCCTATGGTAATTTACTTATAAACTATACTGTATCTCTGGGGTCAGGAACCTTTTTCAGCCATGGGCCGGTCCACCGTCCCTCAGACCATGTGGTTGGCTGGACTATATTTTGGGGGGTAAATGAATGGATCCTTATGCCCCACAAATAACCCAGAGATGCATTTTAAATAAAAGTACACATTCTACTCATATAAAAACACGCTGATTCCCGGACCATCTGTGGGCCAGATTTAGAAGGCATTTGGTCTGCATCCGGCCCACAGGCCTTAGGTTGCCCACCCCTTCTGTATCTGGGGGAGCTTTCTTTCAGGAAGGCCTATGTAGGATGACTCCATTAATTTGTTTCTTTATTGTCTTGGCCAAATAAACTCTTCTAAACTGATTTCTGTTACAATATCGCATAGTATTCAGTTAAGTGTTAAATGAGATGAATGACATCTGAACACAATACAGCCATAGTTAAGTTCTATTTTTTTCTTTGGAGATGTAAGCACATACTTCTAATCCATCAGTCAAAATCAGTGGAGCTTTTAAGTGTTTTGGAGTTGCAGGTTGTGGGTTGTACATGAGGTTATGTTAAGATTGTTGCAGACAATGTTTGTCAACTCTGGCACTTATTTTAATGGATGACATCTATATATTTGGGGGGGGGACTTCATAAATAAGGTTTGTGCTAAAATGTTACTAAATCAGCATCCTGTCAGCAGCCAAGCCAAATATGCCAATTTCAATTTGTAAAAGATTTAGGATTTATATTATATTATGAACTGAAACTGTATTTGCATAATTTTGTATCAGCACGATCTACTTTAATTTTTATGAATGCTTCTTTTTATAAGCAGCTTAATAAAATAACTGTCTGTTTAAATTTCTGCAGAATACCAGATACTTCTCTATCTGCATTTCCAAATAGTCCTTATCCCTTTGCAATTTGTACTCTCTCCCTTCTTCCCTTCCCCCTCCCCAGTCTACCAGCTGTCATTCAAAGAGGAAAATTCCACATATCTGTTGGGCATGCTAAGGTCAGAGAGGTACCTAACAGAGCGCTTAAGAACCCTAGATCCTCTTTAGAATCGTAGCCCTGGTACATTCAGCAGGCATAATCCTTGAGGAAATGGTAGATTACCCAGAGAACCATTACTTCTCCTCCCGTCTTTCAGTTTGCCTTCTCCACCTGATATCCAAGACCTTTGGGACACCTTGCTCTCACCTGTTCTCACATGTCTTGTCCAAGGTGGGTGCCCCTGACCTCCAAGCAGCCCTTCTGCAGCTGTTGAACTGGAACAAGCACCACCCCTTCCCTCTCTACAGCATTACTACCAAACAAGACACTCAGGTAGAGATGAAGAATATGTGGATAGACAAAACCTGCACATGAAGGAAAAATCCCAGTGACCCATATTATGCCTGTCTTCAGCCAGAGCAGTCTGTTGCAGTGTCTCAGCAGATTTATTTTAGACCATTTTTTGAAAACTGAGTTGCTGTATTCTCAAGGCAAAAACTCTCTGTTGACACATTTCAGGACAAATTGAGGCTCTATAAGAACTACTGCTAAAACCCCCTGTTGTGTTTTCATTTGCAGTGGAAGGAGAATCTGACACTCACAGAGTCCCAGGTCCAGTCTTTAGCTCTAAGCCGACAAGCAACCCAGGAGTTGGATGTTAAGCGCCGGGAGGCCATCTATAATGATGTCCTGACAAAGCAGCAGATGGTAAGACTCACAAACACTTCTTGATTCAGGTAGACACATGGAAAAAACAAACAGGGCAGTAATGTAGAAGCACATTTGAAAAGGGGAGCTATTAACTGATTTATCCCACCCCAAGTGCTTACAAGACCTTTATTAGCATTGTGGATATCAATCTTACACCTCCCTAGGTCTCACTTGCAGGTTAGAGGCATCCCTGCAGTTGCTTGAGCTGTAATTTACATAGTGTGATGCAGCTTGCCTTTCTTGCTCCTAATCTGCACCAGCTCTTTTTTAGCAGCTTAGATTTAGCTTGGTGAGAGCTGGGTGTTTATCACCTTGCCAAGAAATCCTGCTGCAGAAAAAAAGATGTCATGCGCAGGTACTGTTCAAGTGAGTTTTAACCATATGTAGTACTGAAAAGATGATGATGATGATGATGATTATTTAGTTTTAAAGAAAAGAGGAACTTTATATGGCTCAAGAATGAGAGCTAGTTATAACAACAGAATTGAAAATCTAATGATACTGGGTCTTCAAATTAGCCCCACCTGTATCACCGCTAATCCCAATTGCATTGCATCCTTCCATGTACTCACCTACAAAAAAAAACCAAGTTGATGTGAAAAAAAGAAAAAGGCCTATATACTTTGGCTAATCTCTATAAAAAGGCTAACTCTATTACAGCAGACCAAATTATGGAAAAAATGAGGGTACAATGTGAATTAGCTATTCATACATCGGGTTATATACATTTTATTTCAAACCAAGCAATTAAATCCCAAGCACTCAAATCATGGCATCTTCTGAAAAAATATTTCTAAATACAACTCAGCATTCCCAAAAAAATTCTGCTGATACTACATAAAATACTCAGTGTTCTGGCCACTGAGTGATGCTCAGCTACTAAACAACTTTGGGAAACTGACCTAGACACTAAAATTGAAGAAGCTGACTGGAACAATCTGCGGACAAAAAAACTTTTTAAATATAAGCTAATTTATAGATGGCATGTATCACTGCTTAGTGTTGGGGGGTAAACCTTGCTTTCATCCTCCGTCCACCCTCCCACCTGTAATATGAAGATAGTTTTGCTGCCCTACCTTAACAAGGCTGTTGTAAGAATTTCAGAGATAGTCATACCTCATGTTACGTTTGCTTCAGGTTGCATGTTTTCAGGTTGTGTCCCGCGGCGACCCGGAAATAACGGAACAGGTTACTTCCGGGTTTTGCCACATGCGCAGATGTGCAAAATGACATCACATGCATGTGCAGAAGCGGTGAATCGTGACTCGCCGATGCGCAGACACGGGTTGCATTCTTTTCAGGTTGTGAACAGGCCTCCAGAACGGATCCTGTTCACAACCAGAGATACCACTGTAATCTGTTTGTTGAGCCCTTGGGGTAGGGGGGTGGAGGATATTGCGTTTTTTCTTTTTTTTATGTATTTTGTGTTTTTTCTTGTATTTTTATGCTTTGAACCAGCCTGAGATCTAGTGATGAAGGGTGGAATAATAATAATAATAATAATAATAATAATAATAATAATAATAATAATAATAATAATAATAATAATAATAATAATAATAATTCTATGTAAATACTACTGCAACAAGGAAGTTTGTTTCATTCTCTGTATTTTATTTTAAAAGCACTATGCAGACCTTGATGATCAGTATAAAGTCAATATAATTCATAGCACTTCTGAAAGAAAAATCAATTTCTTTAGAAATAGATATAAACAATCTTGAATGAGCAGAACTGAAGTAGTCCTTCACCAGACATTATTGATATTCTTTTCAAGTTCATCTCCTTGCTAACCAAATACTTTTGGCTGGAAATCAGTGCTTCTTAACACTAAGGAATTAACATGCGTCTTATGTAAAGTCTTGCAGGGTTTTTCATGTTATATTATGAAACCTGAAAAATTTTCCGAGGCGTTCTGTCAGACTGGAAGTATTTTCTCGTGTGATGTTTGCCACAAAATACTTACTTGGTCATTCACATAAGAATTTTCAGGTCGCTGGACGGGGGGTGGGGTAGAGAGACGGAAAATGGTACTAGAGGAGAGAATGTTGTAACTGATATATGGGAGCAATTTCACAGAGAGTGCTTGCCCCGATGGCAACCAAGATAAAGGTTGCTTGCAACACAATGGGTGAGTCATTAGGGGACTGTGGTCCGAAATGGTATTGCTAACTGGTGCCTCCAGTCACTTGCTTGAAAATGCCGCCACATTAGTGATGGTGGTAGCGGTGCAACAAGTATCAAGTTTCAGGTTAAAATCAATTTGTCAGGGATACTGTGGCTGAAGGGAAAGGCATTATTGAGACAGGTCATGCCCTTATAACAGCTCCACTTTTCCCTCCACAGCTAATCGGTTGTGTTCAGAGGATTCTGATGAGCAGAAGACTCCATCAGCAGTACAGCCAGCAGCAGCCACAGCAGCTGACCTACCAGCAAGCAGCGCAGCACGTGGCTCAGCAAGCAGCCATGAGTCATGCAATGATGCCAAAGCCGGGTTTGATTATGAATCCTTCCAGCTTCCAACAGATAGATATGAGAGGGATGTATCAATCTGTTGCTGGTGCAATGCAGCACCCACCCCCCTTGCAGCGGGCTCCTCTTCCAATGAGCGGCAAAGGCCCAGGACCATCCCAAGGGAAACCAATGTGATTATTTTGCACTAAAAGTTTTTAAGGATTGTTAAAATCACAGAGTGAGAGAGAACTTTTTTTATTTTTTTAGGAATCAATGGCTTAACAGAACTCAACTGTTTAAATAGTTTGAATGATTTCCGCCCCCCCCCAGCTTAATCGGCACGTTCCATTGTAATTATTCACTTTGTTTTAATAAGACATAACGCCCCCTCCCCGATATTTAGTGGTGTTGCCTAGAATCTTCTTACATGTGTTGAGTACAGGAGATATCCAGTTGTTTTCAGTGAAAACAGGTCCTTTCCATAACATTAGGGGCTGTACAGGTTTCCTGTTTAAACTCCTATGCTTGCTGTTAATAGCCATAAAAACAGCCATTAAATGGGAGAAACTTAGTGAAGTAACACAGATCTGTATATTTTGGTTGTCTCTCACACAAATGTGCACAGCTGAGTTCTTGGTTAAAGTTGATTCCTCAAATTATGGAACTTTTTATAATCTTTCACAAAATAGAAAGTGTAAAGACAGAACTGACACAGAAATTTATTCTAATCTTACAATTTGTGATGGGGGAAAAACCATAAGATTTAAAAATGATCTTAAAACAGAACTGAGTGCAATATTTTTAAATACTACTGCATTTAAACTTCCAAGTCATGCAGGTTTTTTAAGAAACTCTCTGCAGCCTTAAGTTAAAGCCTGAGAAGTTGCTGTTTCCTCTAGCCTTCTGCCACTTTTATTTCATGTACGTGATGGAATAATATCAATAATTTTTTATCCTTCACCAGTATACTTCCACCATGTGCTCGTTCCGATACAAAGCACATTTTTTTGACTCCTTTATACTGGTGCTAGGGTCTCATCCTGTTGCCGGCAGTAGGATGGTTGTGGACGGGCTAAGAGAAATATACTCCTGGTACTTTGGCGCTCAAATATGGTGGCAGTGGTTGGGATTGAGCCTGTCTTCAGTAAGCAGTTTTGAAATGGCTAGAACCATTTGCTCTTTAACCACATGAAGGAATGTGCTTTCACAGTTTGCAGTACTGTCAAGAGTTGTGAAATAATTCCTTGTTTTATAGATAAGAATCTCAATTTACCCTGTATTCCTTTCCCACCCTATTTCCCCCTTTAAAAAAATATAAATATGAAAGTGGAAGAAACAGCTTGGTTTTTTTGTTTTTTTGTTTGTTTGTTTCTGTGCTGGAGGGAGAAGTAAATTTCCAAATAATTATGCTTCATTAACAGCTACTTTTACGACATGAAAGTGGAATAGTTGTCTGTTTTCTGGGCTTATGAAGACCCACTAAATCTTTTTCTCGCATTAGTCTAGCTGATGTCTCCAGAAGAAAATACAGCTATTGGAACGCAGGCATAAAATTAAATGACAGGTACATATGAGGCATTGGAGAAGGAGCAAGTAAAGAGTAGGGTTATTTTGGAGATTTATGAACGCTAGGTAGGATTCACACCACTGAAAAAGCAAGAGTTGCTAATTTGTAGTCTAAAATTTCTTATTTTTTATCTATAATGCGCTTTGAGTCCCTGTCAGAGAAAAAGGCAGGTTATAAATAAAGATATAATAATAATAAAAGTTTGGTTTTGTGAATCATTCAAGAAGAGTGGTTGTGTTTTATTTCTCCTATCTGAGTGAATCAGTCAGCACCCAGGCAATGTTAATTTTGGGAAAGATTCAATTTTGCAGTGAAAATGCTTTGGTTGGTAATAGGAACACAGCTTGATCATTGCAGCAGATTTAACTATAAGTTGCTGTTTTCAGCTCTTTTAACAATGGGAAGACATCCTGAGCCCTTGTTCAGCTAGTGGTGTGATTCATTTCTTTAATTTGGTGAGAAGGAAAGTGCTCAAAGATTGCTATATTTGCTTCAGAGGAAGTGAAAATAGAGATTCCTTGACAAATGCTTGAAGGCAAATGGTAGCTGCCCAGGATATTCCTACATTTTGTAAAATAGAGCTGGGAATCTGAGTGGCATTTTTACATCAACTCAGGAGACTAAAGTTTTCACCAACTTTTTAAAGACAACACTTTTTCTCAACCTCAACAACAACAGAAAAAAGGCAACTGGTGTGGATGAGGATGTCTTGGAGACAAGAAGCATTGAACTAAAACTTGGACCACTTTTCATACATATTTCTCACTTGGCATATAGCTGCATAATAACGTGCTTTTTAGTATAGCGTCAAGTTTTAACCAACATTTAATGACAGAAATGTCATCAGTTATTAAAAAAACTCATTTTTATATTTGTTTTAAATGTTTACCTAGTTGAAATAGCTTATATAAGATGATAAATTGTTGCTCGTAATACAGTTTTGCCTGCTAAATTCTCCACCTTTTGTAACCTGTTTATTCCTTTGGATGTAAAGCGTTTTTGCTTAGTATTGTGATATTGTACATGTTTTTGTCCCAGTTGCATAGTAATGTTTCAGTCCCTTGACCAGCTTTGGCTGCTGAAATCATACAGCTGTTAAGACTTGGCCTATGTTTTTATTTTGTTTTTAAGACAGTTTTTCAGTTGTGTATTAAATATCATAAGAGTACTGTAGAAAATATGTCACTTCTTATAAGGCTGTTTTGTAAAATATATATTAAGGACTGGAAACGTGTTTCTAAGGAGAAGCATTCAAGTATGGCAATACGCTATCTGTGTTTTCACCATTCGAAGTGCTGTTTGGTAGTTAAAGCTATTTAATATCTGATTTAATAAAGTGACCAAAATGGATTAATTTCTGTTGTGCTGCTTTGCTAACACGACAAGTGGAGCTCTTGGTATAGCTAACCAGTGCCAGATCTGGAGATTTGAGAGACCCCTAGATTTTGATAAACTATAAACTTTGTCTGAATAGTAATGTTCCTGAAACACTAATGTTTATGACCCATATACATCATGGCCAAATGTACTTCCCAAAAGCTGCGTTTTCTATACAGTGGTACCTCAGGTTACAAATGCTTTAGGTTACAAACTCCGCTAACCTGGAAGAGTTACCTCGAGTTGAGAACTTTGCCCCAGGATGACAACGGAAATTGTGTGCTGGTGGCGCAGCAGCAGCAGCAAGAGGCCCCATTAGTGAAAGCACACCAGTTTCAGGTTAAGAATGGACCTCCGGAACGAATTATGTTCGTAACTAGAGGTACTTTGTTCTCAAACTTAATCAGTTCTGGGAGTTAGTTCAACTCCTGGAACCCTTCGAAACCCAAGGCGTGGCTTCCGATTGGCTGCAGAAGCTTCCTGCAGTCAAGCGGAAGCTGTGTTGGATGTTTGGCTTCCGAAAAACATTCGCAAACTGGAACACTTCCAGGTTTGTGGCGTTCAGGGGCCGATTTGTTCTACAACTAAGCTGTTTGAGAACCAAGGTACCACTGTACTGTGAGATGCACCTGAATATGGACCATTCCAACAGCTCCCTGTAAAGCTCAGTTTGAGCAGCTTTTCCTTTGCAGGTTTACCAGATAACTAGTTTTAATTGCTGTGCAGAACCTTCAATTCAGTTCATAGGAACAGTTCATGGAACTCAACTTTTGCTATTCAAACACCAATTTAAAAAATAACAAATATCCATCCTAACAAGACAAAGGTATTCCTAGTGTTTCCATTCATATTCACGGTCACAAAAGTTTTGCTGGATTTAAAAAGACAGGTAGAGAGAGATGCCATTGTGAATTTTGTGTGTGAGAGAGGAAGGATTAATACTATACATTTATGCTTTAAGCTGAGCTGGATCCAGCAACACCATTTCTCTGATCCTGCACACCCTGTAGAGCAGTATGCACTGCCTGTACATCTTGCTGCTTCTCTAATCTTTGGAGGTTTAGTCAGATTTTAAAAAATGATTTAAAAACCCTTTAAAACATAAGCTGTATTAAAAACTAGTACCGGAAATGGGGAAACTCGGTCTTGCTCTCACAAACATCCACAACCACTTACCTGCTGCTTTTGTGGTGCGGAACACATGCATATTGCAACCAGGTGGATAAGATCTATTGCATGAATCTTTCCACCTAATCATACCACCATATCTTGGAGGAATGGCAGCTGCTAAAGTTCCTTTTATAGTGCGCTTGAACCCCAAGAGTTCTTGGCTCTTTCGGTTTAATGGTTCCAGTGCTCTAATGAGGCATAATGACAACTGAAGAGCTCTGCTTCAGATTTAAGAGAAACCCCAAATGACAGCAATGCTTGAGACCCAGAATTGAAGGGACACATGCACAAGAACGTCAGAGGAGCCCTGCTGGGTCAGGCCAGTGGCCCATCTTGTCCAGCATCCTGTTCTCACACTGGCCACCCTGATGCCTGGGGGGAAACTACAAGTAGCACCCAAACACAAGAACCTTTTCATCTGTGGTTCCCAGCAACTGGCATTCAGAAGCATTGCTGCCATCATAGGCTATCAATGGCCATCTCCTCCATGAATTGTCTAATCCTTTGAAGCCATATAGGTTAGTGGCCATTGCTGCCTCTTGTGGGATCCATAACTGAAAGTCCTTTCTTTTCTCTGTCCTGAATCGTCTAATGTTCAGCTTCATTGGGGGTCCACAAGTTCTAGTGTTACGAGGCAGGGAGAAAATCTCTATGCCGTGCATAATTTTATAAACTTCTGTTATGTCAGCTATTATACCTTCTCTGAAAACTCCCACTAGAAAAGGGTGAGCATGCTGAAATTTTGCCCACTATGCATGTGCCCTCCTCTCCCCAGGGGCCATCCTTAAACCCTGCAAAGAACTCATGTTTCATGAGTTATAAACCCAGCTATCCTACTGCAGCTCTTTGATCGATTAGGCTGGCAAATGCTACATTTTCTAGATTTGATTGGAAGGCATTTTGCGGACAGGATGAAGCCTCCCTCCCTGCTCGGTGGCAGGATCTTCAGAGCTTCATCAAGTAGGAGGAGGCGTCCCACCCTCCAGACCTAAACCCTGACTGCGGTTGCGTTGTGTTGCTCCCACCCCCCTCTGGTGGAAATCCCTATATGTGAACATTTTATGCGTGGTTTTTCTTTTTCTATTGTTTTTCCTCCTAAATTTGGTGTATTCGGTGTATTTGAGACTGTCTGGGTGTTTTTTGTTTTTGTTTCTTCTCTACAAGTTTTCCCTAGGGGCAGTGGGGGGGGGTCCCCTTTACAGGCCTTACCTTTCCTTCTTTCATGTGCTCATAAAAGTAAAAAATAAAACACCAAAAGATTTATTTCCTTTTTATTTTGCCTTTCCCTGTCAATCTTGGAACCCTCCCCCACATTCATACTGTCAGAGGAGGGGTCCCCAGATTGACTGCCACAGCCAGTTTGATTTTGTGGAGGTAGTGAAGATCCTCAAGGCAAGGGCATGGAGCATGGTGGGTCCTACAATCATTGAGTGGGAATGCCATTTTCTTTCTTTCTTTCTTTCTTTCTTTCTTTCTTTCTTTCTTTCTTTCTTTCTTTCTTTCTTTCTCTCTCTCTCTCTCTCTCTCTCTCTCTCTCTCTCTCTCTCTCTCCCTCTATTTTAAAATCTCGGTAAACTCCCCTCTGTGCTTCCTAATATCGGAACAGAGAATCAAGGAAATACTCCACACAATAATTGTAAATGTGACTTGTGAATACCATGTTTGATTGAAAATGTAATGGAAGGATATGAAACTTCAAGGAAGTCATCAGTCCCATGTCCTTGCTTCTTTAACCAGTTTTTCTAATAATGCAATTGGCCATACCTTTTGTTACCACCAAGAGATATGCAGATATTCTAAGCCTTACAGCCTTTCTCAACCTGTGGGTCCCCAGTTGTTGTTGAATTACAACTCCCATCACCCCTAGCTAGCAAGGCCAGAGCTCAGGGATGATGGGAGTTGTAGTCCAACAACATCTGGGGACCCACAGGTTGAGGACCGCTAAGCTTTCCCAATGGAGCACAATTTTCTCTTTCTGCCCCAGCATACTGCTCCATTTTAAGGTGAGATCCCACAACAATCGTTTTGAACAGGGACACCTGTTCTGGCCACTTTGTCACTTCGCCCTGCATTTATACCTCTCCCCCACAACCACCCATGTCTGTGTGGCCAGTGCAACCCTTCCAACAAACTAGATGTGCAGTGATTTGGACCTGGGCTTGGTGACATTCTACAAATCCAGGCTCAAAACCTGAAGATCTCTAGAATAAAAGCATATGGACAGCAGAGCTCCCACCTCTAGATAATAAGTCAGGTAAGTATACCAAGGAACCTTCCTGAGTAGAAATAGCTGCACACCATTTTAGATGCTTCCTCCAAAGGAAGTTTTTCAACCCAGACTAGAATCTAATGTTGAAAACCAAATAACACAGCAGGACCTGATGGAAACAGTAAGAGGAGGAAAACAATATATTCACTTCACCCCAGTACTATTGAGGGAGATGTATCTGGGAGTAGAGGAGTTCAGGTGAGCAGGGGGCACTGAATTGCAGTGGTTCAGGTAAGGTGTAAGAAGTGGGGCAGGCCAGGTAAGGGGCAGACGGTACCCTGGAGAATTGCAGTTGTCCTATCAGCCAGCCTTCAGGTATATGGCTCTTGTTGAATTCCAGGATGGCTCTGAGTAAGACCTCCCTCATCCATGATCTCATTATGGATGAGGAGGCTGGTCTGGTCTGTATCACTGAGACTTGGGTGGGTGAACAGGCTGGAATTGGTCTCATCCAGCCGTGGCCACCTGGATACATGGTGCAGCATCAGGGCAGACTTGAAGGTCATAGAATCAAACAATAGTAGAGCTGAAAGGGATCCCGAAAGCAGACGAATCTTGAGGTGTCTGGAACACTGTCTAGTCCTGTTATGTTGGATGAGTTTCCGCTAATAAGCCTCAAGAATGTGGATCAGTCGGGGCACTTGTGCTCTGGACCTTTGCCCCCCTTGTCTGACAAAAACTAGCAGGGAAGGTTAGCTACCTGGGCCGGAGAAGTGATTGAAGTCTCATTGAGAGAGTGGGTAGTCCCTGCCTGCATGAAGCAGGGTGTATTAAAACCACTCTTCAGGAAGTCGTTGCTGGTTTTTCAAAACCTAAGTAGCTACTGGCCAATTGCTAATCTCTGTGGTGGCTCCCCACTTGTATAGCATCCTAGAAGTGTCCAGGGACACTCACCTGGTGCCTTCATTAAGTATCTATAGGCACCAGGCTAATCATTCCTCTTCTCCCAGGCCTTTGGCTAATTAAATAATTTTTGGCCTTTTAAACTGGTGTTTGTGTTTGTGTGTGTGTATTGTTTTAGTTTGTTGTTATGGTATGTATTTTTGTGTTGCTATATTGTAAACCGCCCTGTGATCCTCAGATGAAGGGTGGTATAAAAATTTAATAAATAATAACATTTTACTAATATTAATACACCACTAATTCGCCTAAAATATCAAAGCCGTTTACAACATTAAAATGATAGAAACCATACAATAAAAGCATTAAAACAAAAATTAATACAAAACCTTTAGGTAGTTGATGTCTGAAATCATACAAAGTGAATGCACAGAAGGCAGACAGCTTAGAAGCTCTTTTTGCACAAGGTTTTCCTGACTCAAAAAGAGCTTCCAAGCTCTCAGACTTTTTACAGGGCTTTGGGAGGCTCCTGCGAGAACTCAAATGGCCCTGAAAGATTTTGCAGGAGCCTCCCAGAGCTTGTGTGAGAGTGTCCCAAATCCTGTGATACTTAAAACTTACAGGACAGAATGTTTTAGGCAGTGGAAAAATATTGGCCACACAATTTCTACACACTTTTTTAGAGATGGCATTTAAAGTGGGAAAAGATATTCCAAGCCTTCACAGAAGGATATGCAAACAGTGCAAAGTAAAGGGACACATTTGACTCTAAGCCTGTTGTGAAGGAGGTATTCGATACTTGCAGCAACCTGAACAAACTAAAACTCCCAGAATTCTTTGTGGGAAGCCATGATTGTTTAAAGTGGAATCATAAATGTATGGTGTGAATGTGGCCTGTGTGTAAGAGATGAGACAGAATTAGTTTCTGGAGAGAGAGTGAGAAAACTGCATTTCCCATAATTCTTTGGAGAAAGCTGTGACGTCTAAAGTGGTATGATCAGTGCTTTCTTTTCCTAGAAAAAGAGGTGCTTGAACTCACCATGAACACCTCCTTTGTTCTCTTGGAATAGCAATGGTGCCCTACCTGAGAGGTGCCAGAACTGACTTCCAGAGAGTTCCAACTGAAAAAAAGGCCCTGGGTATGATACTAATTCAAATGTAGGGTGCAAATGCGTCTCCTTGTCTACTGTCACTGGTTTGAGTCTATTGCACTTTGTAAAGTTCACGTTTGTTGCTCTGCTCCTTTCTGTCACTTTTTTGTTGCTTTTTTTTTAAATAATAGAAGCTTACAGGGATTACGAGGTTAATGTCTCTTCCAGGTGAAGCACACTCAGTCCTTCAGCCTTTCCTGATAGGGCTTATTCCCCATGCCCCTGACCACCATCATCACCCTCCTTCTGAACCTGTTTCACATGTTGTGCAGAACTTCCCAAAATACGCCAAATGAGATGTGACTAGATCTGACTAGTGTAAAGCGGAATGATTACTTGCTTTGTGACTTGGAAGCTATGGCTGTATCAATGCAGCTTGAAAACACATTAGCTTTATTTTATTTTTATTTTTTTGCAGCCATTTCACAGAACATCTGGCTCACTTTCAGCTTGTGTTTGATTGCAAACTTGAGATCTTTTTGGTACGTCCAAACAGCAATCCATGTACATATGTGGCTATCATATGCCTGTGCATATGATTGTTATTTATGTATGTGTGCCTAAATGCATAACTTTAGATTTGTCTAGGCTGAATTTCATTTTGTCACTTTCAGCTCTTCCAGCCAGTCGCTTTTGGTTTTCCAGCCTGACACAGTCATTTTACTATATTCCAAGAAGTGATTTATTAGTCCATTGTTGGTTGAGTAGGACAGAAAAGTCCTGTGCATCCAGTCTGCTGGATCTGGCCAGTGGCCCATCTAGTCCAGCATCCTGTTCCCAGAGTTCCCTGTGGGAAACCTGTAAGCAGAAGAGCATTTCCAGCAACTGGTATTCAGAAGCATTATTGCTTCAAACTTCAGTATATTTGACAAGTTGTCTGGTGTATCTGACAAGGGCTGAAAATGGGTCAGGGCATGCGTGTACACAAGCTCTGCCCCTGACAGTCTGGCTGGTGCTCAGTGACCGTCACATGTGGAACACAAACTCTCCATTCTGACCTTCATGCACCACACACAAAAGCGGAGCTGGTGTGCAGGAGAATGTTGGAGGAGGGGTGGGTGGGAAATGCTCACACACAGAAGACCCCAGGTGCAATCTCTGTCTTCTCCTGGTAGGTTTGGGAAGGACTCCTCCTTGGAGAGCCACTGCCAATCATTGTCAATAGTACTGAGCTAGGTGGACCAATGGACTGATGTGGCATACGGCAGCTCCCTCCATTCCCCCACAAATGCCTCCATATGTTCACCCACTTGCCTACAGCTAGACTCAGCTCTGTAAGGTTCAAAAGAGTCAACCCCTCTGCCCTCATTGATCTGTATGTGTTCCTCCCCACTGCCTTCTCCACCCATTTGTAAATTGAGATCGTTAGCTCACATTAGCAGGCTGCTACCTATGTAGGGGACGCGGGTGGCGCTGTGGGTAAAACCTCAGTGCCTAGGACTTGCTGATCGTAAAGTCGGCGGTTCGAATCCCCGCGGTGGGGTGAGCTCCTGTTGCTCGGTCCCAGCTCCTGCCCACCTAGCAGTTCGAAAGTACCCCTAAGTGCACGTAGATAAATAGGGACCGCTTATAGCGGGAAGGTAAACGGCGTTTCAGTGTGCGGTGCTGGTGCTGGCTCGCCAGCTGCAGCTTCGTCACGCTGGCCACGTGACCCGGAAGTGTCTTCGGATGGCGCCGGCTCACGGCCTCTAGAGTGAGATGAGCACGCAACCCCAGAGTCGGACAGGACTGGCCCGTACGGGCAGGGGTACCTTTACCTTTACCTTTACCTATGTAGAAAGTGATGTGTAAATAAGAAATGGATGCAGAGATGTATCCACTGTTGGTTTTGTTTTTGCAAAGCAGGGCACTTGATTTTCATTGATCTCTCTGGTGCTTCCCAAAAGCTTATTAGAGTTGGGGAGCTGCAAATGGTGTGTGTTTAGGGGAAATTATAAGACAGTTACCAAAGAAGAAATGGATCCCACAATGCTGACCTCTTTATGCTGCAGGTGGGTATACTGAATTAAAAAGCTGTGGAAACTCTCAGAATATACATTCAGGCTCCCATTGCTTCGCTTGGTATAAATTACTCTTCCAGCTTTAATATCCTAATAGAAAACCTGAAGGCAAATTAATTGAAACCCATTTGATGTTTACCTTTGAGCAGAGCTAGTCCTATCATTAGGCAGTGAGGAAATAGCCTCAGGTGGAAGATGTTGGGGCGGGGGTGGGGGCAGGCAGCCACCCTCCTTTGTTGGAGAGCAGAGCTATGTGATTCCCACAGCCTCTGTAAATTAGCTTGCTGCCCCCAGGGGGCAGTAGTGGATGTTACCTCACTGCCAGGGTTGGAGTCAGATTCAACTGCCAGTCTAGTTAGTCTCTGTTCATGGCATGGAGGGTGCCCTCTTGTCCTTTGCCTCAGGCAGCAGAATGTCTGGGTTCCATTCTATCTCAAAGCATCATAATTAAGAAGCCCATCCTCTTCTGCAGTATCTTATTTTCTCTCTTACTTGCTAACTGGTTGTTCTACTCCTGTTCTTTATGCTTCTTTTTATGGTCTTAGAGCATATCCAGGTGGGTGTCTTATTGCTGGTGTATGCTCCCAGTACGAATTTATAATTGTACTGGGCTGCCTGCTCCTTCTATTGAGATATTAATGTTCTTTGACACCCCCATGTTTCTCCTGCATTGGCCTCCTCTTCCTCCTCTTATGGCACCGTTTGTGTCTCTGTCGCCTGCCCTCTCTCTCCTTCCCCTCATCCCCACAGCAGGAGTTAGTTGCACTGTGATGTCATGCCACCCCTGCTCACTTGAAGCTGCTACTCTTTGCTGCTCTTGTCTCTCATTTGCCTGCAACAAGAGATCTGGCTTCTCCTCCTTCCCTCATTGCACCCTGCAGCTGAGCGGGGAAAGGAGAGAAGGAGGAAAATACCTATCTGGTCCCCACTACTCAGTTGCTTCTTTACCCACAGCACACACACCACCCTTGCTTCTCCACACACACACTCAAAGCTCTCCCCTTGCTATGTGTGTTGCATGTATCCTCTGCTTGGCCTACATTCACTTTCCCTGAGCAAAACAAAATCCTAATGGGATCAGCTTCCTCTTGACCCTCATGACAATGGATATGTAACTGTCAACTTGGTTTCTCTCCATATCCCAGTGTTATTCTTCCAGCCTTAAACTCCATTCTCCACATTCCCACACCAGTGTGTGATTTTTGTCCCATCCTTTTCACTTGAAGGCAAATTTATCCAAATATACACACTACTTCTGTATTCAACTTTTGCCTGATACGCACATTTTTATTGAGCAGTTTCCCCATACATAACACATTTTTTATATGTTATTTTCATGTGTCCATGCGTGTTTATGCACACATCCTCCTAGCAGTATGCATTTTCATACGGGTTACTTGACTGACGAAACTGCCTTGCAAAATTCAGAAGTGTCAGTTTCAAAACCTGGCTGTGTTTTGCTTCTCATATTGCTTCAGGAAGTTCATATCAGGTCGGTTTGCTTTTAAAGTGTGGACTTTATTGAATCTCTCCCCCATCACTACTCCACACGCAAGCAAAGCCCCCCAAGCTTCCACTCAGAATCAAAAGGGAACAGGTGGGCAGCAATTTCGTCTCCACACCTCTTTCAATTAAGTGTAAATGATTTACATTGTGACAGCATGCCAGCACCATGCTTCCACTTTTTAAGTCTTAATGTTTGGCTGCAATTGTTGTGCTAAACCTTTGTTCAGTTCCACAAGAACAACAAAAACAGGAAGTATGTGGGAGTGGCTAAACCACAAGGAAGCAACTTCAAATCAGGTTGTTGCCAAGATGCTATAGTGCAACAGAGGTAGGGGTGGGGCACATTCTAAAACCTGGAGAATTTATTAAGTGAAAGATTTCAGGATATTTGCTGAAAGGCTTTGGTTCACAAATGGATTGCTGCTCATGTAATGTGACGATCCTGAAAGTTTCGAGGGTGCAAATCAACTTGAACAGCTGTTCAACTGTGGAGTTGACTACCTTGGAAGGTGGTGGACTCTACTTCATTGGAGGTTTTTAAGCATAACTTGGATGGCCATCTGTCAGGGATTATTTAACTGTGATTCCTGCACTGCAGGGTGTTGGACTAGATGACCCTTGGGGTGTCTGGAAGCCAGCCAGCAATAAATCACACAGAGTAAGTGAAGTTAACTCTTTATTAGAGACAAGGCCTGCTCAGGAGTGCCAGGCCTAATGAGCACAGCAACTCTTCTTGGTAGGTTTTGCCCCTATAAGGCAGTTGTGAAGACTGAAGGTCCCCGCCTTCCCACAGCTGACTAAGTCTCCTCCTCTCCTGGGTCCTTCCTGAGCAATCTGAGACAACGCCGGCGCGTCCGTCTTTGCTCCGACCTCTTCATACCTCTTCGGGTCCTGGGAGACCAGGGGAGAAGGGAGTTGGTCGCAGCAGAAGGGGGAGACCCCCTGGCTTCTTCAGCAGCCTGCCTCATCTCTGCCTCTTGGCCCCCCTCCTTTCCTGCTGATTCTGGACTGCCCTCTGCCACAGCCTCTCCCTGCTAACTAAATCCTGTTACTTCTTCAGCTCCTGACACCTCCTCCTCCCAGTCTGCTCCATCTTCTCCCTCTGACCACATACCCTGGTCAGAGTATGGACCACTCCCTGGACTCTGAGCCTTCTTTCCTTGGAGGTTCCCCAGCTGGTGCCTCCCACCATTCCTCTGTGTCTAGCCAGTCCATGACTGGGTCCCTTCCAGCTCTACAATTCCATGATTCTATGAACATGGGAGTATCGATCCCGTTAAGAGAACAACTCATCGTGAATGCGTGTGAAGAGAAAAATAATGTTATCTGGAGGGGCCTCATAATTAACAATGGATGTGACTGGAATAAATTAGCAAGCCACCCGCAATATATAAAGACAATTTTATTGCCGAAAAGCTCTTAAAACTCATTTCTCCCCACCCCCTTTCCTCCCTCCTATTCCAATAGGACCTTACCCTTCCTGATGAAAGTTGGGCCATAATATCTCTCATTTTAAAAATAGTAATTTTTTTTTGAAATAAATAAATATATAAAATAAATATCATATACATTTTATAAATAGATTTTTGTCCTTAGGAACAGGATTGTGTTAAGAATGTTAAGGTCCTTGACTCACCCTCCTCTGCTCCTATTCCAACAGCAGGAAACATGCACACATGTGTGCCCACACACAACGCCCCCCTCCCTCACATCCCTCTGGACCCAGGATTGCCAGATGTAAGCTTTGGTTTGGATACTCTACATTCTGCCCTCCATTTTCCCACTATGGAAGTCTTATCAGCTAGAGCCTACAGTGAGGAGTTCTGGCCTAGCAACATAGGACGAGTCTGCTAGGGCCACCTCAAGAGAATCCAAGTGTCAAAGAGGCCCCATCCATTCTGTGGGCCCTCTTAATAACTATTCCAAGCCTGTGAGCAGTACACACAAGTCATTGCTGTGGTCTTCTGTGGTGTGGCCACCATGGCCGCGTGGCTAGGAACTGGTGCTGGCGGTGGTGGTTGTCATTTCAGAAATAATCTTTTCTCCCCCGTGTCAATTTTTGCCTTCTCTTAGCCCACCAGATAAAGAGAGTAATTGAACTAATGAATGGTTTATGTAGGGTTTTCCAAGCTCGGCTCCCACCCTGCCACTATCCTCACCTGTCCCGGTAGTAAACTCAACTACCTTTAGAAAGAAAAGAAAAGAAAACTCCAAGGAATAGGCAGTGTTTCCTCTATCTGGTATCCAGATTTGTTAAGAACGATGGAATGGCTATGGGATGGAGCGTCCTGGCAGAAACCATGGAAACCCAAGTAAATATATACACAATGGCTGCTCAAGCTGCAGAGAACATCACCTGTAGTGGAAGAGATGTCTGTACATTGCAGGGATCTTAGCAGGGTCCACAGGTCTTGGTAAAAAATGAGTGAATTTTTGGTGTCTCTTAGTCCTGTATCCTTCTCTGGGAGAGCCATCTTTGTTCAAAGCAACGTAATACTGTCTCTCGGAGTCAGAGTGTTTGTAGAGGGTTGAAGCGTAAGTGTTGTACCAGTTTTCTTCAAACTGCTCACGGAAAACACACTCCCTTGTCAGCTTCTTCTGTGTGTGTAGGTGGGGTGGAAGAGGGGATCAGGGAGAGAGAGTGGGTGGGGAGAAAAAGACTTATGAAGAATAATCTACAAACATTCCGTTCACATGGGCAGCCCTGCTGGATCAACCCAAAGACCCATTTTGTTCAGCATGCCGTTTGAATATAAGAAGCAAGGTTTATAAAGTCCTTTCCATCTTGGGCAATGTGGTCCTACTCTGACGGTGGCTCTCCAGGGTCTCATGCTGTGTGTGTGTGTGTGTGTGTGTGTGCTTGCTTGCTTGCTTGCTTGCTTGTTGCATTTATATCCCACCTTTTTCTCCAAGGAGCTCAAGGTGGCATACATGGTTCTCCCGCTCCTCATTTAATCCTCACAACAATCCTGTGAGGTAGGTTAGTCAGAGAGGGAGTGACCAACCCCCAAGATTACACCCAGTGAGCTTCATGGCTGAGTGGGGATTTGAACCCTGGTCTCCCAGGTCCTAATCCAAAACTCTAACTACTATGCCACATTGGCTTTCAAAGTATTGCCTATACTGACTCTGCAGGGTTTCAGGCAGAAGCCTCTCCCAGCTGGAGATGTTTGGGATTGAACCAGGGACTTTCTGCATGCAAAGCAGATGATCCACCACTGAGCTGCCGCCCCTCATCACTTGCTACCCTGGAGATGCTACCTGAGACCTTTGGCATGCAAAGTGTGGGCTCTGCCCCTGAACACATGCTGCCTTGTGGAAGCTTACAAGCAGGGCAAGAAAGTGGTACCCATCATCTGTTGTCTATCTGCAGCATGGGTGCCATAGCCCATGAGGTGCTCTGTATTTGTCATTCCCCAGCAATCCCTAGGTACCCCAAGTTTATAGCTGCAACCCTGTGCCTACTTGCTTGGAAGTAAGACCCATAGAACACAGTGAGGCTGACTTTGCACATGGAGAGGTAGCATGGAAAGAAGGCCGCTATGCTAGCATCACAAGGAACTAGATGACCCTTAGGGTTTCTTTCAACTCTATAGTTCTATGATTCCATGACTCCATTCTCCCTGACATCTGGATTTGTTTGAATGAATGGTTATATATGACTTTGAATGGAGGAGCTTTCCATCAAATAAGCCGCCGAGAAACAGGAGTAGCACCTCACATGGTGTGTAGGAGAACCAAGGCTAATGGCAAATGTTTGAGTAGGTGCCCTAGGGAGCAAATGATAGCAGTGGTTTAATTCCTAGGGACTCTGCTGCAGAGAGAAGAGCAAAACAACCCTGGGAGGTTCCGTCTGAGCACAGGGATTCCGAGAAGCAACATAACCATGGGCTGAGGTCATGCCCCAAGGCAGTAAGGATATCCTGAGGTCACATCCCTAAAATAGTTAAGCCCAGGAATGGTTGACTGATATTGATACGATGATTCAGCTCCTTCGGAATTAGTCATCCTTTTGTGTCAATGGTACTGGCTTAATCTGAGCATGGGACTTTGACAAAGGAACACTGCTAGACTAGGTCCATCCAGTTCAGTTGTCTGCACTGACTGGCAGCAGCTCTCCAGGGTTTCAAGCAGGGTTCTCTCTTAGCCATATACGGAAATTCCTTAGGGGATCAAACCTGGGATCTTCCGCAGGCAAAGCAGTTGCTTTTATCACTGAGCTATGGCCTTCCCCTTGCAAAGAGAATATCTCACGGGAGGGTCCTTTTCAATGGCTGGGGAGCAGGCTGATCCGGAGTTGGGCACACTGTTGTAATCTAGACCAGGATTTAATTTGTCCTGCCTGGCCACCTATTTGGGAAGAGCCTTCTATGAACAACGTGTGTGTGTGTGTGTGTGTGTGCGCGCGCGCGCGCAAATGTGACCCCCATAATTCTCTGTCTGGTCCTTGGGATTCTCCCTAGGCTACACCTCTCACTGGTCCTTCTCCATACTTTGCTCAGGTGCTTTTGCCTACCTGAAATGTGCCCCCTGAACTATTGCTTGCCTAGATAAGAGGGATGAGTGCATTGTAGAAGTCAGAAGGCTTAGGCTAAGAGTCACATCTGTTCTTTCATCCACTTTTGCCTCCGGCTCTACCTATCTCTGGCATGTGGCATCCTAGAAGTTTGCCCATCGGCAATGTGGCCCTTGGATGGAAGAAAATTCCCAACCCTTGGGTTTAAGAAAACCATTCACTTGACTGGTATTCCCTTGCACAATATACTGCTGGCCATGCTACTGCCTGCCCCACAGTGTTAAGGGAATCCTTTCCACAACCTTTTCCACAAGGATCATCTTACATGAGCAGCTGCTTTGTCCCAGGTTCAGTCCCCAGCATCTCTTGATAGGGTTGAGCATGAAATCCCAGAGAGCTTTTACCAGTAAGAGCAGAGGCATACCTAGGAGTTGGTGAAACAGGCCCTCACTGGAGGCGCAGGCTCGAGGGCACGCGTGCAAAAGTCACCTATCAGACTATAGAGTGTATGATGTATATGTGTATGGCGACATGGCGAGATCAAACGTGGGAGAAGCTTCCCATCCTTCTCGCAGCACAAAGGCGTGTGAATGCTTTCACCCTTCCTCCTTGCCTTGCCCTTACTCCGGGATGCTTCAAGTACTAGGAGCCATTGATAGCCCTCTCCTCCTTGAATTTCTCCAGTCTTCTGTTAAAGCCATCCAAGTTGGCATCACTGCCTCCTGTGGGAGCGAGTTCCATATTCTAATAATAATAATAATAATAATAATAATAAATTATTTTATTATTTGTACCCCGCCCATCTGACTGGGTTGCCCCAGCCACTTTGGGCGGCTTCCAAAATATATGAAAACATAATAAAACATCAAACTTTTTTATTTAAACTTCCCTCTGCAGGGCTGCCTTCAGATGTCTTCTGAAGTCAGCTAGATGTTTATCCGTTTGGCATTTGATGGGAGGGCATTCCACACAGTGGGCGCCACTACTGAGAAGGCCCTCTGCCTGGTTCCCTGCAACCTCACTTCTCACAGTGAGGGAACTGCCAGAAGGCCCTCAGCGCTGGACCTCAGTGTCCGGGCTGAACACAGGGGTGGAGATGCTCCTTCAGGTATACAGGGCTGAGACCATTTATGCTCTGAGTGAATAAGTACTTACTTTTATGTGTCCTGAATCTTCCAACATTCAGTCAGTGTAAAGAATATTGAGTGGGATTGGAGCTATGGCTTAACTCAGGCTAAGACAACCAACTATGTTCCTAATTGTTTTTCGGGGTGGGGAGTGGGGAGAAGCATAGCTTAGTCATAAACATATACTTTGCATGCGGAAGGTTCTAGATTCAATCCCCAATGACACCTCCAGGTAGGGCTATAAATGTCTCATCAGAAACTCTGAAGAGTTGAGGCCATGCACTGTGGACATGAGCTAAACTGAGCTAAATTGACAGTGCAAGGCAACTTGCTATTTTCCTATTTGGGGAGTGTCCTTGGATGGTATGAGATGCTCTGCATGGACTGTGAGCATGATAGAACTCTTGCAATGCTCTGTGACAGAAGAGGGGTTGTGACTAGCAATCTTTATTTCAGGGAAGCCTGCTCTTTGTTACTCTCTCTCTCATATATATACATATATATATATATATATCTCCCATGTTTTCCTACAAAGAGCTCAAGGTGTGGCAGTGACTAGCCCAACGTCAACTCCAGTGAGCTTCATGGCCAAGTGGAGATTCAAACCCTGGTCTCCAAGGTCCTAGTCCAACACCCTGACCATGATACTACACTGGCTCTCTACACATCTCATGGAGGATCCCGTGCCAGACAGTTCGAAAATCTGCACTGTACATGTCATACAAACTAGGCCTCTTCACCATGGCAGCCATGAGGGAGAAAGCGTGTGGATTAGTGGCCGTGTCTGAGAACCTGCTCCTTCATAATGTGCTTCAACATCATCACACACTAGCAATGATGCAGTTGCATCTGGAAAAGTCCCAGCTCAATCCCATGGCACCTCCAACTGCAAAATGATAGCAAGTGATGTGGAAGGCTCCTGTGTCAGATCCTGGAGAGCCTCTGCCATTCAAAGCAGAACACATTGGGTTGGATGGAACTACAGCTTCCTATGTTCCAGCCTGTGCAGGATGCTGCTCTGTGTCCACCATGGTGAAAATTTGCAAATGCTGAACATTTCGGTGTTGATGGGTTATTTTATTTTGTAGAATATTTTATTGGCTTTATAATAAAATGACATTTGAACAAAACCTGCAGAATGTTACATACATACATACATACATACATACATACATCAGATACATATACCTCAGCTTCACCTTACCCCCATATATGCCCACTGAACCTCTTCCATTGCCATAGAATACCTGATCTGCAACTACACATTGCCTATTGACACCAGGAAGGCACCATCACTGTACTCTTTTTGGCACCTGCTAAAAACATTCTTGTTTAGACAAGCCTACTCAGATGTATAGAAAGCTGATGTGAGTTTTAATCTGTTTTTAGTGTATTGTTAACTTTTCAATAGTTTCAATTTATTGTTGTCATTCTTTCTTACTCATAATTTTACTGCTTTATCCTTTTTAGTAAACCACTTTGAGGGTCCCACACACACAATCAAGTGGTGTATATATTTTATGAAATTAATAAAATGAAAGAACATATAAGAAAGAAAATGAGCAGGAACGCTGTCAAGTAATTGAATCACTGAATGTATCGCCAAGGCTTCATTTATCTGTGACAGCCTCTTCATAAGTAAGTGGCTGGAGGTCTGACATTAACATCACTTCTGTTTTACATTGCTGATATATGGCAACCAGACCTTGTCAAAATGACTGTGGTTAGTTTGGTCTTTGAAAATAATTTTCTGCTGCATTAGATGCTTAGGTAAAGGTAAAGGGACCCCTGACCATTAGGTCCAGTCGTGGCCGATTCTGGGGTTGCGGCGCTCATCTCGCTTTATTGGCCGACGGAGCCGGCGTACAGCTTCCGGGTCATGTGGCCAGCATGACCAAGCTGCTTCTGGTAAACCAGAGCAGCACACGGAAACATCGTTTACCTTCCCGCCAGAGCAGTACCTATTTATCTACTTGCACTTCGACGTGCTTTCAAACTGTCTAGGTTTGCAGGAGCAGGGACCAAGCAACGGGAGCTCAGCTCACCCCGTCGTGGGGATTTGAACCGCTGACCTTCTGATCGGCAAGCCCTAGGCTCTATGGTTTAACCCACAGTGCCACCTGCATCCCTTGCATTAGATGCTTAGAAAGAGCCAAATCCGACACTTTCCCATGCCAACCCATCAAATGGCATTGCAGTCTTGTGCCATAAAGCAGAATCCAGTAAGAATCCTGTATGTGTCAAAAGATTTTTTATGGCATGGAATCATCCAACTGGAAATCAGCATGGGGTTGGCTTTCCTGCTGAGACTGCCAAGAGAACACATCACAGAGGGGTAACAGGATACTATAATTAGTCTGAATGGACTTTGATTTGGAATTGGGATTTAAATCAGATTAGCATAATCAAGACACCCAGGTGAGCATTTTAACTTATTTTCTAATTTGAGCAGGAAAGATCCATAACAAGACTGGCAAATTTCTGGTCCAAATTGTGGGCTGCTCCAAAGCAGAGTGCATCCAAGCGATAGCCAGGCCCATGTGCATGTCACAATTATAGGGGAGTGCAGAATATAGAACTTCCTAGAGTCCCAGCTCCAACTTTTCAAAAGTTTCTGACCCAGATGACTGGGAAGATATGCCAAAATGTGTTCACTGAAGTCTCAGAAGCCCAGAGGTGTGTCGGAACAAGATTTCCACTGGCTGTGTGTGAGGCTTTTTATAGTTCACTATAAGTAGCAAGACCAGAAGAAATTACGCAAAATAATTGTAAAATAGCAGCGGAAATTATGCAAGTGAAAAAATGTGCATCTCTATTAAATGTTCACATTTTAAAAGAGGGCTCATCCAGACTTTCTTCTGTGCAATGTTTCTAGACACTTTAAAGTTCCATGCCTGAGCACTTTTTGGGGCCCCAGTCCTTTCCCTGCAAAAACTTTACCACTGAGAACCATTCTGTGGAAAGCCTGAATTGCCATTTGTTCTGATTCAGAGTTAAAATGTGGGCTTTCCTGGGGAAAGTGGCAGGGGGAAAAAGAAAAAGAAAAAGTGCTTGGACACAGACCTGTGCCTAGAAAGCACAGGGCAAAATATACAGTAAATGTGGATGAACCCTGAGTCACAAAATCAGGCTTTTCTTTGGTGGTGATGTTGAATGCAGCATTTAAATATAAGCACAAAATATCCACAGACCTGACGATGGTCTGTGTTTCATGGCTTTCCTAAACAAGATGAGAACCTCAAAAGAGACACACTATCAGTCATACTCTTGGATCTGCCTGGGTCTGCCAGAAACTCCCCAAACAAACAATGGACAGCAAATGACCAGTCAGTTTCTGGGTATAACTCAAGGCAGGCACTGGTGCTTACCTTTAAAGCAGTGGCAGGGACCTGGGTGTTTTACCACTGAGCTACAGCCCCTCCCTTGTCTGCACAAGAGAGAGCCTTTTCTGTGTCTGCTCCCATATTGTGGAATCCCCTCCCGGCAGAGGTTACGAATGGTTCCCTCCTTGTAATCGTTCTGCCAGCAAGCTAAGACCATCTTATTTAGACAGGGCATAGAAAACGAAGGCGTGGGTGATGCTGACCACTGGTCAAATACAAATAACTTTGTAATTTATAACATTTTAAAATGTGAGCCATATTGGATCCCTATTTGGGAGAAAGGTGGGATATAAATACATTAAATAATGATAATAGTCTTCTAGATGTTGTTGAGCCATAACTCCCATCCTACTTGATCACTGACTGCCTACCTCATAGGTGGCTACCTTTAACATGGGCTAAAAGACCCTACACTTCTGTTCGCTTTTTGTGGAGCCTACTACTTCTGCAACTCATAGCTGCAGCTCATTTTCAGTACCATAATTGTACCATGGTCACTAATCAGTTGCTGGGGATCCCAAATGCAAAAGAGTAGCTGTGGAAGTCAGAGCCACAAGAGATTGAAGTGGGTATCTTGGAAAATATCAAGGCATAATAAAACCTTAATGTTACCCACTCCAACAGTATTTGATATTCCATAAACCTGAAGGGCTAACACTTACCGATCCATACAGCTCTCCTCTCTCGTTCATCCCAAGGTAAAGTCCAGAATCCACACCACGGATACTAACCAGCCCTACAGCCAAGCTTATAAACTCCAAAATTCCTTTGAAAAGAAATTAAAAATTGAGAGTTATTCAATACAAACAATACCACTCCTGGTGGGCATCATTACAGTAAATAAAACAATTTAAATTCTACCCAGACTTCTCAACTCATTTATATCATATCACAATAAAAGGACAAATAACATCCTTTTTAAAAAATCATCTTTAAAATGAACACGACTAAGACTTAAGAATTTTAAAGGCCTGGGCAAATAGAAATGTTTTTGCCTGGCACCAAGTTGCCAGGAAGGCTTCTTTTGAGAAGGAGCTCCACAGCCAGGGCACCACAGCTGAAAAAGCTTTCATTCCTGAGATTGGAGAGTGGATCTCTGATAAAGACAGTACCTGGGGGAAATAAACCCTCAACAGTATACCTTAAGATGGTGTTCCTTCAGATATTTGGACCCCAAGCTATTTAGGCCTTTCAAGGCAAGTGTCAGCAGCTTGAATTGGCCCTAGAAACAAGCAGGCAGCCAATGAAATTCTCTTATGACTGGTATACAAAGAAATGTAGCAGTGGTAATCAAAAGTCTGGCAGCCAGATTCTGCATCACTTGAAGCTTCCATGTCAACTTGAGGGCAGGAAGATTCCAGATAATGGATAACCATGGCTAGACTGTCTGTCTAGAAACAGCCACAGTTGGTGAACCAGCCGAAGCTGTGTCACTGAGTCAACCTGGGCTTCTAGTGACAAAGCTGGCACTAGGCTATGAATTTGCTGACTTTGGAGGGGTGGTGGGTGGTACAATCTGCATCAAAGCCTAGCTCACCACTTCCCCTAACCCAAAGCACATATATCCGCAGTGCCTCTACCTTAATAGTATTCAGCTTCAATTTATTGGCCTGCTTTCAGCCCATTCCCACATTCAGTTACTGGTTCAGCACCTTCACAGCCTCACCTGACAAGGAGAAATTGATATGGATATTTGCGGCACCTCTCCCCAAATCCTCAGGTGATTTTACTTTGTGACTTCATACAGATGTTAGGGAGTAGGGTGGGAGGACAGAGTGCCATAACATAACACAAGTGCCGTAGGATTCAGCAGAGATCCTCCAATACTGCCTTCTCAAACCACCATTGAAGGTAGGATCAGAACCATCATATCATCATGCCCCCAACCCCATCCCACAGAACTGGTCCAGAAAGGTTCAGTGGCTGACGGTATCTCAAGCTGCTGAAATCAAGGAGAATCGACACATCCTCATCCTCCCCCTCCTGCTCCTGGTTTTCTTCTGATCAAGATTATATATCAGAGAAACCAAGCCTGAGTGACAAAATGTGGTCTGAAGCCAGTACAAAATGGGTCAGTGTAATCCATTTCTTCCAGCAGTACTTGGAGAAGCTTTATTAAAGAGAGTTTGTGGATATAATAATATCGTTTGGATTGGGGTGGTGGTGGAACCAACCTTTCATATGAAAAACTGAACACCTTGGGGAAATACCACAAAGAGGGTATACAAATACAATCACAAATACAATCATTAAGGTCACAAATACAATAAGAGGAACAATCTGTTTTTATGCTATGCATAGTAACCTAAAAATGAGCAAGAATTGCACAAATGCATAAAAGCAGATTATTAAGCTGCTATGGGCCAGTTCAAGAGAGAAGACTGTGAATGAAGTTCCACAAGGATGAAACCTTCTGAGTGACCACAGCAGCTAGCAATTCCTAAGTCACTACAGTCACTCACCTCCTATCAACCCTCTCTTGGCTCTGCCTGCTAGAGTCCTCTCCCTCCCTGGAATAGCACCCCACTTCTTGGACTCAGAGCTGCTGGGAGAACAAGGAAGGCCCGTAAATTGTTTTCCATGTTCCTCTCTACTACTCAAAAACCAGGAAAAAGGCAGGCAGTTACATAGTGAGGGAGAATGAGTAGAAGCAGTTCAGAAAGAGCATTGGAAGGGGGCTTTCCACAGGTGTTTGTAGCAGCTGTTGGAAACATTAGCTGGTACTGTCAGCCAGAGGCTTCTCAACAAGCGGAACCAAACTTCTTTGCATATGACTTTAGCTGGTCTAATGTGGAGGTGTGAGCAGAGCTGGGCTGGGAAAGGGGTGGGCCCTCTGCCTTGCTCCCATCCTGTTCTTCTGCTTGTTACCACTGATGCCAGAATGGCGCTGGCCTTGATGGTGAATCCTACAGACCTCCCTCTTGGTAAGTGCTGCCTCTTTTTTCCTCCCTGTCTCCCTTGATTTTAAAACACAGGGAAGCGGGTAGGTAGTCCCTTAGCCTCCCCCCTCCCCCATTTCCCTTTCCCCATTTCCTTCTAGGGCCAGGAGGAGAGGGGTGTGTTGCTGCCATGTTGTGTCAGGCAGCTATAGCGACATCATGAGCCGGTTGCCCAACTTGGATGGTTTTAACAGAAGAGTGAACAAATTCATGGAGGAGAGGGCTATCAATGGCTCCTAGTACTTGAAGCACCCAGAGTGAGAGCGAGGCACTAGGTTTCTCAGCAGAGGTTGGATTTGATCTCAGCAGAGGATGGCCATCTGTTGGGGATTCCTTAGCTGTGATTCCTGCACAGGTTCGACTAGATGACCCTTGGGACTCCTTCCAACACTACAATTCTATGATTCTATGATTTGTGGTTGTGCATCTTATGTTTCCCAAAGCTGGGGTCCATGTAATCATAGCAGTAAAGTATTCAATGTAGGGAACAGCTCTGGGGCAGCCAAGAGCAGCATGTCCAGTCTCATTCCTTCCACTAAAGTAGGGTTTTCCAAACTTGGGTCTCCAGCTGTTTTTGGACTACAACTCCCATCATCTCTGATCACTGGTCCTGCTAGCTAGGGGTGATGGGAGTTGTAGTCCAAAAATAGCTGGAGACCCAGGTTTGGGAAACCCTGCACTTACCTCCTTAGGTACAGCCAGGACAGCTGTAGCTCCACCAGACATGAGGATATTTGGTGTGGTAGGCCAGAAAGACACATGGCAGTGAGGAGGTCAGAACTGCTACTTTTTCATGGAGGCCTTAAGGGGCCTCCAAATCAAGAACCCCAAATTGCAGCTAACAGCACACAGAGAGGTTGCATTCAACAGCAAGGGAACAGGCTAGGGAGAGAAGAGCAGTGATAGTCACATGGTTCCTCCCATTTATTTATAGAGCCTCTAGAATGTCCATCCAACCCTTCACAAGCACACTTGACCCACCCTGGTTGGGTTACATCACTTACATGCTTTTTTGCTAGCTCTAAGATTCTCAAAGTACCACTTGGAAGAACCATTCATTGCTCAGTCACTCATGAGCTCACAAGGCATACTAGCAAGACCTCAAGTGCAAGGACGATGTCATGGCTATACATAGAACAGGTATGTCATCGTGACTGCCTTGCTGCACTCCATGTTCATTATAGTATCACCTTGTTGCTTGAGCCTGCGCATGCCCTACTTATTCATTTTAAATACATCACTCTCCAGAAAAGAAGGTTTTCATGCTTCTGGCTCCAGAAGTTGCACTGAGAGAAACACTTGGAGCTTTGCCTTGCATACATACCCTACACAGCATTTGGTCTGAGCTGTATTGCTTCAGCTCTGTTGTAAAGGTAAAGGTAAAGGTACCCTTGCCCATACGGGCCAGTCGTGTCCGACTCTAGGGTTGTGCGCCCATCTCACTTAAGAGGCCGGGGGCCAGCGCTGTCCAGAGACACTTCCGGGTCACGTGGCCAGCACCAGCGCAGCACACGGAAACGCCGTTTACCTTCCCGCTATAAAGCGGTACCTATTTATCTACTTGCACTTAGGAGTGCTTTCGAACTGCTAGGTGGGGAGGTTATGTTGGCCAAATGCATTCAGTAGCTTCTTTGTGATCAGGACACCTAACAAGGTAAGGTTTCCTCATCACACAAGGATGCTTTTTTAGTGCATTCATAACCCAATGAGATATACCACTTTAGCAAGGCTGAATGTGCTCAGTGGAAGAGTTGAGTCAGGGAGTGGCCACTATTATGGGCAATTAGCCTATTTTAGCCTATATTACCTCACAATACTGTAGCTAGGACCATGCCTGTTGCTTCCTTTTCGTAGGCTGCTGAGCCCCTTGGAAACAGTTTGGTGGTGAAGTTATTGTGTGCATGTATTTGAAACAATGTGTGGTGTGAAGTTACAGAAAATTAGAAGTTTCTGCCTGTTTATGGTGTTTTTGTTGTTATAAGGGCCTGTATTTATTTTTATGGCACCTATTTGAAGAAGACCATGGTGGAAACTGAGGTGGAGAAGACACAGCTATATCTAGTTTAAGATAGAAATATGATGTTGCTACAACTACATTAAAAAAATCAAATCCCTCCCTGCTATGAACACAAACTGAGGTTGACATGCTTATCAAAATTTGAAGGGGATGAACGGACACTGCACTCAGATGTTTACTGTTTCCTTTCAGTTTTATGACAGTGACTTGATTTATGTACGAATATCCTTGCACATATGATTTAGATACAATACTATTAATGGAGGCATTGCTGGATCTTGTGGGCAGCCGCTACACAGAGTGCAGTTGTGATTTGTTGTTCTGGAGGTACAAGCTTGTCTTGGACTTCCTTGAGTGGGAGTGGACCTCCCTATTATCAAGAGCAATCTGGGCAGGTTCCTCATCCATGGTGCCTGGGCAAGCTACATCCACTTCGCCACTGATGGTAGGCCCAAGAGCCCCACCATTTCCACCATGGCCCACTACCCAAGGATGCCAGCCAGCGCAACATCTGTCTGAGCTGTCTTAACAATGGGCATTATGTGTGTTTTATGTGTATTTTAATGAATTTAATTGAGTGGAAGATTATAAGTCATGGGGCGTGGAGCATGTGTGTATGAACTTAACAGCACTGAGCTAATTTTTCTTAGTTGCTTTTTAGTTAATGCTGTTAATATTGTTTTATGGGTGATAAATGCCATAAAGGTAAAGGGACCCCTGATCATAAGGTCCAGTCGTGGCCAACTCTGGGGTTGCGGTGCTCAACATGCTTTATTGGCCAAGGGAGCCGGCATACAGCTTCAGGGTCATGTGGCAAGCATGACTAAGCTGCTTCTGGCGAACCAGAGAATGGAAATGCCATTTACCTTCCCACTGGAGTGGTACCTATTTCTCTACTTGCACTTTGATGTGCTTTCGAACTGCTAGGTTGGCAGAAGCAGGGACCGAGCAATGGGAGCTCACCCCGTCGTGGGGATTCGAACCGCTGACCTTCTGATCGGCAAGTCCTAGGCTCTGTGGTTTAACCCACAGCACCACCCACGTCCCTGATAAATGCCATATTGATTTGTTAATCATAATTGCTTGTAAGCTGCATCACGATTCATTTCAATGAAAACCAGCATAGAAGTACAATAAATAAATCAAAATCAATCGTTCATGTTTAAGAATTATATGTCATTTGCCTTCAGAGACCCCTTAATAAAGGCATTAATCATTATTATACTATTAATTATTATTTATATGCTGACAGGGACTCAAGGCAGTTTACAGGAACAGCTAAAACATTTGGCAAACAGAAGAACATTAAGATCACATATCAAAAGCAGTTACATGTTCACTTGGGTGACACTAACACCTTACATTTAAAGATACCACTAGAAACAGTCATGGCTTCAACTAAAGAATTCTGGGAGCTGTAGTTTGTCAAGGGTGCTGAGAGTTGTTGGTAGATAACCCCCCCCCCTTTATTCCCCTCCTGGAACAGTTTAACCACCAACCCTTCTTTGCAGGAAACTCTAGAAATTGCAGCTCTATGTCTTGGCTAGGGCTGATTGGAGCTGTAGTAAAGAGGCTGGCAAAAGCTGCAATATAACCTCAAAAAATTGGACATCTGAGGAGCATGCTTCAGATTTTAAAGAAAGAATGACGGCAATGCAAATCCAACCAAGGTGTCTGGGAAAGAATTTTGCCATTATCTAGCTCAATTTGCAAGGGAAGCCTCCAACACCCATGCTTCACCAGTACTGGGAGTGGCTGTTGGGACTCAGTCAAGAATTCACTTTCTGCTTGCAAGGGGGAGTTTTCTGTGGCCAAACATGATTTGTTTTTCCAGCTCTTGTCTTCTCTTCTGTGGTGGAGATATTCATTCCACTCACTCTTTTGAGCCTCTCCAGATCACATTCTGTGAGATTTGACTGGAATTTCTGATGTCTGAAAAGCTGAATTATCTTTGAACTTCCATTGGAGCAGGGCAGCCTGCCAGTCATTGTTATACTACTAAAACAATTGTTTAAGGATTACTTCAGCTGCCTGCACCTGTCTCTCCTCGTACAGCCATATCCACGGGCAAGGGGGCTTCAGAACAATGTTGCATGTTGTACTAGTATCTGCAAATCTAAATTTTCAGCTAAATCTCTCTCTCGCACCCCCCCAACTGCCCCCCAGGCAACTGTTTGGAAACAGGTGCACTGGGTGTCCATGTCAAAGCCTGCAAAATCTCAGGAGAGCTTCAACAGCAGCAAAGAGTATACCCAACACACACTAGCACACACAAAGCCCTGCTGAGCAGGCAGAATTGCTGCTCATGTTTTGGGGGATTAGGGTCTGTGGTGGGCAAGGAAAGCAGTTTTCAAACATTTTGGACCAGCTACACACTCCCTGGCACAATTCGCTCAAGGCCCACCCACCACAAGGCCTCTTGCTGCAACAGTATCTACTGCTCCGAATACTCATAGCCATTGAGTCCTATTGATGATGTACCACAGACGATCACAACTGCAATGGTAAATTGTCATTTTGGTGAATATAAACTGGGGAGGGGAATCTCAGGCCCATTCTCAAGGGAATGCAGCCCTCCAGGCTTCTCTATCTGGCCCACGAGACTTTTCAGAGGCCATGCTCTTTGCCTAACATGGCTTTGGGCCTCTCTCAATCAGTTTTGACTGCTGAAACGTGTATTTGAACCACAATAGTAAGAACATAAGATGAGCCTGCTAGATCAGGTGGGTGGCCCATCTAGTCCAGTATCCTGCAATCACACTGGCCAACCAAGATGCCAAGGTCCCTGATTGGGAAATCAGGGAGCAAGATTCAATCCCAAGAGCCCTCTCCTCTCCTGGGATTTCCAGAAGCCACTGTTCAGAAGCATTACTGCCTCCAAATGTGTGGAGGCACAGCATAGCTCCCATCATGACGTAGCCACCAATAGTCCCCTCCTCCATGAATTTGTCCAATAATGCACCAGTTGAAGTGGATTGTGGTAATGAGTGCATAAGAAGCCTCTGACTTTTGCATGCCTGGAATGTAGCCTTCGACACAAAGGCAAGAGTCACGTCTGTTGTTTCTGCCCGCCCCTTTGCTAGCATGCGGCTCCCATAAAGTTTTCCATTTCGGGCACAGGAGGATGCATGGGGAAATGGGAAGTGGGGTGGGGAATTGCACCCCTGTCCCATTTCTTATAAGAAAAGCCCTGCTGGATCAGGCCAGTGGCCCATCTAGGCCAGCATCCTCTTTCCACAGTGGCCAACCAGATACTCCCGAAAGGAAGCCCACAAGCAGGAACCGAGGAACCAAGCACAAGAGCCCTCTCCCCTCCTGCAGTTTCCAGCAACTGGTATTCAGAAGCATTGCTGCCTCCAGGTGTAGAGGCACAGCATGACCAACGTGTCTAGTAGCCACTGATTGTCTTATCCCTCTTCAATGAGTCTGAATGGAACTCTGAGTACTAGTCTGGATCCAACCCATCCTGTATGTAAGGTGAGCCTCCAAAAGTATGTGTGGCTGTGCTGTGCAGTGCTGTGTGTATGTACAATATATATATAGTAAATTTTGTTGCAAGCTTCCCATTTCACCTACAAAGAAGGCTGATCCTGCTGTGCAAAAGGTGAGGGAGTGACCTGCTTCAGGAGACATCAATGAGGGCAGAGCAGAGCAGGCAAAGGCAAGAACTGGTATCTGATTGATGCAGCAAAACTTTGCTGCAGTGTTTGCCCTAGCAGGGGTGCTGCTGCCATTGGACATTATACTGCCTACAAACTACACATTCCAAAGCCTCTAGTAGTCTACATACTTAATGAACCATCCTGCTTTCAGTTTCTAAAATAAAAGTATGAAAAACTGGAACATTAAACAGCAAGTCAAGTACCCCTCCTTTTTTTTTAAAGGAAAGGAGAACTAAGGTAAATTGCTTTATCTGAATAATATGCTTTCTTTCTTTTTTTACTTTGGTCATTTCCACTGTGAAACTGATGCATGGGATTTTTAAAAGGGGGTACTAAGAAGTAAGAGTGACTCCTTTTCCAGCTCTACTTACACATGGAAAAGTGTTGTAATTCAACTCCCATCATCCCCAGCAACTCCCATCATCCCCAGCCAGCACAGCTAGAAGACACTGGGGCTGATGTGAGCATGGCTCCTTTGGCTGTGGCTCATGGGAGTTGTAGTCCAAAGCATCTGGAAGGCATCAGGTTGTGAAGGCTCTTGAAATGGCTCTTAACACCATTGTGCACATTTTGCCACGCTGAAGCAATGGACTGCTGGGATTTGCTGTAAATACGGATACATGTATTTTGCATAAAAAAAGAGATCAGATCCAATCCCTGGCATCTCCAGGTAGAGACTGGGAAAGGACGCTGTTTGGGTCCCTGCCAGTCAATGTAGATAGACAGAGGGACCAAAAGTCTGGCTTGGTGGAAGGTGGCTTTCTACATGTCTCACTTTCAAAGTATGAAGGTACATGCCATTCAAGAAATGCAATGTGGCTTGGGGACAGTTCAGCTCTGACTCAGCTCTTGACAAAGCACAGACACTGGGACCACAACAGTACACTTTTGAGGTACAGTCAATTTGTGCATCTGCAGCCTAGGTTGCAAGACCTTAAATGCTCCTTCTAGAGCAGCCCCTTCACGAACCTTCTGAGGATGCCCTGAAGTAAGAACTACAGCCTTTAGCCCAAAATTGCATCACTGTTATGTGGCCATAGCAGTGATGCAGGATCAGTGGCCCTCCCAATATTGCTGGACTCCAACTCCCATAACTCCTAGCCAGCATGGCCAAGAGGCAGGGGGAACACAGGAATATTTAGCTCAGTACTGTCCACACTATCTGGCAGTGGTTCTTTCAGGGTTTCAGACAGAGGACTCTCCTGCCCCTACCTGGAGATGCCAGGGATTGAGTCTGGGACCTTCTGCAAGTAAAGCAGATGCTCTACCACTGAGCTATGACCCTTCCCAAAGACAGTACTAGTCAAGCATTGTCCAGAGGGGCCACAGGCTCCTCACTGCCGGTCTACAGTTAAATGAACATCACAGGCTGTAACGTTGTACTGGGACAGTGATTTGCAAGTAGTTAGGTGAAGCCTCAAAGGTTGTCACAGACTGTTGGAAAGCTGTAAGAAGTTCCAAATGAATTCAATACTGGTTTGAAGTTTTGCAGGTAGTTAGGCAAGATGGGGCAGTGGGATTTTAGCCTACAGGACTTGAGCCAGTGAGACTATGCATCTTACATCTCTGTTATCCTCTTAACTTCTGCTGATGGGTTCTCAGCTGCTAAGAGAATAAGATAGTGGTGTATGAGGAGTTATGCTTGGGCTGGTTAGCACTTCAAGCATTCTTGGGTGCTTGACCATGTCAATAATAAAAATGAAGGGACACATGGTTATTTTGCAATACATAGCCTTCTTTCCCTCCCTGTTGCCAACTGGGCTATCTGCAGCAGTGGTTTTCAATCTGTGTTTGGGATTCCTCAGAAGTGTACCAGGTATTCCTCCATGAGAAGACCTCCCTTCCACTTTCCAGCAGAGAATTATTAGGTGTTCACACAGAGCAAAAGTGAGGGCCAACACTGAATGGACTGCACACACTAGGACTCTTCCCATAATCCTCTGTACCAGGATTCAAAGTGAAAAGGGTTCTCAACAGCTTGCTCAGATTTCACCAACCTGGCACCCTCCGAATGTTTTGAACTACAATTTCCCATTAGCACCAGCCAGCACAGATATAGAGGATAGGGCTGGTGGAGTTGTACACAACAACATCTGGAAAGCACCTAATTTGCCAAGACTGAGCTCGAAAGTTTGAAAGCTCCTGGTCCACAGAACCCATCACCACCACCCTTCCTTGCATCAAGACTTGATCAGATCAGATTATCTTTCTTCTGGGATGAATGGATGTGGGACAGCATGCACATCATATGGATTTCACCTGACCTTCTTCAACTTGTTGAAGCAGGCTCCCGTTCTAGCCCTCCCACCCAGAAGTGGCTGCAGATCTGCCTTCTTTGCAATGCTTCAGGATACTACCCTGTCTCCTACTCAGAGTACCAGGCAATCAGTATCCAGACGGAAATGATTCTCCATGTAAGTTTCCCTTGTAAGTAAAGTAACACTACCTGAGGGGTAGTAATAAGCAATGGCAGATCCATAGTATTGAATATATGAAGTTGCCTGGCAATTCTCATGGTTCAGTACCATGTACTCCAACAAGCATCATCTCTCAATGACTACTTTGGGACATTATGCATGCAAAGTGAGTGTGCTCTGCTATGAAGTTATAAGCCTTCTCTCTAAAGAAACAGAGTCTGTCTCTCTGCACACAGGATTTGAACTCACAACTCTGCAGTAGCCAATAAAAACATAACAGCCCTGCTGAATCAGACAAAAGCCCACCTAGTATAGCATCTTGTTCCCATCACGGCCAACCTGATGCCTATGGGAAGTCCCCTGAGTAGGACAGGAACACAACAGCATTCTCCCCACTTATGTTCCCCAGATGCATAATGCTTCTGATCTTGGTAGCCATGTCCACCATAACTAGTAGCCATTGATAGCCTTAACCTCTGAGAATTTGCCCAAACGCCTTTTAAAGCCATCCAAGTCGGTGGGCATTGCTACAGCTCCCAAATCACCATGCTTAACTTCTTGGAGACCATTTTCTTAACTCACAGCCCAGGTCTTCCTCAGTGACAGCCAGCTAGCTAGCCTCAGTGATCCAGTTTCAAATGTGTTCTGCACTCTAAGGACGTAAGAAAAGGCCTGCCGGTTCTGAGATCCAGCACCCTGTTCTCAACATTGGGCAGCAAGATGGCTATGGAAAGTTCATGAGGCAGAAATGAAGATAACAACCCTCTTCATTTGTTTATGCTAAGCATCTGCTTCTAAACATGGAGGTTCTAGTCTCCAGCAAAAAACATTTGTTGAGATCCTCCCCACTTGCTTAATTCTTATAAAATAAGAGTGAAAGGCCACTTGAAGCCTGAATGCAAGCTACAAACTTCAGAATTTAATTGCTCATGATTGGCTGAGGGCAAAAACCTAATACAGCATGCCAGGTCTCTGAGGTGCTGAGTTTCTCGGGCCTAGAGTTCAAGCCAACTTGATCTGCACCTGAGGATTCCAGTTTGATCCCTCCCCTCTGAGCCTTTGCCCTCCAATTACAACAAATAACTATTTATTTTACACTGCCTTTGGGAGAAGCCTGGAGCAGAAATCTATAATATTTTATATCAGAAGCCTGGTCTCATTTACATAGCTGGATGCCAACTGCTTGAAACACTTGTGGAATGCTAATGTTTCAATTTATTGAATGCACCATACAGTTAACTCTTCAAACTCAGCTTGCAAACCAAATGAAAAAGAGGGTTGCTGTCACTGAACAAAGGGAAGGTTTTCTTCTTTATTTCTAAACTCTGGCTAGCTGCTCTAGACTCTTACATGCCAATCCTTGGCGGCAAACCTTTTCACTGAAGGTTGCTCTCGCAGTTTATTGACCTGCAGCTGTAGAAAATCCATAGCTTGTTTAGAAATTGTGTGTGTTTGTATGCAGGTGCTAGTAGTAGCCAGGTTGGACCAAAGCTAGCTGAGGTGTACACACCATTTCTTCCACCCATCTCCTTCCTAGGGACAGGGAAATTATATTATGTCTTTCAGGAGCTAATTTAACAAGGTTTGGTTGTGCCTATTAGTACCTTCCACTGACCTGTCGGTTAGGGCTTTGCTTGTTGATTCAACCAAGCAGATACCATTTATAGTAAGGCTGACATCCTGTACACATTTACTTGGGAGTAACCACCATTCAGCTTGGTGGGTGGTGGACAGGGCCGTAAGCCTTTTTTCTTTCCCCCTAACTCCTATATTTTTAAAGTGTTCAATTTCTTGCAGAACACGAGTGTGTAACAAGACAGAGAGAACAAAACTGGTTTCACTGCAGACATCTTAATAGGGTAGGGGTGGTGCTCACAGCTATCCCAGGATTCCAGACTTGCTGGATGCATGGCTGAAGTCTCCATGTTGGACCTTCTTGAGAGTCCCTGCAAGACACCTGTGGTTCTCAGACCCCACTCCTTTCTCTGCACCTCACTTTCTTCTTTGCATTTTAAAAAATGATTATTAAGCATTCCCAGCATTCAGTGAACCAAGGACAGGGTTCTGAAGTCCGCATATTTTGCCAAATAAAAGTTACCAAGCTCTGATCACATTCCTACCATCATGAAACTTCATTTCATATGAAGGATGTAAAGTTATGAAACTATTTTTAGTTGGTTTGGTTCCACATTTTATTCATGCTTCAAATTCCCTTTGCAGCACAACCCTACACACATATTGCTCAGAAGTAAGCCTGAGTGCATCAAATGGTGCTTACTTCCATGCAAACAGGTATAGGGTTGCGACCTTAATGACTAGGTATGAGAGGGAGGAAGAGCAGTGCCTAGTCTAAAATTGTGCAAAGGGTGGGTTTTCCAAAAGCACCTGCCTGTCTCTTCTCTGCTTTCCAAGTTTATGTTATGAATTATCTTATTAATACTACAGCTACAAGTTTGTCACGGCCTTTGGCTAGAACAATAAACTTATGAACTGATGTTTTCTGTTCAGCTTCCCAAACTACCCTATTGTAAGCTGCATGGGCCTGTGTGTGTGTGTGTGTGTGTGTGTGTGTGTAAAACATGTTTCTAGCCTGCTTCTCTTTGGTTCTAGTTTTGTTTTTGTTGGTTGTTTTTTTTTAAAGAGCCTGCTTTTTAAAGTATTTTTTGTGCACCTGCAAAACGGTTTAGCAGTGGGAGAATAGGAAATTGAAAATTAACATGCTGGCATTTCAGGGGAGTGAGCGCATTTATTTAGCATTCTAATTATATCCATGCTCGGGATGATTTATATTACTAGTGTAATTAGTTCTGTATGTGGGACAAGGCGGCGGGGCACTTTGAACAAGTTCATAAAGGCAGCTCTCCGCGGCTATTGTGACTGCGCGAGAGATCCGGCAGAGCAAAAAAGGACACCTGCTTTCGAGACGGGGGTGGGGACGCTAGTGGGAAGGGAACGGGAGACTCCTCCACCAACACGGTGCGGTGGGGTGGAACAGAGAGGGAGAGAGAGAGGAGATTCCAATCAGGGGGTCTTTCGGTTCAGGGACCGAGAGAGAAGAAAGAGTTTGGGAGAAGGAAAGGCGACCACGTGGCTTGGACGCGAACCAAAGCACAGAGGCTGTAAACAGGGGACGCAAGGTTGCTCCACAGAGCGCAAAGGCGGGCGTACGTTCCCACGCGGCGGGTAGGGGCTGCATGCCCCCCCGCCAGCGGGCGCCCCTCTCGAGCTGCTGCCAATGCCCTCTCCCTACCTTGCGCCTACTGCCCCTCCATGCTCAACCGCTTTTTCTTCCCAAGCTAACTCTCCCTACAACTTTGAGGGGAAAGGGAGCTAAAGGTTCTGCCGCTGCTTTTGTTTAGCGCTCAGCGCCGTCGCGCACGCCTCTTCCCAACCCCGCTGCCACCCCGCCCGTGGCTTACCGAAGCGGCTGTGGTCCTGGCGGGTGCCGTGCACGGTGCCGTTGGGGAAGATCTCCAGGTGGAACCCGGTCCGGCAGTAGAGCTGCCTCCGTCGGAGGATGCCTTTCAGGTGGGCGAAGTCAGTGGGAGAGCCCCGCTGCAGCCGCCCCTCGATCTGCCCCAGGCGCTCGTTTAAAAAGCCCGGCGAGTCGGCGAGCGCCACGCTCCCAAGTGTCGAGGAGAATCCGTGCAAATCCAAATCGAGGGAGCCCAGGAAGCCGCCGACCTCGGCCATGGCCACCGCGGGGGCGCAAAGCCCGGAGGAGACAGCAGGGAAGCCCGAACGTACTAGCGAACGAGCCACGCGAGCTCCGGGTCCAGCGGAGGGCAGTAGCTCTTGCCCTCTCGGAGGCTGCGATTCCTCCGGCGTCGCCGCCGCTCTCTTGCGCTTGCTAGCTCCCCAGCTCAAGCCGCCTGCGCCGGCTCGCCTGGTCCAGCGCGTCCCCCCCTGCTTCTCCTCCTCCACCTCCTCGTCCTGCCGCCTTTCATAGCTGCTGGATCTGTCCGGCGATCCGATGCAAACTGGACTTTATATACGTACACACACACTCCCCTTACATTGACATATTGGATATTTAAATGCAAGCCACACCTCACTGGCATACCCCCTTGGCAGTTGCCCCGGTCCCCCCTGCTCCCTGCGCCTCTTCTGCGATCCATTTGGCTCTTTTGCGGGGCGGGGGGAGGGAAGAGAACGTTTCACTCCCTCCTTTATTATTCTTTAAAAAAGAAAAGAAAAGAAAAGAAAAGGAAGGAAGCCGCGCCACAATGCAGCGAGCCAAGCGAGCTTTTTTGGCAGGTCCTTTCCCGAGCGCTGATGATGAAACTTCGTGCGCGGGGGATGCGAAAGGCGTCGAGCTCGCTTGAGCCAGGCGACCCCAAGACCAGCCTCGCTTTGGCCAGTCGCCTGCCTGCCTCGGATCGTGGCTTCAGTTCTGACAGGCTCTCGGTGGAACAAAGTAGTTGCCCTTTGCAAAAGGCAACGGAAGCAGAACCACGGGCTGGTTTGGTTTTTCTTTTTCTCCCCCCCCCCAACTTTTTTTTTTTACAGCAGAGCCCAACACTCGGCGCCTGCTTCGGAGTGCCGCCGGGATACCCTCTCCCGGGGTCCCCTGAAAGCGCTTCTTGTGGGCGAAAACCCCAGAAGCAGACGGCAGATCTCCCTCTCCATCTCGAGTTTGCACCGCGCGTTCCGCGGCTGTTTCTCTCTCCCCTCCCCTCTTCCTCTTTGTATCCCTAGGAAGCAAAAGGAACCTGCTGCACTGAATTCTTCCCCCCCCTCCCCACCTTTGGGAAGCACACTGCCAAACACATTTTGGGATCTATTGAGGGAGGGGGGAAACCCGGACCCCTCTAGTGTGTGTGCATTTGTAAACGACATTGTGGTGTTGGATAGGAGAACAGATATGGAGTGGGAGTGGGGTTGGGGTGGGTGGGGAGTTCCAAGCCGGCTGTGGACTCCCCCCCCCCCGCCACCTTTTTTCGTACTGGGAACAGGTGTTTCCTCGCTCTATTCCCGCCTCTCCTCTACTCCCCTTTCACCCGCCCCCTGCCTCCGAGCTCCCTGATACCGTATCTCTGGCTGCAGCAGCTGCTGCCTTGAACTGCAGACAGACACGAGTCAAGCGATCGGGACGCGGAGGGGCTTGCGGGGTTGGGCGGGGAGGAGAGGACTCTTTGCAAAAAGGAAAAAAAGGTGGGGGAGGCGCGCGGGGGCACAATCCAACCCCTTGAAACCTGATTTGATGCAATAAAAGGAGCATTTCCCACCCCCACATGGATCTTTTAAAGAGGCGGCATTTTTGCAACGCCGCGCGGCTGGAGGCGCTTGCCCGCCGTTTACCGTGGCCTCCTTGGCGGCTAGGCGGCGCTGTTGCTCAGGGGCTGAAGCGCCTCGCGTTCCTTGCAACCCCTCCTTGGCCCGTCTGCCTACCTCGCTACCTTTCCACGCATTGCAACGAAAGAGGTGGTAGGATCTTGGGCTGCACCACTTCAAACTGCAGGAGTGAGTTGGGGCCGGATTTAGGATATGCCTTCGAAAGCACACACCCAGTTCCTTGCATGTAGTGAACTAGTGCACCAGTAACAAAAAGTGTATACTTTCTATCTTGATGTGCTAGCTTGCGTGCAGGTTCGCTCAAGAAATTTTGCAGACTGAGGCCGAGCGGCAAGTGATGCTTTCTCCCACAACCCCCACCCTTCCCTTAAGGTACATTACACCCAGGCGTGCCAAATTATTTTGGTGCCTGAGACAAACCTGCCACAAGTGCCCTTACCTGTTCTCATAGGAACCGATCCAGTCCCTGTGATCATCATCCGAGGCACTTCTTTTTGTGCCTTCTCCATGAGAGGTCCAAAGGGCGGCAACATGAGAACAGGCCTTTTTTGCAGTGACACCCATGAAACATTCTTCCTAGGGATGAACCAGCCAAAAATGGTCCTCTTCTCCCAAGCCTTTGGGAGAATCTATGGCCTTTTAAACTGGGGGGTGGGGAGTAATTGTTTTTGTTGTTACTATGGAATTTTTCCCCTGTTTTGATACTGTAAACTGCCATGTGATCCTCAGATGAAGGGCGGGCAGTATTGTACAGAAATGTAATACTAATACTACTAATGAAAAGGGGGGAAAGAATACATTAAATGGTGATTTGCTACACCTGAATTTGACTGCCCAAGGCTGTTGCCTTACTTTGCTAACAGTAGGGCTGACCCTGCTTGCACACAAAGAGCTTTTAACATAGGGGCAGCATGCAAACCTAGAACCAAGCCACCTGCCTTCTGAAATGGTACAGCCCAGATTTCTGTAGCCTCAGTTTATCACCTCTGGGTGACCACCTCCTTCCCACAGCACCCTGGCCACTTCAGAAACCTCAGGCAGTTCTGGGAGGAATCCACACAGAGCCTCTTCCTCCTTGCTGCTGTTCATAAGAGGGGCATTTCCAGCATAGTGTTGTGGTGGTTAGAGTGTTGGGCTGGTATCTGGGATACCAGGGCACAAATCTCCAGCCAGCCATGGAGCTCACTGGGTGACTGGGGGCCAGCCACTTCCTCTCCACTTAACCTACTTCACTATGTACACCACCTTGGACTCTTTGGAGGAAAAACAATAAATTGTTATAAAAATTGTATAATTTGCATAATAAATTGTATAAAATAAATCACAACTGCAGTTTGCTTAACTCGGGATATGCTACCCTAGTTGTTTTCAAGGAGTGTTCTGGGGTTCAGCAGAGCTTATTGGGAGTTCCCAAGTCTGAAGCTCTTTGTAAGGGCAGAATAGCTTTCCTGGAAAGCAGATGGATCACTGTCACTAACCTTCCTCTATAGCCTGCACACTCAGGAACGTGTTGGGTGTCCTCCTTGGTAGGGAATACTTTTCAGTCTGAGGGCTGCATCCCTTTCTGGACAACCTTCCAGGGGCTACATTCATGTGGTGGGCAGAGCTAGAGGCAAAAGCAGGTTGGTCAACCAATGTGTATGTTATCTGCTTCATTGACAATGCAGCCACCCCAAGCAATTGCATAGTTAAACTACGGAACTCACTTCCACAGGAGTCAGTGATGGCTACCAACTTAGATGGCTTTGAAAGAGGGTGAGACTAATTCATGGAGGAGGAGAGGGCTGCTAATAGCTACTAGCTATGATGGCTGTGCTCTGCCTTCAAGGCTAGAGGCAGCAATGCTTCTGGATGTGGGATGTAAAACGCAGGAGCAGTCAATGACAACATTCCTAGAGTGTACATGTTAGAACATGGGGAGGGATGTCTGTCTAGCAAGCAGGTAAACTTCCTGGGGATGGACTTCCTCCGCATGTGACCAGAGGTGGGTGTGGCCTCACCTGTGCAGGTAAATGATAAAAGCACAGGGCAGGCAGCCATATCTCTCTCTCTCATCTTCATCTTCTGAAGGAGCAACATGCCCTCTTGGCTCTCAGTCAAGAGAGGACTAAGGGACTATCTTCCATAAGATAGATTCTGAGTGTATTTTACCTTTTTAAGTCTGTCTGCCTTCTGGGATCATATTGTGAACAGAACGTGAGTAAACTATTTTATACTTTTATAAAGACTGTGTCGTGTCTTGTATTTTAAGAGGCAACAAAAGGGGAAATTACCAGAGTAATTATTATAGTGGTTCTAGCGAACCTGTGCAGACGTTACCGTTGCGAATTAAAAGGGGAATGTCATAAACTCTGCTGATATTTTGGGAACTTGTTAGCACAAGTTGGATTAGGATATAATCTCACAATATATCCTCTCCTGCACCCCTGAACATTCCCACACTGGATACCAGTGACTGGAAACCACAAAGAGGAGAGAGGGCTCTTATGCTTGAATCCTGCTTGCAGGTTCCCCAAAGGCATCTGGTTGGCCACTGTGAGAACAGGATGCTGGGCTAGATGGGCCATTGACCTGATCCAACAAGGTTCTTCTTAAGTTCTAATGTTGCATGTTGATTGCGTAGTCCTGCCAGTCCTGGACACACTGAATGACTGTGTTGAAGCTGAACTCATGTCCTGTTTAGAGGCTTTCTACAAGCATCTGGCTGGCCAATAATGCTCATGGGAGGGCTATAACTCTAGTTCAATCCCCAGCAACATCTCCAGGCTGGACAAATCCCCTGCCTGAAAGCCTCAAGGGCCACTACCAGTCAGAGCTAGAGAGACCAGTGGTTGACTTGGCACGAGGTGTCTTCCTATGACTTGTTGGGACTTGGCTCTGATCCAGCAGGACTGTTCTGATGGTCTTATGCCAACATAATCCCCTGGCTAGAGCATGAGACTCCTAATATCAAGGTGGTGGGATCACGCCCCACACTGAGCGAAAAGATTCCTGCATTGCAGAAAGGTTGGACTAGACAACCCTTGTGGTCCCTTTCAGTTTGACAGTTCTGATTCTGATTCAATACATTGTCAGAGTCCATTTTTTTTTATTCAGTGATCTCTCAGTCAGAAGGAACAACAAGCAAATTATATTTTAAAAAATATCAAAGTTTTGGTCTCTTTCTTTCTTTCTTTTCTTTTTTTTAATGATAAAAGAGTGAAAAGAATGATTTTTGTAATGGGCATGAGAACGTCACTATTAACTTCAGTGAGGTTTGGATCAAGGCCAATATCCTCCAGCAAAATCCACTCAAGGATGAAGGAAGGTTCCTGAAACTGTCAGGGGAAATTCTACAACATTAGAATAAAATCCAAGGTGAAATAAAATCCACAAACCTTGCACTTAACTAATATAAAACAAAAGCAGGGAATTACCTATACCAGATGAGTTTTCTTTCTCTTTAAACCTTCGTCATTATGCCGGGTTTGCACAGGCTTGGCCATTGGAGCTGGAGCAAATACCAAATGATCGGCCACAACAACTTCCCTTGGATCAAACATTAAAAAATGGAGGAGAGGGCTATCAGTGGTACCCAGCCACAATGGCTATGCTTTGCTCTCCACAGTTGGAGGCAGCAATGCTCTGAGTACCAGTTGCTGGAAATGGCAGAAGGGGAGAGTGGCTGTTGTGCTTATGTCCGGCTTGCTGATCTCCCATTGGGGCATCTGGGTAAGCATTGTGAGAGCAGGACACTGGATGAAATGGGCCATTGGCCTGACCCAGCAGACTCTCCTTATGTCCTTAGAACTAAGCAGATAAACATCCAGTGGCAAACGTTTCTCTTTCAATGTGGCTGTTTCCTCCTATGTACATCAAGTACTTTACTAAGGAATGAGCTGGATCTAGGGCCTATTTTATTAAAATCTTCGCTCCCCAACATGAATCTGAATTGTGTGCCTTGGTTGGGTAGATGAGTTTTTGCTATTCAGAAACTTGAAAGATAACTTTCTGACATAAATGCTCTTTCTCTAATCATTCCTTCATTTATTTCTCCCAGCATCATATGCCCTGGAAGGTGGCTTTTTTATTTTTATTTTGTTTCATGCTCGAATTGCTGTGTTCATTTGTGTGGCTTTAATGTAACACAATCAGCCATTTATTCTGTCATTAGCTGTGCATTAGGCAGG